GGAAAAGAAATATACGGAACTAGGTTAATATGTACAGAACTACAGACCATGTCTATACTTGTGACAAGATTACGTCTGACGATTCAGTTATTCATGCAATATTTTCATTACACATTAAATGATCAAATAGCTTGAAAAAGGGGTACACATGCACGATTTATCAAATCAAATCAGATCGAAATCTCAGCCCCCCCCCCCTTAAATCTATTAGGGGTGCGAAGGTCCTGCCGCCCCCCCCCCTGTATTCGCCCCTGAAAAAGATCTAATATTTTGAAAATCAAGTCGAGAATGTGACTAAACAAGGAAAACAAAAGAAATGACGAATAAAAAGAACGGAGAAAATCTCTTTCCTCAGCTTCAAACTGAAGACCCTGAAGAAAATTCCCACAAAGAACCTGTACAATCTTTCCCTGGGATGTTTAGAAAGATGAAAATTTCCCTGTATGATAATTGAAGGACTGCAGTATGGATTTGGTGAATCATATTGACGTACTAAGCCTAGGGGTGTCAGAAATATTTTTGTTCAAAATAAAAATTCTGTTTGGTTTGGCAACTTTTTTTCTGCAGAATCTTTCCTACTTTCTGAAAGGTTTTACATCGGTATGTTTAAGGATATCTACTCGATATAAAGCAATATTTATTGATACTTATTTTGACTCAAACTCTTAACTAAATGAATATAGAAAAAATATGCCGGTTTAAGAAAGTTTTAGATAGATATTTGCAATCATCCAGAACAAAAAGTTTTATCAAAAATTAAACTTTAAAAGTTTTATAGAAGTTTTTAAAAATATGCAAAAAAAATCATTTCTGACACCCCTAGGCTTAGAACGCCAATATAATTCACCAAAACCATACTGCAGTCCTTCAATTATCATACAGGGAAATTTTCATCTTTCTAAACATCCCAGGGAAAGATTTGACAGGTTCTTTGTGGGAATTTTCTTCAGGTCGGGGGTGGGGGGTCATTTTCTGTCCTTCCCCAACAAAATAAATCCTGTACACGCCCCTGTATTATAACATGATGTACAGGGTGTCCCAAAAAAACATGGGAAATCAACGACGAATTCGATCTCGTCTTTGTTATGAATTAGCATTGTAATACCTAATTTCAAAATACATAATATTATTATGTTTATTAGAGTTTATTTTGTGAAAAGGGTAAAAGACTGTAAAGATGTGTCTATAATGTCTCCGCAAGATGAACAGTGAAGACGGACAAGTTTACTCTGTTTGTAATACTGTAATTTTCTTGTTTTACTAAGTACAACCGTATGCAGTCAAAACATAAACAAACAAAATGTGAACATAGCAGACATAACTCTTACAGAGTACAGCTTTCTCATTAGGTATCACTATACTAAATCAAAGAATTATTTAAAAAGACGATATCGAATTCGTCACTGAATTCCCATGTTTATTGGGACACCCTGTATCATTAAACATAATAATGTTCATTTCATTTTCCAGTTTCTAGAAAAATTTGAAATCAACAATAAATATGAATATATCTTTACAATTGTTGGAGTTGATACAGGGCGACCCAAAACTTTCAAAAGAATTTATAAAATACTGTTGTCTAACATACTAAGAATGTAATATTGCAGATATTTAGTTTTGAATTGAATAATTGTATGGACTTATTTAAATCAGTTCCCGCATATCTCATGGATATTTTTTCTTCTATTTTACAATCACTGAGATTTAGGTATAAATGTATAAAAATCAAATCAAAAATTGTCAAGTCGACATTTAATAAATTCTTTTAATGTTTCCGAAGTTCTGAGTTAAACTGTATAATGCCAGATTCACAAGGGTACCCATAAAAATCTTTGTCGGAACAAGGATGAAAATTAGATATCAATGTTAATAATTTGAAAACTAATTATGTTTAATTGTGACGCTTCTCTACAAAAATGACTTGCGCATTTTTACTACGGGTAAAAATATAGGAATTATCAAAATTTTACACTTTTAACCCTAGAAAAGCGGACTATATCTTCCACGTTATCAATCAGATAAAGGTTTCAAAAGAGTATCGTTGTGAATCGGACAGCACCATGTTTACACGGAAGATGATTGTAAATAACGAAGACGCAGTTCCTTAAATTCTAATGTTCATTATCTTCTTAATATTTTAATGTAAGGAATAACCAACTTTTCAAAATCACCGGAAAAAGATGTGTTTGCTAATTTCACTGAATTATTATATTCTCCTTTATCTCTTCATTATAAAGAGATGTTTTTTGCTTGTATGTTCGTTTGTCTGATCATAACTCAGGACCGATTTGCGTCAAATTTTTATTGGGGAACCCATGAGATCAACTTTCATAGCTTGGTTTTTATGGTTCTAAAATGAGTAATTCGACTTTTGTATGGAAAAATAGCTAAAATCGTAATTTGAGACCAAGCGCTGGTAAACGGCGTTGATAACTTTGAGTACCCTGGGGAACGCTGGGTTCCCAAGCTAGTCTGTGAATAAAGACAATATTGTAACTAAAATGTCTTGTAAGATAAGACTCTACAAGATGGTTTAACTAGACTAGAATACTTCGTTAGTCATAGGTTACAAAATAGATAGATAGATGGATAGATAGATAGGTAGATAAATAGATAGATAGATACTATAAGGATAGATAGATAAAGGAATAGGTAGATTCTTACAATTTACAACCAAAATGGGGAATAAGTCACTTTAAGAAAAAAAAGTTTTATATTTTATTTCTGAATTTCTCTGTCACATTTTTAAAATTAATTATACCGATTTTTTCTTTCAAATCTACAAAACTCCCCCTTTTACAACGGTCTTTCAAGACCAAAAATGTGACCCCCCCCCTCAACCGACTCCAGACATATAGTTAACCCATTATACATAAATATATTAGCACTGGTCCGGGTGTTGGAATTTCCGATTTTTAAAATTTGTCAGCAGCATCGTAACTATTAAAAGATCTCTCACAAAGAAAATTTTTTATAAAACATCAAGATTTTATTTTACATTGTGTGAAAGAAAAATCAGAATTATGGATTAAAACAATTTAACATTAGTAAAAATGGTTAAACATGAAAAACATTAGAACAGAAATATCAAATCTCGCGTCAACTTTTCATATATGCTTGAAGGGGGATTGGAATACCTTCCTTTTATTTTTTACTCGAGTTTAAGACGTTTCTAATGTTTAGAACGACAATTGTATTCAAAGATTAAAGAACAATGAACATTCTACAAAAAAGGATCTGAAATATTGAGAAAATACAGTTTTTTTCCAAAACATTATTCTGTACATTTCCAGAGCATTATTCCGGAAGCCAGAAATAAGCAGCAAAGGGTGTTACATAAATACTTTCTTAGCTTGAGTTCCAATGGCCTTGCAAAAAGCTAAAAGTTCAAGAATAGATAAGCAGGAGAATCCAAGGTAAAATCCCAAAGAACCTCCAATCTCCACCAATAACGGGATGAAATCAAAGCTTCTGTAAGTCTCTCGCACAGAAATGGAGTTTTTGAAGAACAGAACAACTTGCGATGTGTCAGTGATGTTGTCAACATTTTGAATTGTTCGGAGGGATATCTCAAGCCTGGTACAGGGAAGAGGGCATTCAGGAATTGTATTACTTTGTTTGTATAGAATGCTTAACAGAATGTTTTGATTGAGATAGTCAATGTAGGAGGGAACAGATGGACCACCAACATTATTCGTACATGCTCGAGATTCGTTGCTAGTGAGAAATGGATTGATGCAGCCAAGGAGCGGAAGATGGTCAATATATTGTTCCTCTTCCATACATTTCTCATAGCTAGAGTACTTTGAACCTTTAGCAGAGTAATCTTGGCATTGAGTTTTAGGATCATTAGGATCAAAGATGTTCTTACGAATGTTGACTTCATACATGATAAGAGTATTGATGGGTAGTTTTTTCATTAACAGATCTGTTGAGAACGTTTGCCATTGAATGGAGTACACGGTTTTCTGGTTGGAGTCTGTCACAAATATGTCAAAGTCTCCATCAGCAAGATATATGGCAATTCGTTCATTAAGCTCAAATCCCTTGGTTGTAAAGTCTTCAAGGACGTGACAGTATCCGGTTGGAATTATAAATTTCTTTTTAAACTGTAAAGGTATGTTCATATTGTTTAATTTTTCAATTGTTGGATTAGGAATATTGCTGGATTCTTTTACTAAAAGCTTTTTCATTTCCTCCACTGGTATGTTTTCTATACCTCCCCAGCCAATCAGTACTTCATCAGAACCATTCGGCATTGATTTCATTTCACTCTGTAGTGGTGATTCTATTCCACCCTGTAGTGGTGAATCTATTCCACCCTGAAGTGGTGAATCTATTCCACTCTGCAGTGGTGAACCTATTCCACTCTGTAGTGGTGAACCTATTCCACTCTGTAGTGGTGAACCTATTCCACCCTGTATTGGTGAATCTATTCCACCCTGTGGTGGGGAACTTATTTCACCCTGTAGTGGTGAATCTATTCCGCCCTGTAGTGGTGAATCTATTCCACCCTGTAGTGGTGATTCTATTCCGCCTTGTAGTGGTGAATCTATTCCACCCTGTAGTGGTGAATCTATTCCGCCCAGTAGTGGTGAATCTATTCCACCCTGTAGTGGTGAATCAATTTTATCCCCTGCTGGTGTCTTGATAATTCCTGTAGATAATTTTGTTAATTGATTTAAAAAAAGCTTTTCATAAAACATTTCAAACTGTATTCTGTTAAAGTTTGCTTTCAATAAACCTTGCAATATTTTGTCTTTAAAAAAGGAAAAACTAAACCCAGTAAATTTTTGTTGCTGCAAATGTTGAGAATGAATATTTTTTAAAACATTGGCCACTCTCACCCAATGCCAAAGGAATTAAGTTTTTGCCACAAACTCGCATTTTCTAACCCCTATATCTTTGCAACATTATGGTCTAAACCTTTGATATTTCAAACTTAGACTATTTGATCTAACAGAATTGATAGTTTGAAATATTAAAGGTCTTGGAAAACGGGTTGCAAAGTTATAGGAATTGGAAAATCAGAGATTGTGGCAAAAACTCAAATCCTTTGAACCAAAACGAACTATAGAAGAAACCAAAATGATTAACAACACCTGTAAAGAAGGTTTGTGCCGTAGGAAATTCATATCCATGACTTTTTGCCTCTTCGTTTACCATTTGAATTTGATTCTTCTCACACAGCATAATATCCAGGTTTTTTAGGTCATCAAGGCTAAATATATTAAAGATTAATCTGATTCTGAACCTTACCCTTGAAATTCCAAAAATTCTTTAAAAATTTAGCCAAATTGATTCAGTCGCTTGGCCAGCCATGATAACATAAATATAAATGTGAAAAATTCAGACTGCTCAAATTATTGCTAAATATATTTATGATTACAAACTTTATTATATATACTTAGCCAGGCAGTGTGCCATTCGTTAACGATAAGTTGAAACCGTTAAAAAATTGCCAGGGAGCCGTTCGTTTTTGAGCTGAAAACAGATTGTTCGTTTCATTAACGGTATTTTCCGTTTTTTTAAAGCTACCAGTGGTTAACAATCTTGATATTATTAACAACGTTGAAAACGCAAAACATCAAAATACATAAAAAATCTTTTCTTTTATGCAAAGTACAGGTTTTCTCACCTGGTTTCTTTAGTATAAACAGTAGTACTGGTTTCATATTCTACATATCTCACCTGGTTTCTACAGTATAAACAGTAATACTGGTTTCATATTCTACATATCTCTTCACAGATTGATAAATTTGGGTAATTGAAAGAATTGTTAGAATTAACAATATGAAACTTTTAATAACCTTGAAAGGTATTCCTTCCATGTTAATTGTTGTAATGAGCCTACTACTGGGTATTTACTAATGTTTGCTCTTCTACCTTAAACCCTAAAATGACTAAACCCAAGTACCAATCCCTGATAAACTTCTTGACTTACAGAAAAATAAGTCAAAGAACTTTGTAAAAAAAATTTCAAGATAAAGGTAAAGAACTTTGATGCTTCTGAAAAGAAAACTTTATTAACTCTTAAATTTTAGATTTATTCCATAACTTTAAGATTATCAACAGATCAACATTTGTATATTTGTATGGTTAAACTTTGGGGGTTTAACTTATACGCTATAATCAACAGTTAGTTTATTGTAAATTATTAAGGGTGAAGTATAGGTTACTTAAACAAACATTTACAATGATCAATATAAGTAGGTGGCAGGTTGACACTTTTTGGTAAACTTAAAGGGAATATAGTCTAAAAGCTAAAAATGTTCTTTAAACAAAAAATTATCCTTGATTAGCAGGAAATATGCATACAAATGAGACTGTAAAGACGACCTGAATACCAGGAAATATGCATACAAATGAGACTGTAAAGACGACCTGAATATCATGAAATATGCATACAAATGAGACTGTAAAGACGACCTGAATACCAGGAAAAATGCATACAAACGAGACTGTAAAGACGACCTGAATATCAGGAAAAATGCCTACAAATGAGACTGTAAAGACGACCTGAATATCAGGAAAAATGCATTCAAATGAGACTGTAAAGACGACCTGAATATCAGATAGAATGCATACAAACGAGACTGTAAAGACGACATGAATATCAAGAAAAATACATACAAATGAGACTGTAAAGATGACCTGAATATCAGGAAAAATGCCTACAAATGAGACTGTAAAGACGACGTGAATATCAGGAAAAATGCCTACAAATAAGACTGTAAAGACGACGTGAATATCAGGAAAAATGCCTACAAATGAGACTGTAAAGACGACCTGAATATCAGGAAAAATGCCTACAAATGAGACTGTAAAGATGACCTGAATATCAGGAAAAATGCCTACAAATGAGACTGTAAAGACGACCTGAATGTCAGGAAAAATGCCTACAAATGAGACTGTAAAGACGACGTGAATATCAGGAAAAATGCCTACAAATGAGACTGTAAAGACGACCTGAATATCAGGAAAAATGTCTACAAATGAGACTGTAAAGACGACCTGAATATCAGGAAAAGTGCCTACAAATGAGACTGTAAAGACGAAATGAATATCAGGAAAAATGCCTACAAATGAGACTGTAACGACGACTGTAAAGATGCAGTACGTTAGACATTGGACCCTGGAGCTTAAAATTTGTCTTTGGTTTTCGTAAAGTTAATAGATGTCAAAGGAGTATAGAAAAACATTGTAAGTCTTTAAAACTTGATAAGATTTAGCCTCCTTCTTTGTATTATAAAAATTGTTGGAGATACTAAAGATTTAAACAACCTTGCTGATATTATATATTTTGAATTTTAATTAAATTTTTCAATATCTTGGTCAATTCTTAGGGTACAAAAACGGCAGACCATATTTTGGAATTCTGAAAACAAGGCGCCTTTGATGCTACCAACTCTTTGAAGAAAATGCTATGATCACAAGATTTTAGCTACAGTATCTCATTTCTGCTTACTCTAGGGCCCACTATCTACCAAAGTTCTTCTCTAATTTGGACCCTGAACTTCACTTAAAACTTTTTTAAAAGTACAAATTATTTTTATAGAATGAACAATAGCCAGAATAAAAATTTGTTATAGTAAAACCTAAAAATTTGCTATGCAGAGGTTTTAGAAATTTCCTAAAAATATCTAGGGTCCACTGAGATATAACAGCTGCGTAGCCCACCGACAAAGTTACATGTACACTAGTCCAGAATAGTATAGATCGGTAGATAGAAGCATACTTATAAGCGGGCCGTGGTAAAGACGACATGAATATCAGGAAAATGCCTATAAATGAGACTGTAAAGATAACATGAATATCTTTAGATATGACAATCCCAAGAAACTAAGTTTTATACCTTGAATATAATTGTTAAAGGTTTATTTAAATATGCAGAAATTAAAAATCTGTACAGTTGTCTCTGAAGTCTCTTGTTTTTGAGGCCTTGCTGACTACAGGAGCAGGATTAGCATTTGAGAATTATGAGACAGGAGAGTCTTTCTCAGAGCTGTTGAAGAAATTCTCACAAGAAAAACACGACGAAAGCCGGAAACAGGAATACACAGCCAGGAGTATTATTTGCTAGTATAATCAAAAATAAAACCATGTTGTATTCTTTTTAAAAACAAAGGTTTGCAACTGAATTCAAAGTAACATGTATTAAAAATCAGAGTTGTGACAAAGGCTCAATTCCATTAAAATAAGAAAATAAAGATATAAATTATTTTATTTACATATATGTATACTTTATGTACATACATTTATATTTTATGTACATATATGTATATTTTAATTTTAAGGAACTGGAAGAAAAAGGAGGGGAAACTTTGGACACAATTCTTAATAATCCCTTGTCTAAGAAATAGAATAATGTTCAGTTTATAATATATTAATTTATTAAAAGAGCATTTTTTTATTAATGTTGGCTTAATGAGTGTGTTCAGGTTAATGCTTTATTTAAATAATACCATGTAATAATGGAGTTGAGCAGGTGTAAACACTTATATATTTTATCTATCTATCTATCTATCTATCTATCTATCTATCTATCTATCTATCTATCTATCTATCTATCTATCTATCTATCTATCTATCTATCTATCTATCTATCTATCTATCTATCTATCTATCTATCTATCTATCTATCTATCTATCTATCTATCTATCTATCTATCTATCTATCTATCTATCTATCTATCTATAAACCTATCTATCTATTTATTTATCTATCTATCTATCTATCAATATAACTATGTATCTAATATGTCAATACATCTATTCATTTGCATATCTATATGACTATCTATATATATATCTATCTATCTATATGACTATCCATGTATATATCCATCCATCTATTTAATTATCTATCTATCTATCTATATATCTATCTTTCAATATAACTATCTATTTTATCCATCTCCTTTACACTATAAAGAGTGCACTAACCTAAATAACCTGCAGTTCAGCAAAACAATAATAGCTTATATTTCATAATCAACTCCCCCCTCTCCCCTCCCCCTTACCCCACCCCGTCTGCCCTTTTTAACCCCTTTCTTCTTCACAATCCTGAGAAGCTGTGAATTTAAATGCTTTTTAAACATTTTTCTTGTCCAAACATTTCAAAAAATTAATATTATATGCATTAAACACTCAAGTTCTCAATTCTTCTCTCCACTGTCTTAACCCCCCTCCCCTTCCCATGCATTATCTCCCCCTCCTCTTCCCTCCCCGCCCCGCCCTGCCTTGGGTATGTAAGGTGTGCGCTACACTTCCAAGAATTGCTTTCAAAAATATATTTTCTTCGAAAGGTCAATAATATTGTGAGTTAGCCCTGCGCTGGGTCACAGGGTTTCCAGCCTATAAAACATGCAATGCTGGAGGGAAAGAGGAGGGTAAATGGAAGGAGGGTAAGAGGAGGGTTAAAGAAGGGGAAGAGGTAGGGAAGAGGAAGTGAGAAAGAGGAGGAGAAGAGGAGGGAAAGAGGCAGGGAAGAGGAGGGAAAGAGGTAGGGAAGAGGAGGGTAAGAGGAAGGTAAGAGGAGGGTAAGAGGAAGGTAAGAGGAGGGAAAGAGGAGGGTGAGAGGAGGGAAAGAGGTAGGGAATAGAAGGGGAAGAGGTAGGGAAGAGGAAGTGAAAAAGAGGAAGTGAGAAAGAGGAAGAGAAGAGGAGGGAAAGAGGTAGGGAAGAGGAGTGGAAGAGGTAGGGAAGAGGAAGTGAGAAAGAGGAGGAGGGAAAGAGGTAGGGAAGAGGAGGGGAAGAGGTAGGGAAGAGGAAGTGAGAAAGAGGAAGTGAGAAAGAGGAAGAGAAGAGGAGGGAAAGAGGTAGGGAAGAGGAGGGGAAGAGGTAAGGAAGAGGAAGTGAGAAATAGGAGGAGGAGAAGAGGAGGGGAAGAGGAAGGAAAGAGGAGGGGAAGATGAGGGGTAGATGAGGGCAAGAGGAGGGGAAAAGAAAGGAAGAAAGTAAAACTGAAGAAAATTTTAGCACAGAAAATTAAATGAATGAAGGGAAAGAAGGATAAGGAAAGAAGTGGAATTGAAAAAGAGGTAGAGGGGAGAAGTGGAAATGGGAAAAAAGGGAAAGGGGAGAATTGGAATTGGGAAAGAAGGGAAAAGGGAGATGTGGAATTGGGAAAGAAGGATGAGGAAAGAAGTGGAATTGGGAAAGAGTTAGAGAGGAGAAGTGGAATTGAGAAAGAGGTAGAGGGGAGAAGTGGAAATGGGAAAAAAGGGAAAGGGGAGAAGTGGAATTGGGAAAGAAGTGGAATTGGGAAAGAGTTAGAGAGGAGAAGTGGAATTGGGAAAGAAGGGAAAGTATAGAAGTGGAATTGGGAAAGATGGATGAGAGAAGAAGTGGAATTGGGAAAGAGGTAGAGGGGAGAAGTGGAAAAGGGAAAGAAGGATGAGGGAAAAAGTGGGATTGGGAAAGAGGTAGAGGGGAGAAGTGGAATTGAGAAAGAAGGGAGAGGGGAGAAGTGGAATTAGGAATAATGGATGAGAGAAGAAGTAGAATTGGGAAAGGGGTAGAGGGAGAAGTGGAATCGGGAAAGAAGGATGAGAGCTGGAGGCAAAAGATCAGTGGCAGATAAAAGGTTTAAGTGAGGGGGGTGCGGGTGTTTGATTTATTTCGGAACATAAAATTCCCGATAGAGGAACTAAAAGACGCGCCTTTTCACTTGCTTCTTTGTATATTACTAATGTTTCTCTTATTAATTTACAAACTGTCCCTTTTAAAAATAAATATAAATGCAGCCTTTTTGGTAGAGGTAAGGGGTTAATATGTACAGAACTACAGACCATGTCTATACTTGTGACAAGATTACGTCTGACGATTCAGTTATTCATGCAATATTTTCATTACACATTAAATGATCAAATATGTATAGAAGCATCATTATATTGTAAAACTAATAGCGTGGGTGAAGAGCGGAGGGCTGGGGGTATAGACGCAGATAATTCCTCGATCAAGGGTGCAAGTTATTCTCCCCTCTCACTTGCGATGGGGGTTGGGTCGGGGAAGGGGGTTGATTTGTTAGATTATAACGTGAAATGAAATAACTTTTAAAATAAGATACATAATTGCTGTTTTTGTTACAAGGATTTCTCTGATCCCGTTTCAGAACAAAAACTTGAAACTTAATGATTAGCAAGCTTTGAACAGGTCTGTTTTGTTTGAGTATCAAATATACATACATATAAATGTATACATTTTATAGGCGTAAAATCATGTTTTTATTGCACCCTCCCAATAATTACAAAAAGTGTTCTTGCCCAGGGGTCGGGAGGGAAGTATTTTAGCATTCTCCTCGCCATTTTAATTTTAAAGCCAATTAAAGTCTTAAATTTTTCTTATTGCTTAATATATTTTTCAAAATGTACTCATGCGTTGTAACTTTAATTAATCGTTCAACTCTTAAAAAGAGCCGTTAGAAGCGGGTAGAGAAGAGCCAACTTGCTCCAATGTCAATAAGTATCAAAACAGATAAGTTTTCAGCATAAAATACTTGAAAAAATGCATTAATACCTGTTATAAATAGTACAATATCAAGTTTCACATATTAAACCATTAAACACTGTCTCGATAGAAAATGCGGGAGAGAGACACAGAGAGCGCTACAGATTATGTGTTCACTACTAGCACACCTGAGCACGACTGAGCAGTACTGGGAGAAAATGGGGGGGGGGNTACCAGAATGGATGTGTGGGGGGGGGTTATGTATGAAGTATATATTGTTATATTTAATATATGGTTTGTCCTATAACACACTGCAAGTGTGGATGCAGCGGGGTGCATCTACATACATTATACACCCTAAAATTAAACATTTTCAAATTCTATACTTTCTTAGCAAAATGTTTGTGAACGATCTTGAACCCTCAGTAAAAATGAAGCCCCTAAAATGACCCTGAAAACCGTTTAGGTTTAGGACATTCTTGGTCTCTATACACTTAAACTGCAGAAATTTGACTGTAAAGGAGATTTTGAGGCATTTTGCTTGTGAAGTCAGGCGTTTTAAGGCAATTTGGTGCCAAGATTACATTTTGAAAAAATTGTAAAGCTAAAGAAATATCCCCCCACACCCTCTTTATAAACGGTCCCGTTTGCACATACACGTTTTAAAGTTTTACCATTTCTTGTTTCTTCTTATAAATTCAATAATTGAAATAAAAATTCATTTATACATTAAAAGACCTAATTGGCAGAAATATTTTTAGAGAACCAAGGCAAATATTCCACGGGAAACACCGGGCACATTAGCTCAAAGACTGATTTAAACACCAAACGCGGGTAAACGGTCGGTGTAACTATAATAATATAAACTTGGGTAACGTCGGTCACTCCAGCTAGCAAATACTATTACTGTTGAATTAAATATATTTCTTAGAAAATTATTCTGTGAAGATATTTGTCAATGAAAATAATGTTTTTATTTAATGAAAGCTTTGATCTTCCGGTAACTTTATACTTTGATAGTATTGTTAGTACTTAAAAAAGAAAGAGATTTTAATAACGACCTGTGCTAGATGGATCCTCTTCAGTCGTCGTCGTGTATATCAATATAATGAAGACGACTTTCACTTTCAATTTTGGATTACACATAAATACAGGTCCAAAGAGAGGCTGTCAATTTACAGCTTCTCTTACTACAATTATTACCTAATAATGATCTTATTCAACTACTACACTAATTTATCTAAATATATGATTATCTTATTATTCTTCTAATACAATATTTCAACTATTCTGATTATCAATTGCACACTGCAATTTAAGCGTGCAATATGGCTTGATTTACGCAAATAATCTCCGCAAAAAGCGTAAATTGAATTCTGCGCTGTGAGAACAGGGCATATGGGTGCCCATAAAGCAAGACGGGAAGAGAGAAAGTAATTGAAATAGATAGATGAATAAATTCTAATCAAATTAGGGGGGAAAGATATCTCTAATTTCTCGTATTCGAAATTTCTATAAATCAGATTTTTCATCACTAAAATAGAAAAAAAATCATGTTACTAATATTTTGGGGGGAAGTATCTGAAAGAGGAGAACAGTTTTAGGTAAAAATATTTTTTCCTTTTTACCTTCAAAATCTTCGAGAATTGTAAACAAAATATTCTAAAAAGTTAAAACAAAAATATGGATATCTCTTTCATTTTTGATATTTCAAAGCTTTTAAGGACAATGTCACAATGCTGTGAATCGGACATGCCTCTCTATCAATGGAGGGTTACTAAAACTCACGTTTACAGTCCCTTTCAGGGACACATAAAATTACATTGATAATCGCTTTAGACTGGGTTGGAAAGGTATCTGGGGTTCAGATTGGTTTATGGTCTTAAGGGATTAGTATAATTAGGAATTAATAAACAACTCAACAACTGGGTCTACTGGGAAGAGTTCTTTAAAACTAATATTGTCTCATTAAAAAATCTACGATTTCAAAGAGAACAGTGGAAAAAAATGTTAATAAAAATTTTAAATTAAACTAAAGAAACTTGCCTAATGGTTTACATTTTTCTTTCTGATTTTAGATTTAGAATTGAAATAGACTTTTTTTTTTAAGTAAATACACTAATGTCCAGAAAGAGTGTTTACTTTTTTGAGATAAATAGCTCGGAATTAGAATTGTTAAGGCTCCCATTCCATCACTCAGTCCTGACAGTGAGCAGCTCGCTGTTTGGGATATTGTAAAATGAAGATTTAGATCAAATTAAAAAAATTGGAAAAACGGGTCAGCACAAGTATTTTAAACTGTTAGAGATTATTATGGGAGGTTGGATTAAAAATTTTATCGAAAATTGCGCCTTGATCCATAGAAAAATTGACCATTTTAATTTTTTATTTTAAAAAAATATTAAATATGTTTTTAAAACTTTTATTATTAAAGCCTGTGGTTAATTTATTTTACAATTTTCACGATTTTTACATTTAGATTTCAGTGTTTCATCTATCAAGTTTTTTTTATTCCCATTATAACATATTTTGTACCCATTACAACATATTTTGGACAAAAAATTTCGCTTGAACTATTGAATGTATTTATATACATATTTCATAAAATACAAGACTGCAGCCTCAGCCTCAATACATTATATATGATCATTTCTGTAAAATAAAAACAGGTTTATTTTGTATACAGCAATTTGCATTGAATCCCGCAAATCTAAATTACTATTCATAGAGATTCATAATCATGTGAAAACCAGCTCTTTACAGAGGAACGTCATTTACTCTCAGAAAAATTAGAACAATTTCTATTTTAAACCCCCGCGGATTAAATGATAAAGTGTTTAGCTTAAGAGTTATAAGAGTAAATGATACATTTATCAAAAATATATTATCAGATTTTTTCTTATTTATTTCAAGCCAGCAGAAGTTGGCAACTGCTTAAAAGCCAAAAATCCTCTGACGTTTTTTTTAGACGAAAAGTTGATTAACAAATTTTGGATTTTTTTTTTTTTGGGGGGGGGGGGGTTGGAAAGAAAAAGTAGGAATACTTGTTATGTAGTTTTGATAATTGGATACCTTTTTTCCATCCATATTTTATATTTCTTTAAATTTTTTTACCCTTTAAAATTAGTTTCGAAAATAATATGTTTAAAATTTTTTCAGATATTCATGAAGATTTAAAAATAAAAGAGAATAGAAGTGACGATGAAGGGCATAATTTTATTTCTGATAACTGCAGGTAAATAGTGTAGGAGGGTATGTAGTTGGGTATTTAGTAAAATAGGCAATTACACGAGAAAACCGGTTTTCGAAACCTCTTAAAGGGAATGAATGTGTAAGTTCAAGTGACCCTCATGCAACGATTGCAATGCCCGATTCACAGCTGTACCTTTAAAAGCTTTGTCTGATCAAATAAGAATTATAAATCCATGTTTTTGTTTCATTTGTGGTTTCTCTTCTAAAGTGACTTGCGTATTTCTTGCTTATAGGAAGCAATGGATAATTTTTCAGAATTGTCGAGTCAGGAAAACAACGATATCTTCGACATTTTTTATCCTTGCCATCTTAGCAATTACGCTTATAGTCTCCTTTAAGGGAAAGGTTTGCTATAAAATAATTTTAGAAAAAGTCAAAATCTTCTGTTATCCAGGCTTGAAACATTCACAAAAAAAGAACATTTTCTCCAGAAAAAAAAATATTTTACAAGCTTTTTCAAAAAAAACAATATGATATTTTTTCTAAATATAATGTCGGTGCAGTTGCAAAGACTGTGCAAGGAAAAAATAATTATTTTTCTTTCATTTTTATCAAAGTCAAAAATTCATAAAGTATCTAAAAACAAATTTATAGTGGAAAGAAAAACGATCCATTTGGAGAACGATTGTTTTTTTTTTCAACGTTGATAACGAAACGAAAATGGAGCATGAGACTAGGAAGGTCCCAACGTTGTATTGATGTGTTTAAGCAAATAAATAAAATAATAAATAATATTTTGAATTTTCTTTTTTCATAAGAATTGGTTCGCAACAATGAGAATATGTCACACTGTGTGCACTTTGTATCAGAAAAAACGTTGATAAATCTTTGTTTATAAGAAACCTTATTACATTTATTTTAGTTGGAGTTTGTCATAGCCAAGATATACCAGAGGAACCAGATGTCGAGGTAGAATATTTTGAATAAAAATCAACAAATTTTGTTTTTTAAAAGACATATTTTACAGGTTTGCAATGGAAAGTAATTGCAATGGCCCACGTAATTGCAATTGGTCCACGTCCAAATTAATGTTGTAAAGAAAAGTAACGCAATAAGAAAAGTAATTGCAGTGGTCAACGGCAAACTAAAGTTGTACTTGTAAAGGAAAGTAATTGCAACGGTCCATGTCAAATTAACGTTATAAAGAAAAATAATTGCAATTGGTCCACGTCAAATTAACGTTGTAAAGGAAAGTTATCGCAATTGGTCCACATCAAATTAACGTTGTAAAGGAAAGTAATTGCAATGGTTTACGTCAAGTTAATGTTGCAAAGGAAAGTAATTGCAATTGGTCCGCGTCAAATAAATGTTGTTAAGAAAGGTGATTGCAACGGTCCACGCCAGATTTACATTAAAGGAAAGTAATTGCAATTGGTCTACGGCAAACTAACGTTGTAATGGAAAGTAATTGCAATGGTCCATTTCAGATTAATGTTTCTAAAGGAAAGTTATTGCAGTGGTCCACGTCAAATTAACGTTGTAAAGGAGGAAAGTAATTGCAATGGTCCACGTCAAATTAACGTTGTAAAGGAAAGTAATTGCAATTGGTCCACATCAAATAAACGTTGTAACGGAAAGTAATTGCAATGGTCCACGTAAAGTTAAAATTGTAAAGGAAAGTAATTGGAATGGTCCACGTCAAATTAATGTTGTAAAGGAAAGGGTCCATGTCAAATTAATGTTGCAAAGGAGGAAAGTAATTGCAATGGTCCACGTCAAGTTAAAGTTAAAGGAAAGTAATTGCAATGGTCCACGTCAAGTTAAAGTTAAAGGAAAGTAATTGCAATGGTCCACGTCAAGTTAAAGTTAAAGGAAAGTAATTGCAATGGTCCACGTCAAGTTAAAGTTAAAGGAAAGTAATTGCAATGGTCCACGTCAAGTTAAAGTTAAAGGAAAGTAATTCCACACAATTGTTCAGTTTTTAATATTTATTTGTATTTTTTCCCAAATTCTGTGATTGATCATTTTAAAGTTTAGATTTTTAATGATGACAACTTTGAGGGGCCAAAAACTGCTGCCCTGGTGGATGGAGAAAATGCGGATCGAGGTTAAATAAAAATTTTATTTTTCAAACCTCAAAACAGTTCTGTCTGAAAATTTTCCTTGGCCAATTTTTGGAAACAAAAATGAGTTATAATAAAAAGAACAAATACAAAATTATTTTTTTGTTATTTAACACTAAAATGTAAACATATAGGTAAAAATAACGATAAATTACATTTTAAAACGTTCACTTTTGAACCAAAAAAAAATACTTTCAAAAACATTAAAATCATATTATGCGATCATCACTCAAGAGTCAAGTCTCAAGGTAAAGTAGAGGAGTTACGACTGCATAAAGTCGTAGTAGTTCTTTAATCTAGATTCAAGTGGAGACTTTGTATTTCATAAATATGATTTGTGTGTTCTGGCAAATTCTTCATTTTTTAAAAAATAATCTAGATATTTGATTCTTTTAGTTTTAAAGTTTATGCTTCACCTCACTTTGCTTCACGCAACAACAGATTTGTGCATTTATACCTAATACTTAATGTTGACATAAACTATTTTATTATCATTTTATTTTATTTTTGTTGAAAATTGGAATTTCAAATTTGGGGCTTATTTTTATACATTTTCTTAATTTAGGAGAGCATCCTTGGCATGTTGGGTTAGTAAGGTCAGTAAATATTTTGTGATAAGTGAAAAAGGGCATATGTTTTTGATAACAACAAAAACAGACGCAGCTTACACGCTGAATCACAAAATGCTGTAGTGCACTTAACAATGAGCAATTAAATACAAGTTATTTTATCATAGGTTGTCCAAAAGAATTGAAACAACGTTTTCAATTTTATATAGAATTTCAAATTAAATTCATTTATCATTACTATGATTGTTGCACTATAATTTTTTTATTATTTTATTGCTAATTATTTGTAGCTTTTGTCATAATTATCATTAATGTTATCATAATTACAACTATTGTTGATATTGATTTTAATAATACTTGCGCAACATGCTGACACACAAAAAAAAACTAAAAAACTCAAGTTAAACACATTTATCTGCTAGTTTTATCTGTTTACATTTTAAAATTCAAATAAAAACCTGGATTTTTTACTTCTGCTGTGTCCTAAATTTCATTTAATAAAAACTAGTTTTGTGTATTTAGAGAAGAGTCTAAAACTGGGTTTCTTGGCTGGGTACGTCATCTTGGAGGATTAATCAGGAATCAGCTGACAATACCAAACCAAATCAAATTCCTCAAGAAATCTGCAAAAACACGTTATTGGTTGCCTGTTGGGGCAGCAACTAAATTTTTGATTTTTAATGCAAAAGTTTCTAGACCATGGGTCAACTTTGAAGTATCGCTACACCTTGGTCTTTGTTTTTACATTACTAACTCACTTATATATTGTGTATCCTTAGACGTGTTCAATGTATACAACGTTCAACTTGTTCTAGTTTTAGTTAAAAAGAGTAATGGTAAAATTCTGATAACTTTTTTGTGTGAGTGCATGCGCATTTGGATTTCCTTACCGTGATGCTTAATCTATATATAAAGTAGTAATGTCTGTTTGTTTGCTGGTATATCCGATTATAACTCATGAACCCCATGACCGATTCACCTCAGAGTTTGATTGGGGATCTCGGGAGAACCACGGGAATGTTCTTAAATTGGTTTTATAATTTGAAGTTAAAGCACACAAACGAAGTTTGGAAGTTTTCAATTGATAAAGTTGTTGAAAATGTATTTCACGCTGATGTCGGCCCTAGAACAACGACATATTGTGGAGCTTCATTGGTTAGCACAAGGTAAATTCAGGCATCGGAGCCCGGATCCTACCAGAGGAATATCGGAGCCCGGATCCTACCAGAGGAATATCGAAGCCCGGATCCTACCAGAGGAATATCGGAGCCCGGATCCTACCAGAGGAATATCGGAGCCCGGATCCTACCAGAGGAATATCGTAGCCCGGATCCTACCAGAGGAATTCAGTCATTGCTAAAAACTTTAATTTTCTTCTATATCTTTGCAACTCAATATCGTAGTCCCATGAATATTTCAAACTATTAATTCTGCTATATCAAATAATCTAAGTTTAGAATATATAAGGTGTACACCATCATGTTGCAAAGATTAGAATATCAGAGTTTGTGGCGAAGATTCAATTCCTTGGTGGTATATTTAGATGTACTCTGTATGTCTCCGTCAGTACTCTTTAGTACTTGGCTGTTAAAAAATAAGTTAATCTCAGTCAGCACATATGTATATTCTAATTTACTTTCGAATAATTTTCTTATTTCCAACAACCTCTAAATATCTCAATATGTATTATATATATAAATTATTACAGTTTTATTTTGTCTAAAGGAATTGAGTCTTTTCCACAAACTCTGATTTTCTAATCCCTATATCTTTGCTACCCAACTTCGTGAATCTTAGATATTTCAAACTATGCATTTGGTTAGATCAAATAATCTAAGTTTGAAATAGCAAAGGTTTACACCATCAGGTTGCAAAGATAAAGGAATTTGAAAATACGAGTTTTTTACAAAGACTCAAATCCTTTACCTAAACTTCTGTCAAAGTTCTGAAAAATGCGCTTTTTTTAATACTCCCTTTGTATGTTCGCAGTCTGATAAAAAAGGCAATAAAAGAATTTATTTTAATCTTAAAATTTTGTCAAATAAAAATTCTTGACAAGACATCTTGTTTGTTTTTAAAGTTTTTCTAAATTAATTTAGATGGTTGGTTACTGCAGCGCATTGTATAAGGGAAGACGACAGACCAGTTGATCTCAGGTAAATAAGTTTGTGCTTTTCTATTAAAGAGACTGCACCCGTAATTTCAAGTGAAGCTCCATGCAAAGACGACAATTCCTGATTTAAAACGTAACAACGGTACCCTTGTTACCTAAACCTGATAAAAATGTGTAGGATACCTTGTTTTTTAGCCTCGAAAAGTGTTCTATGACAATAATACAGCCATTGCTTCTTAGAAGCAAGAAATGCGCAAGTCTCTTTTGCAGAGAAACTTCTCATGAAAACAAATTATTTAAAGAAACAAAAACTAAATCTAATTCATACCTGACATTGCAAACTAAGGTGTACACGCTTTAGCGGGAAAATCGAGCAGTATTTTTGCAATTACTTCTTTTAGTCGTAAGCTAGAAACAAGTGTGTACCAGTTTAAAAAAGCATGTTACTAGGCCTCCAAAAAAGTATAAGTGCGCGCTAGTTGATGAGGTGAACCCAAAGCCCAAGGCTTTGCGACAATTTAAAGTTTTGGCTTTATGCATGGAGGCCCGGATCACTTGAAATTGCGCTTACAGTCCCTTTAAATGTAAATATTCATCATCAATATGTTTAAAGTAATCTTTGTTTGTCTGTTCTGGCGTTTGTTGATATCTTATCATATCTCAAAATCACATTGACCGATTTGCCTCAAAATTTGAGATTCTAAGATTCAAAGTTTAACGACAAGATGTGGGTAAACTGTGGGACTAACTATGACCCCTATGGGTTCCCAAGCTAGTATATGTATAAAGTAGTTGAGACAAGGGAATGTTCTTATAAATTTTAAGTTCATCAGTTTGACTTGTAACGATCTAGGTCCCGATCAATCTCCCAATATTTAACTCAAACTCTAATAATCAGTCTACAAGACTCTATCTCTCTAGCCAAAACCCTTGCTGTACACGTCCGTTTAAAACGACTGTTGATACTATACTAATTTATTGATACAGGTGAATATGGGTTGACCAGGCCCGCCGGTCAGGGTCAAACAAACGCATTGATAATAGATAAACGAAACATAGTTAATAAAGATAGTACACTAATCTAGCCCCAAAATTTATTACTGCAGTCTTTATGAGAGAAAACTTAGTTTAGGAAAAACCCGAGTTGCCAAGCTATGGTTCTAAATAATATTTTATGTTAAAATATCCGGTTAATGATGTATGCGTTACTACAGTGTGTGTGCCTCCCACTAAACATGAAAATATATAGACGACCCGAATATTGACAAAAATGAACCTACTAACAAATGTTTTTTAAATAGGTGTTTCTCTTCAAATCTTTCCTACATGAAAATCTTGCAACATAGTGTAACCTTGTTTTAATTCACATGTTGCCATTATTGCCATAAGTCGTCGCTTTATTGTCATAAATTTAATAAAGTAATGACAAAAAAGAAACAAAACCATTTCTTCTTGCTCAGTTTTATTTAATTAATATTGTATATTTGTTATTGTGATTTTTATTTTGAATTATGTCTATATTGTATTTGTAGAGTTGTAATGGGTAGCAGCAAGCGAGCCCGATACTTTTACTACTTTTTCCAGGTATTTTTAATTGTTTACTTAGTTCTACATTGGGGCTTTTTCTATAGCTTTATATTTAGATAGTAGTACTATTAGTAATCAGCCTAATATTGGGCTTTTTCTATAACTTTATATTTAGATAATAGTACTATTAGTAATCAGTCTAATATTGGGCTTTTTCTATAACTTTATATTTAGATAATAGTACTATTAGTAATCAGTCTAATATTGGCTTTATATTTAGATAATAGTACTATTAGTAATCAATATAATATTGGGCTTTTTCTATAGCTTTATATTTAGATAGTAGTACTATTAGTAATCAGTCTAATATTGGGGTTTTCTATAGCTTTATATTTGGATAGTAGTACTATTAGTAATCAATATAATATTGGGCTTTTTCTAAAGCTTTTTATTTAGATAATAGTACTATTAGTAATCAATATGATATTGGGCTTTTTCTATAGCTTTATATTTAGATAATAGTACTATTAGTAATCAATATGATATTGGACTTTTTCTATAGCTTTATATTTAGATAATAGCACTATTAGTAATCAGTCTAATATTGGGGTTTTCTATAGCTTTATATTTAGATAGTAGTACTATTAGTAATCAGTATAATATTGGGGTTTTCTATGGCTTTATATTTGGATAGTAGTACTATTAGTAATCAATATAATATCGGGCTTTTTCTAAAGCTTTATATTTAGATAATAGTACTATTAGTAATCAATATGATATTGGGCTTTTTCTATAGCTTTATATTTGGATAGTATTACTATTAGTAATCAGTCTAATATTGGGCTTTATATTTAGATAATAGTACTATTAGTAATCAATATAATATTGGGCTTTTTCTATAGCTTTATATTTGAATAGTAGTACTATTAGTAATCAGTATATTATTGGGCTTTTTCTATAGCTTTATATTTGGATAGTAGTACTATTAGTAATCAGTATATTATTGGGCTTTTTCTACAGCTTTATATTTGGATATTATACATCGTTTTATATTAGTTTTTTTTCTACAGCTTTATATTTAGATAGTAGTACTATTAGTAATCAGTATAATATTGGGCTTTTTCTATAGCTTTATATTTAGATAGTAGTACTATTAGTAATCAGTATAATATTGGGCTTTTTCTATAGCTTTATATTTAGATAGTACTCGTAGTCCAATATTGTTTTTTTTTCTTTAACTTCATATTTAGTTAGAACTTAGTTCAATATCGAGCTTTTTCTATAGCTTTAAATTTAGATAGGACTCGGTCCAATATTGTGTTTTTCTATAGCTTTATATTTAGATAGGACTCAGTCCAATATTGTGTTTTTCTATAGCTTTATATTTAGATAGGACTCAGTCCAATATTGTGTTTTTTATATAGCATTATATTTAGATAGGACTCAGTCCAATATTATGTTTTTTCTATAGCTTTATATTTAGATAGAACTCAGTCCAATATTGTGTTTTTTCTATAGCTTCATATTTAGATAGAACTCAGTCTTATATTTGGTTTTTTCTATGGCATTATATTTAGATAGGACTTAGTTCAATATTGTGTTTTTTCTATAGCTTTATATTTAGATAGGACTCAGTCCAATATTGTTTTTTTTTCTATAGCTTTATATATAGGTAGGACTCAGTCCAATTTTGTGTTTTTTCTATAGCTATATATTTTTTTCTATTCATTGGAAAATGACCTTGCTAAAACGAACGAATGTAAACATTAATTTAAAGATAACTAACAGACACGTTTATTGTTAAAATTAAAGGAATGTATCATTCAGGGTGACCTACGAAATATGACAGTTGGTGAATAGTTTTAAATGTCTTGTTCAATAAATTGTAAAGTTGGTTGGTACCAAAGAGAGTAATAAAACAGATTATATGGCAGTTTTATTATAGTAAAATTGATTTCAAAGTAAAATATATTTGAGTAAAAGATTTTCTGAAACGAGATAAACTGCAAAAAGTATTTATATTTTATACAGTATGTGGAAGAAGGCATTTAATACTATTAAGATGTTACATAGATTACTAACAATACAGATAGAACGCTAACCCCTTTAGACTTCTGCCTCGGGTTATTGTGAACAAAAAACACATTAAGATCTTGAAAAGACGACATCCAGTTTTCTATCTCTGTAATGTTACTAATCTTTATCTTCTTTAATGATTTAAATCAGGTTAATCCTGACTAATAAACGGGCCATGTAGATCAGTTTCGGATACTTTCATACTAATTTTACCGACCGATATTATAGATTATATCAGTGTTACTGCTCAACCAGACTATTTTTTAAACAGACAGTATGGACCAATTAAGAGTTAATCCAGACTATTGTTTCAGATTGACAGTATAGACCAGATCAGGGTTCATCCGGACTATTTTTTCAGACTGACAGCATAGATCAGATCAGAGTTCATCCAGACTATGACACGGGAAGTCATAATTATGATATTGCCCTCCTTCGACTTAAGAAACTTCCAGAGCTCGTACCAGGTACCCCACCACTTAACTAATTGTACCAGGTACCCCACCACTTAACTACTTGTACCAGGTACCCCACCCTTAACCACTTATACCAGGTACCCCACCACTTATCTACTTATACCAAGTACCCCACCTCTTAACTAATTGTACCAGGTACCCCACCACTTAACTAATTGTACCAGGTACCCCACCACTTAACTAATTGTACCAGGTACCCCACCACTTAACTAATTGTTCCAGGTACCCTACCACTTAACTACTTGTACCAGGTACCCTACCACTTATCTACTTATACCAGGTACCCCACCACTTAACTAATTGTACCAGGTACCCCACCACTTATCTACTTGTACCAGGTACCCTACCACTTAACTAATTGTACCAGGTACCCCACCACTTAACTAATTGTACCAGGAACCCCACCACTTAACTAATTGTACCAGGTACCCCACCACTTAACTAATTGTACCAGGTACCCTACCACTTAACTAATTGTACCAGGTACCCCACCTCTTAACTACTTGTACCAGGTACTCCACCACTTAACTAATTGTACCAGGTACCCTACCACTTAACTAATTGTACCAGGTACCCTACCACTTAACTAATTGTACCAGGTACTCCACCACTTAACTAATTGTACCAGGTACCCTACCACTTAACTAATTGTACCAGGTACCCCACCACTTAACTAATTGTACCAGGTACCCTACCACTTAACTACTTGTACCAGGTACCCCACCACTTAACTAAAGTTTATTAGATCATTGTAAACTCCGGTTCATTTCAAGTACAAGATCGACTTTTAATCTGCGAAAGCAAGCTTTACAGTACAAATACAGACTTTGTAAGGCATAACGGGACTGTACGCCATGACCCCTAACTTGTGAAATTCTTGTGTCATTTAAGTTTGAAATCTGGCATATTTACTCTGTTTTTGTTCTATTACAATTGAAAAGAAAAAGTCGTTTTTAATGCAAAATATGCAATTGCAAATAAGTTTAGTTTTCCTATTTTTGTGTACACGATGTATAAGATGATTGTACTTATTATGCATGTTAAGAATGTAGATCCACATTTTTGATCAGACTAAGGTTTAAAGTTTACCGTTGTAAATCGGACATGCCACTCTATAAATAAAATGTCACTTGATAAAATGTCTATTTACTGTCCAAGGAGCATAATCATGGAATTTTAGTGGGATCAAATCGACCCGGTCCGCCCTACGGTACTTCATTTAAATAAAAAATATTTGTCTGACGTATCATGTACAAATACCACGTACATGTATTCAGAATACGTTATTGTTTACATCAAACAGTGAAAAAATTAGACTGAATAACGCAAACAAATACTTTTTTTGGGACACACAAATATTAGCAATACAAGCTTTTTTAGAATATAAAAGATTGGTTTTATTTGATATGGTATGGTAAAAAAACACATTTAAAAAATTAAAAGACAAATTTTAATAATCTATTTTTCAAATGGCGGACCCGCCTGCCAAGCATGTATAATCAGATGGTAGGGCGGGCCGGGTCGATTCCATCTCCCTTCTATTCCATGCTCCTAGCTTAAGCTACTGTACCTTTAAGGTGAACTATGGCCTGTATGCCTCCCCTCTGTTCCTGTGGAGAGCTATGAAGGGCAAAAAGCGACTGTAATTGGCTGGGGTAGAACAGAAGGAAAGGATGGAATTTCGGCCAGGTGCATTTTTAAATTTTTTAAATGTTTTTGTTTGATATAATTTTCCCTATCATAATCTTTCTTAATATCTACATTATATATTGGAATACATAATCATTCCATGCATTTCTTTTCCCTGGAAATTTGATTTTTCTTATCAACCTAGGTCCGGCAGTTTTCAAAGGAACCATGATTTTTTGCCGCAAACTCAAATTTTCCATTCCTTACATTTTTGCAATCTAACGATTTAAACACGTTAAATTTTGACTTTTAATAAAGGAACATTGACCAGGTTTATTTTTAGATTGTTTTTCAATATTTTTTTTTTCATTTTATCATAATTGCTATGACTATGGGATATATCTTAGTACTTAATTATTATTTTTCATCCTTAGAATTTAAAGTCCGTAGATGTTGTAGTAATTCTTGGTCATTTTGTTCCCCGACCATTCCTGAAATTGCGAATTTGACACATTTAAATTTAAAATTTGGCGAAACTATAAAGCATGGCATGCATAATGCATATCCTTCCATTAACGTTTTGGTGCCATGTAAACAAATCTTAGTTAAGAATGGGTGCATTTTTGTATGAAGTAAAATCCGTCATTCAGAGTATGATTGAAAAATCCGATAGTTTATTAACCATGTAGTCCTAACATTTTAGAGACAGTGTGTTATCAATTTAATTATGATCGGGTATTGATTAAGCCTTTGATAGAAAAAAGTGTGAAGTGTTTTTTTCTCCACACCCTTCAATTGATTTAGCTCATTTTCTCTGATCCCTTTTTCAAAATTCAAGTTTATTCCCTTTAAAATGTTTTCCCTTCAGACATCTTCAAGAATTAGATGTAGAAATCATCAGTCAAGAGACCTGCCAGACACAGTGGGGATACGGGAAGGGAAGAGTAGAGGTAAAATAATAAAAAAAAACTTTTTGAAAACTAATTTTTTCAAAAACAGTATTATGTAAGATAAAAAAAATTATAATAATGATAATGATTTTAATAATGATTCTAAAAATATAAATAATAATAATAATAATAATAATAATAATGATAATAATAATGATAATGATAATGATAATAATAATAATAATGATAATAATAATAATGATGATGAGGATGGTGATGATGATATGTACTACTTCAAGATCAGTTGCCCAAATACGTTCTATTTCTACATCGGAGGCCCTTATATTATTTATAGAGGCCCTTAAACCTTCTATTTATAGTTTGGAGGCCCATACACGTACCATTTCTAGATCGGAGGCCCTTCTATCTGGATCGAAGTACCTTAAACCTTCTATTTCTAGATCGGAGGACCTTCTATCTTGATCGGAGTACCTTAAACCTTATATTTCTAGATCGGAGGCCCTTCTATCTTGATCGAAGTACCTTAAACCTTATATCTAGATCGGAGGACCTTCTATCTTGATCGGAGTACCTTAAACCTTATATTTCTAGATCGGAGGCCCTTCTATCTTGATCGGAGTACCTTAAACTTTCTATTTCTAGATCGGAGGCCCTAAAATGTGCTTCCGTTCATCTGGAGCATCATGTCATGGTGATTCAGGAGGAGGAATGTTTGTCAAAAAGATGGACAGGTATAAAAATAACAGAATTCAGAATATTCATTTTTAAATCATGAGACGTTTTCTCAAACTCTTCTCATGTTTTTTGAAATAAAAACTAATTTAAGAACTTTTTGAAAATATAAATATATTATAAAAAATAAACTATATACAAATGTGGCGAAAGATAATCGATGTATTATATAGGTTGTAATATCTGAATGATTTGTTTGAAATTAAATTGATTTTTTACGGTCTAAGTAGTATGTTGCAATTTTCTGAATTTGTATGGGCGCTAAGTTATTCAGTATGAGACGTCTTTAACAATTTTCTCCTTATAGAAGCAACAAATAGAAGTAAGATTAGTAGCGATCAAAAGCGCTTTTTTATCGCATTAAGCCTATTATTTTTCGCGAACACTCCCTTTAAAGAACTCTACTGCATATAATTTGTGAACATTTACATGATTTGTACATTTTGTTCAGGCTGAAAGGGACTGAAAAATTCATACCGAGGGATTGTCTAATATTTATTCTATTCTCTTTTGTTGAAAGGCAGGGATTAAAAAAATCCTTAACAGTCAATAATTTACAAAGAAAATGATATTTTCCCACATAACATAAATTTTCTGTTCCCAATATCTTTGCAACCTGACTATATAAACCTTTTGATATTTTGAACTTAAACTAGCTTTTTGATCTAACAGAATTAATAGTTTGAAATATCAAAGGTTGCAAAGAAATTGGGGTTTGAAAATCTGATTTTGTTGCAAAAACCTGTTTCTTTATAAATTTATTTTTACTCTTGTTTAGTCTTGAGTTGGTCGGAGTATGTTCTTATGGTTTAGCAGATTGTCAGAACTGGGCCCCTGAAGTGTACACTAAGGTATCAACTATTTTATTTAATGGTTGTTTTTCATCAGCTGTATGATTTTCATCTGATTGATACTGGTGATTGGGGTTTAGCAATTTTATTTCCTTTGGATGCATTGGTTAATAATTAAATAACTGGTTTCGTTTGATTTTGATAAAAACAAGGTTCGCTGACAAAATTGCACTTTTTTAATTTTGTAGTTTTTACTTTTAATTGTATACAATTTCCTGGCTGAAAAATCGAAATTTTATTTATTATGTTGCTGATTTTTTATCTTAATTGAAAGAATTGTTGGTGTGTTATATTTAGAATTTTACGAAGAACTCTTAAAATAATGTCCATTATAAGAACTTTGATTATGTTCATAGCACTGTCAAAAATTACGTGGAAATCTAAAAATATGAGGTTTTTATACTTTAAGACTAAGCTTATAATTTTTAAAGCATTTGATTGAGATTAAGTGCAATATTTCTAGGCTAAAATAATGTACAGAGTACACATTTTAATCAAAAGTTACCAACCAACAGACCAAAAAATCTTCTATAAAAACGGGATTCAAAAGATTTTTTTGTTTTGTTTAAAAATCAATTTTTAAAAACCTTATGGTTTGATTTTCAAATTTTTTTATCTTGTTTTCAATCTTTTCAAACAACATTTTTAATTTTTTTATTTTGGGACTAAGATTTTGTGACATTTTGACATTAGCACTTATGTGATTAAAGATTTTTAGTAACGTTTAAAAGCTTGAACTACAGAGCGTCCCATATCATATTATATTATCTCCAAGCTTTAACGCCAAAATACGCGAAATAATACACGAAAAACAAAGAATTTTCTGCAAAAAATCTTTTATAGAAACCTTATACATTTTTTAGAATGCTTCAAAGTTTTTAAATTTTCTGATTAGTCCCTAAAATCACGATTTTGAACTATTTACGATCTAATATGATGTGGGACACCCTGTATTTCTTTTCAAAGGGAGTGTTTTTATTGGCAAAATGTGATTAAGATGTAGTAAAGTTTTTTCTTCTGTTTCTAAAATATTGCTGTTTTTTTATTTACTAAAGAATGAATAAAATTGTTGAATTCAGGTGAGCTTCGTTATTGATTGGATAAAGAAGACGATTAGAGAAACAGATCTTGATGATCTCAACATGCCTCAGGTAATTGTGTCAATTTTATCATTTTAGTTTCTTAAATTTTTTTGAAAATTATAGATTTAATTTTGTTTTCCTCTCCACCTTAATATTTTATTCATATTTTCTAAACAACTTAAATAAAGTGGTTTTATTTAACTATTATTGTATTAATAATGTTTTGTTAAGTGCGGGAAGACGACAATTAATGCCACTAATAGAAGACGGAGGGCAGATCCAGTGTTTGATTGGGTTTATAAATATGCAAAGGACTATGTTGGAAACTCATTTGCTTATTAGAAGTGTTGTCAATTTCATATTTTAAAGCTTTTATGCATTTTTTACATTTTTTTCGGATGAAGTGTAAAAAAAATTTAATTCTTTTGATTTTGAAACCAAGGTTGTATGCACTCGAATGTCGTCTCCTAAGATAGATACAGACTGAGCGTCCAATATCATATTAGATTAATGTCCAAGCTTAACGTCAAAATACGCACATAATACTTAAAAAACCCTGGATGTTTCTCAAAGAAAACTTTTATAGTAACCTCATAAATATTCAAAAAAAGATTCATTCTTTTTTATATTTTCTGATCTAGTCCTAAAATCACAATTTTTAGCTATAAAGGCTCTGATATGATGTGGGACACCCTGTAGATAAAACCTCATATGACGTTACTGATTAAGAAGGCGAGAGTGACTTCAAATGAGGTTTTTATCTATCTTGGGAGACCACATTTTCTGTACAGAGTGAGTAACCAACCTTACGTTACACACACTGTACAATGTATACACATCTCTTATATTTTTCTCATTCTTGAATTCTTCATTATACATTTTATATTATTGTAAATATCAATATTCAGCTGTAATTAAAATGTGATGTTAACCAATCTTGATAAGCATAAACTTTCAATACTACATTTTTGCAAGCTTTTTTATAATACATTGTACAGATTGTCCCATATGATATTAGATTACCTCCAAGCTTTAACGCCAAAATATTCGAAAAACATATCATTTCCTGCAAGACAATTTTTAAATTAGCCTTATTCAATTTTTCAAAATGATTTATTCTTCTTAAATTTTCTGATTAGTACCGGAAATTGTAATTTAGACCCATTGCCGATCTAATAAGATGTGGGACACCCTGTATTAAATCAAAAATTCTTGTCTACATATCTTAAATGAAGATTTTCCCTACATTTTTTATTAGTAAAAATTAATTTTTTGACTCGTTGATTTAACTTCAAGTGTAAGCGTTAATATAATAAAAATTTAAAAGATATATATTTAATATTTTTGCTTACTTAGGACCAGGTAGGCAATACATATTCGATTAGAATACCAGAGTTTAAGGCAAAAACTCAGTTTCTTCTTTAATATTAATTGGGAATATTTTTAACCTAAAATTTGTTATTAGTTATCTATAAAATTATTTCGTCGAATGCACGGTTGCCTGATAAAAATAACCATTTTTTTCTTAGAAACGTCTCTCTATTTTTATTTGTTCCATGACGAAATATTAGGAGGTGCTTTTTCTTCTAAAAAAATGTAAATCATTGTACATAATATTTTACAAAGAAATACGTTTTATCTAGGTAAATGAAATATTTAAATACTGTTTTGAAGTAGAGACAAAGTGTAATGATCATTTTGAGATCTCTGAATCAACTGAAGATTCCTTGACAGAAATTCAATGAAATGTTTTCGTATAAAAAATACTCGATAAGATTGCTATTTAAGTTTCAAATTACAACTTGATCAACATTGTTAACTTCAACTATTCTTGCCAGTCGGATAGTTTCACGTACAAGGGTGTCTGTCGCGGGGTGCAATGTACACTTTCAAATTATTGAAAAAGATTTAGAAGACTTTACAAAAATTATTAAATTAAGAAAACATTCAAATAGGAAGACGACTATATGCTTAAGTCTTGCCAGTAATTTGTTGAATCACTTATTTTGTGAGATGGGTCTGTTTTCACTGCACAATTGCTGTTTCTTATGTTCATTGGACTTTTGAAAGTTATTGCATCTTAATGTCGTCTTAAAATTTCAGTTTTCTGATGAATTTTTTTTTTATATTTTATCCCTGCACTGCAGCATAAAAAAGTGATAAAAAGATTAAAATACATTATTATTGATTTTAGTGTTCTCTTTATATTTATTCCCTATGTAGCTGTGAACATCTTTTGTTAAAGTTAGCCATTTTGTTAAAGTTTGGCATTTGAGGTAAAATTACTAAATATTTGTTATTGAAATGGTTTGAAAAAGAAAAAAGTAACTTTTTAATTTTTTTCACATCATGAAAATACTTTTTTTTTGCAACTTTACAAAACAATTAAAACATCTTAACTTTACAAAAACCACAATTATTAAAACTAAAAATTTAACATAAATCTAGTAACGCTCTTTTTCACAAATGAAAACTTTTTAATTAACCATTGAGGTACCTTTATTGTTTTGAGTTCTTTTAAGAAACAAAAATTGGTATGCAATAATCAAAAAATATTCTATAAATATACAAACTGAAATAGAGAAATAGCTTAACTGTTGGCGTTGTTGACAGAAAACAAGTATAAAACGGGGATTTTACTAATTTACAATTATTATATTTTTAGAATACAGTTATCACACTCATTTTTTCAAGTTCAGATTTTCTTTCATGTGATAAATGATGGAATGTAGAAGAATATCTAAAAATCAGATAGTTACTAATACTAAATTTATCTAAGCCAAAAAAATAAAAATAGGAAAAAAATTAATATACAAATTCAACAATGCAAATTGATTTTTTTTTATAATTCAGTCTTTAGAATTTCCATGACTAAAATTTGAAAATGAATATTTTCTCAGAATCCAGAATCATGGACAACATTTTATACATAAATGTTTTAGAAAATTAGCAAGAACAAGCCGTCATCAACTGTTTCTAAACTCCAATCGCTGGAAAGGCACCGGGGGTGGCAAGACATCCTCTGAAAGAGTGTATTTAATGATAAAAGGAAAGCTAGGGGTAAATATTTTAAAAACTAATTATTAAAATAACAAAAATCAATGATATAACTTCATATGTTCATTCCCTCAGAATATACTACAGCTAAAATATACACCAACATCCCGTGAGTATACTATTCCAGGTCAGGTTAGCTTAAGATACATATATAGTCACGGGGGGTTGCTATATTACAGAAGGAGGGAGGGAGGGGGGGGGGGTCAATGGCACATTTAATCTAAAATTACCGATGAATACCTATTATCTGAATGTCGTCATCATCATCTGTTAGAGATTCAATGTCAGGAGTAACGTGTTCACTTGTGGATACGTTACTTACGACGAGTTCATTTTTCTTCATAATTTTACTTCTAATCGCTGACAATGTTTCTGTTCCAGCTTGTCTAGAGTTGCTGCTACTTGACCCTGCCTGGTTATTAACAGACTGAGTACGACTGTCAGCATTGAAAGCAGACCGATTATTGCTGACAGCTGACTTAGAAATATTGACAGCAGACTGAGTGCTGTTGTCACCAGACTGAGAAATACTGGAAGCAGACTGATTATTGCTAACAACAGAATTATTAATTTTGATGGCAGACTGATCATGGCTTACAGCAGTCTGAGAAAGGGAGGTAGGATGAGAAGCCGCCTGAATGACTCCTGATTGATTACTAGCGGATTGTTTAATCTGATTGTAAACATGACGAGCTCGTTGCTCCACCTCCTCTCCACCAATAACCTCACTGGAATATATTCTAAATTAAAATCTTGAAGAATAATCTATATAAATAAAAATTGCAAATGAAACCATGGTTAAAAAGCCAAAATTTTTAAGTGTACGTGAATTTGAATTAATTAATGTATTTTTTTTTATAGCAAATTGCAACCCTTTGAGCCGAGATGGAGAATAAATTGGGAAATACGCCAAGTTTATCCCACCCTGTAACGTGTTCATTCAAGGAAGAAGAGTTGAGATGTCCAAGCAAAAGGAGATCAGTTTTGAGACAAAAAGAGAAGCTAGAAAGGTTCTTTGAATATCTTCAGTTCCCTTCCTTGTAATGTATTTGCATTATCCCAAAGAAGAAAAACTATGATTTGCGAAACAAAATTTAATTGAATGCTCACCAAATTTGAATATCTAGAGAAGTTTCGTCAGAAGGTTCATCCTCATCTGACGTTAAAGTTATTTCTTCAGGAGTGCTTCTCACAGTTGAAGAATATACTTGAGATACATTTCGTACAGAACAGGACGGAAAATCAGCACGAGTTAATTTTTTCGGACTACCTCTTTCAGCAGAGGAAAATATTGCGGGTACATTCGGTATAGAACAGGACGGTAAATCTGCAAGAGTTATTTCTTCAGTACTACCTCTTACAGCAGAGGAAAAGGTAGCAGGTACATCTGGCACAGAACTGGACAGGACGTCCGAAAGAGTTAACATTGAACATTTGCCCTCTCTTGCACGGATTTTATCGCAGTTTGTATCTTGGGAAGATGAAGAGGGTTTCTGACAAAAAGAATTAAAAGTTCTGGGTCTTGAGGTAGACATTGAAGTAGATGATGAGAGCTGTTCAGTCCGAATTCGTTCTGTAGATTCACCTTCTGAATTTTTAACAGATGTCAGTCTAGACAAAAACCAGCAATTTTACAAAAAGTATAAATAAATTATGTTTCAATAAAAAAGATCCAGATTGATGCTTTTAAACAGATTTCCGTCTGTATCACGTGACAATGATACTGCACTGCCATTGGCTGAAGTTCTGGCGACGTAAGAACTATAAGAACTATATGTAATAATATTATCAATTATATCTATTAAAAATGCAAAATAAAAATTAAAAAATTATAATAGGAGCAAACCTGAGATTCTCAGGCTCTTGTTGAACATCTCAAACCAAATAAATTTTTTATCTGAAAGAGAACAATTGAAACCTAAACATTTTTTCCTTTTTTATTCAAAATTTGCCGCTCCCCCCCCCCTCTCCCAAGAATTTAATAACAAAAAGAATGTTTAGGAAACTGATCAACGTATCTAGATACAGAAATGATGATTAAAGCGTTGTGAAAGAATAGTTTGATGGCAAAAAAAGAAAATTCTACTCCAATTTTTCTTCGATTTTAAGACCAACTTTGACGCACGGTTTTAAAAGAACATAATTTTGATAAGTTATTTTTAAACGTAGTTCAGGGAAGACCTCTTTACCCACCCCCCATTCCCCAAAGAGGGTATCGGGGGTGTTGCTGGGGGATGATACAAATAGGCAAAAGGTTGAGTCACCATGCAAGGGATAAAATTTAATGCCGTTCTAAAAAGGATAAACGCCTGAATAAAAAATAACAACCTGAAATAGCCTAGCCCATGGAAGGATGCTGGTTTAATAGTGAGAAGATTTCCGGTCGGACCAAGAATTTTAGGTTCAACTCCTTTTCTGTGCTCTAGAACTTCAATTTCATCATCATCATTACTACTCACTTCATCCTTCAGTGCATCTTGGATCTGAGTTGAATATGGTATTATAAGACAATTCTTAACTCAGTCCTTCTCCCCTTCAAATGTGCAGAGCGCCGAAATTAATTAATTAAAGGGAGAATCGCTGAGGGTGTCCTGGCCCACAGTCGACTTCAGTTTCACCCGTCAGAACTTCCCCTCGCGATACACATTTTCTACACGCCTGGTGTTATCTGTTAAATCCGCTCCGGTTTTGTTTTATTTATGATTCCTGGATGCAGGCGAACCCGGAGGAAGGGTTTCCGAAAACCAGAGTTGACCGTAACCCAATGTTGACATCCTCAACCCACCTCCCCCCCTTCCCCTATTTTGAACCTGGGTTTTCGGGTTTAAGGGACATTATTATCTTTGGTTTAAATCAAAACAAAGGCAATGTGGTGGTAATTTATTTCGTTTAATTTATTCATAATTAGATGTACAATTTATTAGCCAAAGGTCTAAACCAACAAAAATGCAGAAAACTTGGAAATTAAAATTAAATCTGAAAAATATTTAGTATTTACCTCCTTTAATCTCCTCGCATTCATTTCACGAAGACTTAATAGATACTCGTTTTCTTTTTCCTGCACAAATTTATATTACGTAAACTTTTTTGTATTAACAGACTATTAATTAACTGATCATGATAATGGATAATAGAAAATGGATAATGATTATGATAATACTATTACAACTACTACTAATAGTAGTTAAGAACCAAAGCTATCAGTTCAAGGCAGTCTGTCCATCTATAAGTTTTCATCCCGGTATATACCTGACTAGGAGAATCTTGAACCTTCTTAAATTCTTCAAATTTCTGCATGATGACGTCATCGTCATCACTCACCTCTGAATGATTACCCAGGTGATGATATTAATATATTAATACAATTATATAATTTCATTTCCCAATTGACATGAAGTGACATAAACGCAATCATTAAGTGTATTTGATGTAGTTGGAAAGCACATATTTATTTCACTAGTAATAACTTGATAACTCACTTACTGAGCCTGTTCACACTGCACAATTGCTGTGTCTCATGTTCATTGGGCTATTTAAATATATAACTTGAAATCACAAGTCGTCTTACTATTCGTTAGTTTTCTGGTTCTCACTGTATGAAAAATACCTTGATCAGAAGATCGTTCAATAATCTCATCATCTTCATCTTCTTCTTCTTCATCCTCATCAGAATCTTTGTTTGAACAAACTACACACTTGTACACGGGATTCCTTCACATTTACAAATAATTCTATTTGTAAATCACTGTAAACTAAATTTCATGAAATGCCAGAGGTTTTCAGGGTATCGTTGTAAATCAGACATGTATCATTTATTCAGACATCTTCCCTTTATTCTACAAAATTATCTCACAGATTAAAAAAAATATTACAATATTACCCCCGAAAGCTGGAAACTATATAGGCCTGGGGATAATTCCTTCAAGAACACAAATCCCTTTATTTTTTAGTTTATATAATCCGTTAATCAAATCTTAATCGACCAATCAGAAGACAGGGTTCGATTCACATTGAAATTGTATTCTTTACAAAAATTTAATCATTTAATTCCCTAAATTCAAAAATGTCCGTTTTGCGAGTCCCAATCAAAAGTTACGATGTTCTGAGGGGCAACCAAGAAACTGCTTACATTTTATTCAACCTGCCGCACTCCATGTGTATGCTGTTCCCTCCACACTCGTCGCAAGGGTAAAGCTCATACTTAGTTCCTGGCAGAACAAATATATGTTAATCATCTTACGTATCACCTATGCTATGAAGTAGGTTTTAAAAACAGAGACACCTGAGTATTTTCATATCCTAAAAGTAGACTATGTCTAGAACTAGCATGTAGATTTTATAAATCCCGTCGTGCCCTTTTGTTTTTAGAAATTTCCATTTAAATTCTGTTGTGTTGTTTAGACTGAAAAAAGGCATCGTGAGATCATTAGGAAACCCGAAACTTCAGAGCTTTTCTGCTTAAATATTATTATAATATGATAAATTTATCTGAGTAGAATTAACACAATGAATTATAGGTTTAAACCTCAAATGATAAAAATTGAAGTACATTTTGATGTAGAAATCTAGTTTTCTCAACTATTCGTCCATCGAGGTTAATCTGTAAAAGGTTCAGACACTTTTTTGAAATACCTTAAATGTACTGAAATGTTCTGTTAAGGGTTTGAATATTTTAGAGCTTATTATCAAAAGAAGGGCTATGGTCAAAGATAACAAATTTTGCCACTTAAAAATGTCGACATTAATTAATAAATATCTTAACAAATGCGCGCCAATTCAAACGGAAAAATCTGCGAAAGTTTGAGAACGATTTAAATGACGAATTTCAGAGTAACAGTAGAAAGCTTAAATTGTTAATTTGAAAAAGGCCTAGTTAAAAAAATTAAAAACTAAAGATATAGATATAGGGGGCGATTGGATTGTAAATATACATTTACAAGCTTTGAGGGGAAAATATAAAACATAAAACAACAGCCATGTTTTTTAACACTTCTCTTTTCTCCCACTCTACCTAACACTTTTAATTTAGTTTTAAATCAACATCTATATATAAATTTGGCTTGTCTGTCTGTTTGTTTGTTTGTCTGTCTGTATGTTTGTATCCAATAAACGTCAAAACGGCTGAACCGATCGGGCCCAATTTTTTTGTGGGACATCTAGGGACCCCAGGGAAGGTTTATGAATGATAAAAATTTAAAAAACGTGTTTTAAAGGTTTTTTATTTTGTAAAAAAAATAAATTCTTGAAAATACGCAAATCCAATAAACGTCAAAACGTCAAAACGTCAAAGGACCCCAGGGAAGGTTTATATATGATTGAAATTTTAAATATTTGTCTCCATCAAAATTCGATCTTCATTAAATTTTTGAAAATTTTGAAAATCCACGAAATTTTTTGTGAAAATCCGCGAATTATTTTTGTTTTGTTTTACGATGTACACAAATAGAACATGTTCACAATTAATTTAGAAGATGGCTAGTTTTATAGATTTTAATTGGAAAATTGAATAAAAGTCGAATTTACAAACCTGTGACGTCATATTGTTTCCCTTCTTTACAAAGACACCTACTAGCTTCACATACTTTATATCTGCGATGCTCAGTGTTCCAGCTGGAAAGAGATTAAAGATTAAAGGGACTGTAGGCGTTAATTCAAATGACCTTTCATATGACCAAAGGTACCCTTTAACACAAAAATGATCCAGTTGTCTATCTTTTCTATCAAAAATGATCCAGTTGTCCATCTTTTCTATCAACAAATTGATTCTTTTCCACTGTGGTTCTATCGTCTATGTAAATGTTACTTGAGGATTAAAGACGAATTAAAGAAAATCTAGAGAATTTTTATCAATAATAATATCTTTCTTATTGCTATAGATCCGAAAATGGGCTAAAGCGTACGGTTGTGATTTGGCCATGCTTAACTTCAAATCAAATCAAATCAAATCAATTGAAATTAGGTCAGCAGTACCTTTAAGGTGCATAATGGATTTTTTAAGCAGAAGGCCGTTGCAAAACAAATGTTAATTGACATTTAGTAAATTTATTTGCAAAAATAATGGATAAGTGTCACATTATTATAATTATTATTTTCTCTGATTGGTTCAGATTTTTCCCGGGAAATTCAAATTTAAAATTGAGAAAGTTTAATATTTAAGTAGCTATTCATTATTTTACAGAACTTTTAACCTCGAACTTAAAATTTGCGCATTCTTTAGTTTTAGACTCAGATGTGTGGATACTAACCAGGCTGCATTATTTGCACATTAAATAAGGCGATACACATTACCCACATCCGCAATATTGAGTGGGTTGCGAATAAAAACTTGAGATAGGAATTTGAACCTGAAAGTGCCATAACAAATTCTTTTACCCGTAGAACGCGGCGTTTTCTCCTTCTTCCCAATCCGCTGGTTTCTGAGGAACATAAATACCCAGGTTCTTGGCGTCCTCTGCAAGCTAGACAAATTACATTTTAGGAAACCTGGACGCACATAAGTCTGAAATACATGCAAGCTTATACCTATATAAGGAACTATGTATAATGTATATTCCTTTAAATACAGGGTGTCCCACGAAACATGACAGTTGGTGAATAGTTTTGAATGTCTTCTTCCATATACTGTATTAGATATTAAAGACTTTTTGCAGCTTATTTAGTTTAAAAAAACTGTACTCGAATATATTTTACTTGGAAATCAATTTTACGATAATATGGAGGCCATAAAATATAGATTATTATTCTATTTGGCAACAAACAACTTGACAAATTATGGAAGAAGACATTTTAAACTATTTACCAACTGTCATGTTTCGTGGGACACCCTGTAGCTGGCTCGTACATTTAAAATTTACATTGAAGACACACTCTTTAGCCAGGTAAAAATGTATGGCTATAACAAAGATGGTTTGAACTAAAATTGATAATTGTGTAAATTATATTTTAATTGTTGCTACCATTTGTTGAGTTGAGTTTAAATAAATACCTTAAGGCTGTTGCAGTGGGAACATTTAAAGGATTCTACGCCACTAGAGTAGGCGTGTTGTTGCAAACATTCTCTAAAAATACAACGACATAATTTTATTTCCAGACAAGAGATTTTTGAAAAATTCAAAAAGCGAATACGTAAAAATTGCGCAATTTATACACTTTCTTGAAAATAAATCTATTTATACACTTTCTTGAAAATAAATCTAACAGGTAGTTATGAAATCTTTTGTTTCAAATTATTTAAAAATGTATAAAATTACTTACCTATGGAATGTATAAAAACAGATATTACACGCCAGCCTAGCGATTTAAACATATCATCATTTTCATAATTAAGAAATTTAAACATCTAAGTTCGCAACTTTTGTAGAGAAAGCGTTTCTCAGTAAGACTTTTCTTAATCTAATAAATATTCATTGAGATCTGAATAATTAGAAACATAATAAAATCTTCTCTCTGCCAATGATAGAGTACGCGTCTGCAGTTCTTTAATCCCTTTAGGTTACAGGTTTCGGCTCTAGACATTGATCTTGGGAATTGTGGGTTAGCGCTATCTAATGCATTAGTTCCGACCTATGCTTGTTTCAAGATAAAATTGATTTAAATAGGGTAAATAACTGATTAATTGATTGATTGATTGTTTAATTGATGGTTGATTGATTGATTGATTGATTAATATGCTTTTTTCCTTCCACGTCCTGGGCCTGCCTCTATATCCTCCATACAGATCAAACAGGATCCAGATTTGTACACAGCTCCTTTAATACTAAACAAACTGATCGTAGATTTCAATCCAACAATATTTAAATCATTGTTTCTTAGCAAATACATAAAATCAGTAGGAAATATATGCATCATAAGTTTTAGCGCCTGATTTGTTAAGCCAGTTGTTTCGATTTTAAAAAAATAAATAAAAATAAAAATAAAAATATTGTCCAAAAAATAATTTTAAAAAGCTAACATATAAAAATTATTTAAAGTTGAGAAAAAACGAACACATAAGTGCTAAAAATAAAAAATTTACCTTTTCTGAGTGGGGAAATGCTTCGGACAGCAAGACTTCATATTAGTGCCTGATTCAAAGTTCGAGAAAATAAATTTTTAATAAAAAATCCTTTTTCTAATGTCTTTTTAATGATTTTACATGTTTTAATTTTTTTAACGTTTTTAATGCGTAAAAATAGGTTTTTTCATTAACTTTCCTTCGAATCGAAAGAAGTGTTCGTTTTCAGGCGAAGAATAAGACGCTCCACAGGGAAAATGATATTTTCTTGTGCATTTTGCTGCTTTGCTATCAGGAACGCAGTTGATGGTAGCTCCAAACTAAATACAGGAGAATAAATTGAGATGAAAGGCCAAAGGTAGACCTGGGAGGGAAGCCCGCTATTTTAAATTTTTGAGTGTTTTAAATATTTCAAGCGTGTTCGAGAAAAATGCAAGGTGTATAGGCCGATGCCGAATTTATTTCGATATCGATCGCTACAAATATTACTTTCCAAATTTATGTAAGGGTCCTACATTCATCAGTATGAGTCGTTTTTAACCCTTTTCTCATTCTGTACGCACTAGGATTATTTCAATTAAAATAAGCCTATTTATCTTTCGCGAACACTCCCATTAAATATTTCCATTATTTTTTTTTCCGTTCAGGTCTATATTTGACAAAATTTCGCAAATTAGATTGACTGAAATTTAGCAATTTTTCAGATATCGTAAATGTTAGAGTCACCTGACAACTTAATTTTTTTAAAGAAACAGTGCTTAGCTCTTTCCATACGTTTGTATGAATGATTTCCACATTAGAAGACAAGTTTTTTCATCCTATTTGATACTTTTTACCCAACACCTATCTATTTTCAGATTGAAGCTATCTATTTTTCCCAATAAAGAAAATCCAAAATGCCTATAATCTGCACTGGGGGAAAAAAGAGGGAAAAAACGTTAAGAAAAACACACCCCTATAACAAAATTACTATTCACTTAAATTTATGCTATTGTAATAGTGAAATCATGAATAGTTTATTTATATTTCAAGTTTTTTTTCTCGCTTATTTACAGCTATAGATTTAAAGTAATTATTCGCAAACAGGAAAATTTGTCCATCCCATCTATAAATTTCATATTTTGAGGCAGATAAAAATTAAAATGTAAAAAATGACACCATTCTTGTTTTTAATGTTTCCCACCTTTTTACATATATAACAGCTTATTTTTGATCCTCTCAGGTACTCCTTTTCAATATCTATATCCGGAAAATCAATCAAAAAATTGTTTTCTATTGGTAAAATTCATAAGTGGATCAAAATATTTTGTCAAGTTTTTAAATCCAGAAAATGGGATACAGAGAGTTTTGTGTACATTGTGTTTTGTGCAATATCAGTTAACTAGCAGGGTTGAAAAAAGTGTCAATTTAGTAAAAGGTAAATTTTTTGGAGGAGGGATGGGATGGATAACCATATTCAAGAAAACAAAAGTTGAAAATATGAGGGGATTGATTTAGATTCAGAAAGTTACGATTTTTGATTTGAAATGTAACATTTTTAACGTTTCGTGGGAGTACATAAGTTGAGAAGACAGTAAAAAATAGTTTAAGATTTAAGGACTAATCAATTGATATTTGATTAATTGATTTAAGTTTCCTTTAGGAAGAAATCCAAGGACACCCTCATTCTCTCCATTCTGCTCTCCTTCGCTAAAAAAATCCAAAGATAAAATTTTCATAATATTAGCGAAATTAAAACTAAGAAAATTCTAATTGATGAGAATATCTTACAAAAGTTTAAAAAAAAACCTAATTTGAAGTACATCTAGCTGTTAAAATATCATTTTCTGAATTAATCAAATTCAATTTTTAAATATAACTTATTACTGGTTAATTACCATAATTGTGTTAATTGTTATTTTTTTAAAGACAAATTATGAATCCATAAAAAATCTATAAGTTTGTTGAGAAGTAGCTAAAAATTGTTTACCTTGAAAAAAGCAGACAGAAGTAATGATAGAAGTGCACCTAAAATAAAAAAAATTATATTTGTTTGTAAATAAGGTTGAATGATCCAATTTGAAAAATGGAACGTACGTCAACTTGCAAGACTTTAAAACCATTTTTCCTCAAAATGTCTTTTTTCTTGGAGGGGGGGGGGGAGTTTGAAAAGAATATTTTGGATTTAATTAAATTGTACAGTTACCGTATCTCCTACAGTCAGACTATATAGTTCTCCAGATTTATGTACATCATTGGTCTTTCCCTGGTCGCAGATCCTTAAATAGATAAGGTCTGAACAGAACTATACAGTCAGACTGTATAGTTCTCCAGATTTATGTACATCATTGGTCTTTCCCTGGTCGCAGATCCTTAAATAGATAAGGTCTGAACATAACTATGCCATCAAATTAAAGTCCTTTATTTATTTCCCAAAAATGAAGTAATAATGCTGTTGCTAAATGAGTAATGAAGTGATATAATGCTATTGCTAAATGAGTAATGAGCTAAAAATTAAAATAAATAAAAGATCAACATTCAACAATCATACCGTAAAAATCAAGGCACTTGCAGTTTGTAGCATGTGGATTGTGAAACTACCAATAGAAACTTCATTCAATTAAGAATTAACTATTTCATTCAATTAAATCAACGGTACGCTTAAAAGCTTTGCCTGATCAAGTATGAATTAGATATCAATGTATATAACTCTAAAACTGAGCGTTTTCAGTTGTGTTTTCTCGAAAGAGTGACTCGCAAATTTCTCCTGCAGGAAAACATTTAGGAACTATCAGAAACTGACACTTTTTAACCCAGAAAAAAACGACAATATCTTTCAAATTATTGATCAGGTAAAAGTTTCTAGGGTACCGTTGTGAATCGAACATTGTCATCTTGACAGGATCACAATAACACACTACAGAGTTACCCAAACAAAAGTGAGTAAATTATGATCGGACTCACAAAGTTTACTGCTTATATATATATTTAGTAATATATAAACTATAAATAAACGATTAGATTAGGTTAAGCTTTGACACTTTCTGGGCCGAGCGCTGCGGCTAGGATTCAATCTCGATCTACAAATGTCATCCCCCCTTAATCATGCTTTTAATTAAGCGCGGCAGTGAAGTCTTCCCCACCTCACACACTCGAAGGTTGGAGTTCAGCGTCTGCCAGAACAAAGGAAGAACAATTTGAAATGGTTCTTTCGTTAAAAAAAAATCGGTTAATCTAATAAAAATGTTCAAAAATTTAATCCGGATCCAATTTTTTTTTCAGGGCGGATCCGCTTTTGCATCAAAATGAAATGGATCCTGAGCACTGATTCTTTGAAAACATAACATAATCATTTGTCAGTCAACATTTCCACACGTCTAACAAAATTCACACTTTGTAAAACTGAGGTAACCCTCCACTTGTAGGTCGGCATGTGTTTAACTGTTTCTTAAAAGCCTCTTAAAAGCTTTTGTTTCAGAAAAAAATAAGAAAAATATGAGGGCTCCTCATTTAACAACACTTTTAAAAAACTCGGAAATTTTGAAAGATCTCTTAACTATCAAATTGACATTTTAAATACAGGCTCATTAGAATATCTTCCCTCATATGCACTTCTTAAGATATGGAATAAACTGCCACTTGATTTAAAAAGAAGTGCCTCGTTAGGTATCTGTAAAAAAAGTTTATTTAAAATGTTATCTGACGCCTACATCTCCAAGTGCAATAAACCCTTTTGTTATTCTTGCAAAAATGAATATAGAACACATGCTTAATCTTATTCTGTTTAACGTACTAAACTTAAAACTGAAAAATCAATTATTTTGTTATGCTGCACCTCGGTCTCTCTAAATTTCACTAGTAATCCCTGTTTTATTGTAAACTTTCAAAACCTAATAATATTTATCAAATTGTAAACGTTTTAATATTAATTAGGTGGGGATATTACCCAAAACAGCAAATAGCTAATCTCCACCTAATTGCTAGAATTACATAAATATAGTAAAAAATACAAAAATAGTTTCAGAAATTTTTTGCCTGTAACATTATAACAATTGTATGTGTATTATTAGCATTAAACTATATCTTATCTTATAGTTATTATAATCAAGAAGTGTAAAATGTTGACTATTTCCTTATTTCTCTCAAATTGAAAGAATTTAAGTCACTTTTATTAAGTCTATTAATTAAAATTGACCAGTTTTAAAAGCGCAAAAAATGAATATATTCTTAATTTTAAATCCGTCAAAATTTATAAACCTGACATGCATCTCATGAAGTGATACTTTTGTATTGAACAAATGACCAAACCTGCACATCATTTTAGAGGTGATCTTTGTCTGTGGAATTAAAACCCCGGTCGGTATCTTCTCCTTGCGTTTCCGTTTCGGCATTTTGTTTCTATTCAATAATCTGAAATGAACGGTTGATCTAAAAAAATACATTATATCTCTCTTACCGACAAATTCAAGAGCAGACACAGATATTTTACCATAGTTTACGTTACAGTAAAATAATTAAGGAGATATGTTTGTGTAAAAAACCTTAGAATATTAGCATACATTATCTGTATGATCCGATAAAAAAATCAGTTGAAATGCTCTTATCCATGAGTTTATCTTTTTTTTTTGAATAGAAACAAAAACTAATTAATGACTGAGTAAACAATGTAAAATACCAATATTGTTGGTAGTTTTCCTGAATTTCCTGAGCCCCCCCCCCTCAGCACCTAAAGAACCCAAAGAGAATATTAAAAATAGCTACTCTTAGTCATTTTTTGGCACAAATGTACAGCGAGAAAAATATAAAATATGAGTACAAATTAAAACAAAAAAATCGTTTATTTTTTGAAAATTACATTTAACAATGAATTACATCACAACCGAAAATAATTTGTTGAAAAACAGGGGTGTATATTCTTAAGAATGAATTTTGAAGTTGGGAGAGGGGGGTGGATTAAAAGTGGACACGAAAATAGACAGGTTTCGTCATCATATTTTCACAAAAATTTATTAGTTTTCACTAATTCTGCGAATAAATACCTAAAACGATTTTTTTGGATCTGGTAAAAAAATGATTTTCAGAAGAGGAAAAAAGATTTTTCAAGAAAATATACATCCCTGTTGAAATGTTAAGCGAAGATATCTACTAACGTAACTTATTCTTTAGAGGGAATATTCTGTATGCACGGGTGTGCGAAAGGTCCAAGAAAATATCAAAAAACTTTTAAAATCACGTTAATTTCACCAGTTAATATGGTTGGTAATGTGTTGGGTTTCTCAAACGGGCGGCGATATATAATAATAAACAATGAAAACCGATAACGGGACGAAAGAACTGATTGATGTAATTCAAACGTCAAATAAATCAATACACGGATCATTGGTATATGAGTAAAAATTGAGATAAGAAGAGTAATTATGTTTTTCCCCCGATTTAAATAATTATCCTAAAACATAGGAAATAAATATTACTGCAGTACATTTATCAATATACTGAACAGTTTTTTATTTTTCGGCATTACTCTAAAAATATGATTTTACAAACTTAAATAGAAGTTAAGCTAATCCTGTGTTTCACTGATCATAAATCTATTTGATTAATGATCCTTTAATTTGATTATCTTGAAGTCGCTTCTAAGGATGATCTCTAATCTCTCTAATCAATGATCAACGATAAAGATGACTTGATCTTAGAGGTTTATTGGTCTCTCCACTCACTAATCAGTAATCTACATGATTACAATCATGATGACTTTGGGTTTTATGATCCTTGAACAAAGGCGAATCTCACGATCAATGATCTTCTCTAATACATGTTCTATGATCATTGATCATGAATTCCATAATGTTTACTGATCCATGATTTCTGCTAGGTATGATCTTGTAAGTGTTCTCAGCTCCTACAAAAAATCAATTGTTATTCCAGTTTATCGTGTCTCATACGCATCGCATCGCATCATCGCATCGCATCGCATCGCATCGCATCGCATCGCATCGCATCGCATCGCATCGCATCGCATCGCATCGCATCGCATCGCATCGCATCGCATCGCATCGCATCGCATCGCATCGCATCGCATCGCATCGCATCGCATCGCATCGCATCGCATCGCATCGCATCGCATCGATAGGTAAAGCTTAACATTTTTGATCTCGACTTAATATGCGCATTAATAAATGTACCTGAAGCGCGTAGTCCTCGGGTAGAGGGAGCATAGAGAGGGATTCAGCAAGCTGACGCGCAGTCGACGCCGCACCATCTCCTCTACTCGACTCAAAGGAGTATACTGCGCGCATAAAATGCGCAACCTGAAATCGAGTATAAAATTAGACATCAGTCCAAAAAGGTGCCCTATTAATTCTGAAAATTTCTATTGTATGGTTCAAGGCAGAAATATGATGTTGGTAATATTTATTTTGTGAATTCATTACTCTATACATATGAACGTTGTTTTATGACGGGATTCACTTCGTTTTCTTTAACAGGCGTTTAATATGACCGCCGTCTTTTTGACTGCATAATTCAGCTCTGGTGCGAAACTCTTAGGGAGTATTTCCGCCGGTGTGGTGTTATTTCTGGGTAAACGTTAAATAATGGTAGTAGATTCTACGAAACAAATTTTCCGCGGCTCCGCGCATTTTATTGGCAGTTTACGGTAATGCGCACAACAGAAATCTGGTATTTTATCTGAAATTTCAAAATTAGAAATTATATTTATACATTTAAAATATGCACTATATGCTGATATATAATGTGATTACAGAAGTAATTAACTATACATTAAACTCTCATTAGTTGCAAGTATCAGAATCTTAACAATTAACTTACGTAAACTAAGCTGTAATATCGATCCCTAATGTAAAACAGTTGATTTTTACTTGATTGAGAAATTATGAGAAATACTTTCACTTAATTTACTGTTAACATTCACAGAATTGTGCGCGAATGCCATGGAAAATTTGCTGCGTAGAGTCTACTATCATTATTTCACGTTTACCCAGAAATAACGCCACACCGGGTTGACTTTGAACAAATTTATAAAAGGGGGGGGGGGGTTACTGACCTTTTTAGCAATTTCTGATTGTGAAAGTCTCTGTTTACTATTGTTGACTGGTAAATTAGCAATGGTTCTACATAAACCAGTTACCACAGGTTTCAATCTCTCCAGTTCATACCTATATAAATGTATTAATATTAGGACAGAAAACGCAATGTAACATTTGAACAAAATCCCCCAAAAATTTAAAAAATTGATGAAAAATTCATAAGAAAAATCTTTTAAAAAATTAATTATTAAACTTTAAAAACCGTACCAAACCAAACCAAACCAAACCAAACCAAAAGGTTTCGGAATTTATTAAATGCATGAATGCATGAATGCATGTATACATAAATGCGTAATGCGTAATTTATAAATGCATTTTATAAATCCCGAAACCAAACAGGTGAACATGACAACATGACAACATGACAACATGACAACATGGCAATATGTGAATCAGTGAATCAGTGAATCTGTGAATCAGTGAATCAGTGAATCAGTGAATCAGTGAATCAGTGAATCAATGAATCAATGAATCAATGAATCAATGAATCAATGAATCAATGAATCAATGAATCAATGAATCAATGAATCAATGAATCAATGAATCAATGATAATAAATGAATAAATGAATAAATGAATAAATGAATAAATGAATAAATGAATAAATGAATAAATGAATAAATGAATAAATGAAAAAATGAAAAAATGAAAAAATGAATAAATGAATAAATAAATAAATAAATGAATAAATGAATAAATGAATAAATGAATAAATGAATGAATATTTACCCAAGATTTTCTATATCTCTGGTTTGTCTAAGTTTATTAACTGCTGTGTCTGCTCGGATAAAATCCAGATAAACCTTTCCCTCACTAGCCCAGCCATTTATCTAAAATCAAGGAAATTAAAATTGAAAATTTTAAAACATATAATTTAAAAGAGGCTTTTCCGCGTTAATTTTTAATATAAAATGTGCAAACCTTTTGCGCATCTGCCGCGTCCTGCAGACTGGTGAGAAAATCCTCGAGCTGAGAATAGTTCTGCGAGAGAAGTGCAGAAGGTGCAATTTCTGCTATTATCAGTTTATGCGCCTCATTCCAGTCCTTCGCCTATTTAAAAATCAAATAGCCAATTTTGAATTAATATTTTTTCTCCTTGATTCAAATCAACTTCTTATAATTTATGCATTAAATATAATTTTACTTCTGGAAGGTTGAAGTTGTTAAGTATGTTTACCTTTATTAGCTGTTCTGTGAGCTGGGTGTGTTTGCCCTGAGTGCGCGCCAGTACTGCACGTGCCCGTGCTACCCATGTTACTGGTACGCCTAGGGTATCCATCAGCCATTCCTCCCGTCCTCCATCCTCCAGTTTGACATTGCGTTCAAGAATAGCATCCACACTACTTTTACGCAAAACTGAACAAATTAAGAAATTCGAAAAAGTAATTTTTTGTTTCTCTTATAAAAACTTTCGTTTTTCATAACAGTTTATTTAAGATTTTAAGACATATTACCTGAGAATTAAGAAACCTTACTATATGTTACACATATTACAAATTTGAAATGCCTAAAATAAAGGCTGACTGTCGAGGCCATATACAAAGCAGCAGTCAACTTAATTGTGAAAGATTTTTTGACATTTCCAATAAAAGTTATAAAAATAGATCACTTTTAAATTTTCGTTTTAAAGTCTTGACTAAAGAATTGAAAAAAACCCATACAATTATGAACGCGCATTGATTGATTGATTGATTAACACTTATTTCTACATTCTACAAAACACATAATACTGTTTAGATGAATTTGCTTATTCCACAGTTTTATGTTTATTTTGGTAGAATTATACATTTCGAAAAATGCAGACACTAGGATTTATGCCAGTCCATGCGTGACTCGTGTCTCGAACTATCTGATGTCCCCCTGTAGCTTAGTTAGAAAATAGAAGAACTGATCGTTTACCTGGATCTTTAATGTGAAGAAGGACAAAGATCGCCCAGTCCCAGTATCCCAGGTACTCCAGCTGACTGGAAAACTCGGAGCACAGACGATCGTTTGTCAGGGAACCTGAAGATCGGTATCCCAAGCTACACAACACCCTACACATAGTTCAATATTCCTAATCGTGTTTAATAATTCAATATTCATATTCATGTTTAATTATTCAATATTCATAGTAGCGTTTAATAATTCAATATTCATAGTAGCGTTTAAGGACGGAAATTTATTTAATAGTTGATAAATAACGCACATGTACTGTGTATCAACATAAAACACGGGGGCTAGAACTTAGCTACCTGGCTGTGTGTAATAGCAGATGTACTGTGTATCAACATACACATAGAACTTAGCTACCTGGCTGTGTGTAGTAGCACATGTACTGTGTATCAACATACACATAGAACTTAGCTACCTGGCTGTGTGTATTAGCCTGTGTGTACGATTAAGACAGCTTACTGATATAGAATATTAAGAGATTATGACCTAGTACAAACATCAAATATGCAGTGTACGCTTTCGGAGTACAAGTGTATGGGAAGGTTTTGTATATTAATATTTTACATAGTTTTCTCAGAACCTTTAATGAACAATTATGGTTTGCCAGGGTCGGCTTAAGGTGGGGGGGGGGGGGAGACGCCCACGCCCCAGAAAATCAAGGGGACGTCCCCTTGTCTGGAAAACTGATGGAAATCCCGTCCTCCCGCCCTTGAAAAATGGGTCGAAAGAAGCGAGAGCAGGCAACTTTTAGCCATTTAATTTAAATCATAAGAAAAGATTAAAAATTTTTCTTAACGGTCAGTGTGTCCCCACTTAATTACTCCAAATGAATATTTTTATAAAAATTCAAATCTTGGCATCACATATTCCCCCCTAACTGTTCATGATTTTGAGTCTTTGACATAAAAAGGACCAAATTCCTTGTGAAATATCCAAGGGGGATTTTTTACCCGTATCACTTCCTCTCCCCACCCGATATATACATATTTAAAATGTGCCCTCCCCCCCCTTCCTAAACTTTTAAGTCCTATTCCTTCCCTCCAGTTCAGTATTTTGCTTGCATTTTAGTGTCAAAGCTTTATAAAAATATTCTATAGATTTGTATCACCCTGTAATTGTCGTATGGTTTTAAAAATTACTGCCAAGAAAAATGAGTTAGAATTAATGTTAAACATTTGAGAGTACAGTTTTTAATCTGACATTACTTTTATAAATAGAAGACCAATTGAACATACGTGACAAAAAAATTATACTCATGCAGACCTTTGAAAGTGGAGTACATCTCCTGTATAACTAGTAAAGGATTGGGGTACATTATCACTCTATATACTATAACCTCGTTGACATAAAACCATATTTACAATCCATATAAATAATAAATATAGTTAATCAAACACTGTTAGATAAAGTTTCAGGAAAATAAAAAAAAATTGATTCCATCTGTTAACTTTTACCATTAAAAAAACTTTTGCCAAAAAATTTACAATTTATAATTTCTGTTCCTTAACAACTAAAACAAATAACAGTCCTTTTCATTGGGCAGGATTTAGGAAGGGAAAACAAATAACAGTCCTATTTATTGGGAAGGATTTAGGAAGGGTGGGGTGGGGGGCCTTTATTTTTAAAAATAATATCCCTGAAGCACCAGGCCTACCTATAAATGAACCATGAGGAACTAAAATCCAACTGGTTTGCAGTATGTGTGGTTGGTGCCAAAACACTCTCTAGCTTATGAGATCTAAAAATGACAAATCTTTTAAATTTTTTATTATTTTGTTGACTGCTGATTTAATTTAAGGGACCCTACATTTAAAGAGTGATATGTCCGGTTCACAACAGCTTTGTTTCATCAAACATGAATGAGATATTCACGCTTTTAACTTCAATAACTTGATTGTTTAAATTGTGGCTTCAGAAACAATGTTGGAAATTGTCAGAACTAAGCACATGTCATTATTGATCGATTATGGTTGAAAGGGTACCGTTGTGAATCGGGTATGTCCGTCTTTAAATAGAGGGTAACTTGATACTTAGACATATTATTTTGCCCAAACTAAGTATTTTACCTGTCCGAGTAAAGTTTAATTAGATGATATTTTAGATCCAAAGCTTTCCCTCCATCCTCTCCATCAATGTTACCCTAAAATGTAAATTTTTTTTCATTAAATCATTGAATATAATAGGAATTATATTTTCTTAACTANTCCATCTATGATTTGTGGATAAGATGAAAATATATACTGAAATCACCCAAACCCCCACTCCCCTATTAATCACTTTTTCGTCAAAATTTCCCTTTTTTCCCATTAATACAAAATAATTTTTGCGAAAGGGAGGTAGATGGGATGATTTTTTACTGAAATATGATTAAAGTTTACTACCTGGTTACATGGCAATGAATAAAGGTTTACTACCTGGTTACATGGCAATGAATAAAGTTTTACTATCTGGTTACATGGCAATAAATTAAGGTTAAAAGGTTTACTACTTGGATACATGGCAATGAATAAAGGTTTAAAAGTTTACTACCTGGATACATGGCAATGAATAAAGGTTTAAAGGTTTACTACCTGGTTACATGGCAATCAAAAAAAGGTTAAAGGTTTACTACCTGGTTACATGGCAATGAATAAAGGTTTAAAGTTTTACTACCTGGTTACATGGCAATCAATAAAGGTTTAAAGGTTTACTACCTGGATACATGGCAATAAATAAAGGTTAAAGGTTTACTACCTGGATACATGGCAATCAAAAAAGGTTTCAAGTTTTACTTCCTGGTTACATGGCAATTAATAAAGGTTTAAAGGTTTACTACTTGGATACAAGGCAATGAATAAAGGTTTAAAGGTTTACTACCTGGATACATGGCAATCAAAAAAGGTTTAAAGTTTTACTACCTGGATACATGGCAATGAATAAAGGTTTAAAGTTTTACTACCTGGTTACATGGCAATGAATAAAGGTTTAAAGTTTTACTACCTGGTTACATGGCAATGAATAAAGGTTTAAAGGTTTACTACTTAGATACATGGCAATGAATAAAGGTTTAAAGGTTTACTAGCTGGATACATGGCAATAAATAAAGGTTTAAAGGTTTACTACTTGGATACATGGCAATAAATAAAGGTTTAAAGGTTTACTACTTTGATACATGGCAATGAATAAAGGTTTGCTACCTGTGGTTCCTCTGAGTATGCGGGTTCAGGTCTAGAGGAGTAAGGTTGAGTTCCTCTCCAGGCGGCCTCGTAAACCTCAAGGGTATCAGATATGCTGGAGACAGGATGGGTTAAATACCTGAGAACAGCATCATTTTAATTATTATTAATTAAAACTTGTATTTATGCAAGCGTGAAAACCTAGTTTTGCCTGGAACCTAAACGCCAACCCACTCCTTTTAAGCCAAGCTAAGAACATACCCTTGGTTCTTACGAGTTTCCCACTATTAATTTAAGGCACATCGATCAAGGGGTTTATGAGTTACGATCAAAAATACAAACAAACAGAAATTACTACTTTTTATATATAGATAAAAGATAATAAATATAATAATTTCGTTATAATTATAATTATTATTTTACGATATTTAATATTTTTTTCATGAATTTGTGTTTTGTCATTTTCACTTTTTTTAACATAAATTCTATGTAATTGTTGTTATTATTATTATTATTTTTATCATTTCAATACAATTGTTAATATTAGAATCAACAAGTTCTTCATAAACATTATCATAAAATCTATCTTAGTTATTAAAATTATTATTATTACCAAAGATGAACAGCCATAGATCTCTGCCAGTCCAGGTTAGAACATGTATTCAGTGTTTCCATAGTTCCCTGAATATCATGATTTTGTACTCAAATCTTAATAGTTTATATATAAAATCTATTTATTATTAAAAAATAGATAAACATCCATAAATATATATAATATATTATATATTTATATATAACCTACTAAAACAAGGATTAAAATAATAATAAATGATTTCAGGGTTTAAAAATTTCAAAAAACTCTTCACTTAAATCTTTGCATGATAAAAATGGTCCGAGATATCCCAGGTACTATCTCAAAATTGATTATTTTCAATTATAGTTTTCTGTAAACGTGATTTGAGGATTTATGCAACAGAAGCAATGAATGAAATTAAAAGAAATAACATGTTTTAAATCGAAAAACCATATTGTTAATCCTAAATATTACGACTGTAATTTAGACATACGTATTGCTTGAAATCAACTATATAAGGGTAATATGAAATTATTTAGACTTCGTCTCCAGTGCTTAGGATCAAAGATCCGTTAGATCCGTAACATTTTGGCTTCCTTGCACCCGGATCCGCAAAAATATGCGGTATGCGAATCCACGGATCCGGATCCAAGGGTCAAAATATCAACAAAAACTGAAGAAAAAAATATTTTCCTCTCTGAATCTGAACTGTTGAAAAAAGAGAGTTATTCCAAAAACTCTCTAAACGGTTCATCAAGTTTTAGCGTATAATAAACGAAAAAGAACAAAATTATTAAAAAATACATACTTTTTCTATTCAATAAATCAGAAAATCTGTAAGAAATGTTCATGACCTAGATCTTCTGGATGATATCTGGATGCTGGATTCCCAGTGTGGATCCAGGATCAAATGGATCCTAAGCACTGACGGTATCTGTAAAGCCTACACGATATGTCAAATAATTGTTTCTCCTACCAGTTGAATAGGTTGACCAGCGACCAGACTCATAAGCTCAATCCTCTCCGCCGCAATATATCTATCCGCCTTCACTTCCACCCATCTATCTATCTGCTGTTGAACAAGTTTACTTGAAACTCCGCCTCCGCCCATCTGCGCCACAAGAAGCGCACTACGATGATCTCCTTTACTCTGAAGAGCATCACAAGCATCCTCCACCCGGCCTCCGGTTAGAAGAGCGCGTACTCGGCCCAGGTAGTTTTTCTTCTCTCTGGCGGAGACTTTATCCCGTCTACTCGCCTCCTCTACACCCGCCTCAAGCCAGGCGGAGAATCTATTCCGCCGTTCTATAGTTTCAACATGACCCTCCAATCTCTTAAAAAAAATGACGGTTACAATTGAACCAAGAATGCATATAAGAATAATTTTGGCGTTTTATGAACGAGTTTATTCATATTTTAGGAGAGAAGCTCCGTTTTCTTCCAATTGGCCATTCGAGCTTTTTAAGGTAATATAAATCATCCATCCAGGTGATGTCAAAAATTTTTAATTTTCCAGGAGTTGAGAAAGAATTTTTTTAAAAAACTTTTTTCCGTCCTACAAAAACATACCCCGGTTGCTTGATCCAGGTCCATCATACTATCCTCTAGGTCACACAGTTGACCCCACAGTGCATGAATTAGATTCCAGGTATGCCTGGTTTCCTCTAATTGTTTCCGGCTCTCGTCATCATTACATTCCTGCACAATCAAATTATTTCAAATCAAATCAAACAATCAAAATTATTTTGTTCCCATAAAATCAAAATATGGGAATTTCTTTTTCAGCCTCTACCCCGAACCCCGATCCCTCTACCTCAACGGTAGCAGAATCGAAGCATGTATAATTTTATTATAATAGCTTGGGAGGTTGTCAAGGTTATTAATATTTACTCCCGCCGTTTACCCACACTTACTTGATTTTAATTTAAAATTTTGCTATGAAAGTCTCAACAAACACTATCTAAACCAAACTAAGAACATACCCGTGGTTACCCAATCAAAATTTGAGGCAAATTGGACAAGGGGAAATGAGTTATGATCGGACATACAAACAAACAGACAAACAAACAAATATTATAACTTTATATATGTATATATGACCTCTAGTTGTCTGGTGGCCTCTTGATGATGTGTATATAAATTATTGATAGATTCAGAAGGAGAATAAAAAGGTCCATTATCATCTACACAACACTCGGAGTTCTCTAAACACACCTGAACAAGAACAGAATAGTTTTTTTTGTCGAAGAATCTAGAATTCTTGGTTGCCTTTTTTTCACAAATTAAATTTTTTTCAAACTAAAAAGCACAAGAAAAGAATCCCTGAAAGCTAAGTGAAACTTTTTGCCAAAATAACTAAGGTTCGTAAAAACCGGATTTCTGATAATTTTTTAGAGTTAACACATATTTCCGTCCAATATGATCACAATGAACAATTGGATTCCTTCAAATTGGTCTAGAAAAATTCTCGGGTCTAGGTAACTATAAAAATCTGAGATTTTAACAAGAATTTGTCAGAACTAAGACTGAAAATATTTTCCCCCAAAAAGTCCTAAAGTTGATTAGTTTTGTGTTTTTTGGGAAATTTTTTGGTCCAAATTTTGGAGAAATGGACAAGAATTTAAAAAGACTTGGTCTTAAAATCTGTTTCTCAAAAACAAATCTCTGAAATTGGTGACTAAGTCCTGGGAATTTCTCGGGTATAACTGGGAACTTTCTGAAATTCACAGAAGGAGAATATGAAAATTGTCCCCACTTTATTCCAAAGATAGCAAAAGATATCACATTGCCGCATTTTAGATCCTGTCATTTGAAAATGTTATGTCATCTAAGAATAAACAGAAATTTTTTTTACAAAAAAAGTTATCTAAACAACAAAAAAATACCATTATGAAAACTTTGAGTGATAAGATTGGCTACATTATTCTCCTAATTCTAATATTTGAGCAATGTCTATTGATATCTATATTGAAAATCATTTAATAATCTCAACAACTTAATATTTATCTGTACCTGTAACCAGCTCTCTAAACTAGTGAGCTGCCAAGGTTTGAGTTGAGATTGCTCTACAGAAACCAGGTTCAAGTATCCGCTACCAGGGTTCTCTACGTGATCTAAACCACCCAGGAACCCGACACGGAACCTGGAGATTATCAAATCTCATTTAGAAATCTGAATCTTGATAATCAACTGCTTGTTAGGATGGTCTTGTAACTGCAAGTGGCCTTCCAATAGAAGAGGGAGAAGTCCGATTCACATTAGTACCTTTCAATCCTTTACTGATCAATAACATGGAAGATATTGTCGTTTTTCTAATAATTTCCTCCATATTGTTTCCGAGGCAGAAAAATTGAAATAAAACCAACTTTTGAAGAGAAAAGACTGAATTATTAATACTATATTCAAAATGAATTCTTGATCATACAAAGCTTGAAAAAGTACCCTTGTGAATCGGACAGTGACATGCCACTCTAAAAATGATGAGTCACTTGAAATTATATCTGCAGTTCCTTAAATAAGTGATAAAGTATAGACTAAGTATTCTCATTGACAAAAAAAATAGAAAATAAACCGAAATAGCAAAAAAACTACTTTAATAAAAAATCAAATCACAAGTTGCAAGGATGGCCTAAGACTCCAGTACTGGTTCGGAGTTTCAAGTTCTCCTCGTGTCCTGGTTTTTCAGCCCGGCCTACTCTGTTGTGAATAAATAAGTTTAATGTTTTTACTTTGAATTTACGAAGTACCCAGCCACACGATCAAATTTGAGCCATGTCCCACTTTAGAATACCTATCTTCCAAATTGCCACCCATCAGTTGAAAGTTTGAATAATGAGTATTTCCCTAGTGAGTTAAGAAGGTTCCAATTTTATATGGTTTTTAATGGTAATTATTGAAAACTAGTCTTTTTAATTTGGTATGGTTTGGGTTTGATTCTAGTTTTAACCAATCCTAGTCAGAATGGAATTTATATGGACAAGAGTTAAGACAGAGGAATTAATCTCAGATAATTTTGAATTCTTCTTTGATTAAACCATTGAATCAGTTAGAAACAGTACATGTAACTGCATAAATTAAAGAATTTATTATTTTATATATATTGAGGTTGATTCCTTTTATTGTGGAAAAGTCCTGAATCGGCAATCTGTTGAAACCTAAAAAGAAGTCTTTGTTATTAAATCAGAAGTGTTATTTCCGACGTGGGGGAAGGGGAGGGGGGGAATATTTACTAGAAATTTTTATTTATCTAAAACGGACAATTAAGTTCTTTATTTCCCCACTAGCCTGTATCAAACTCAAACTCAAACTCAAACTCAAACTCAAACTCAAACTCAAACTCAAACCATAAGTTGTAGGCATGGCCAAAGGCTCCAGTGGATCGGAGTTTTATGTCCACCCCATTCCTGGTTTTTCAGCCCTAGCCTTCTGTTTAAACGGTAAAATATGCGTCTTATCCTCATTTTTGTTTACTTTGTAGTTGCGAAGCGCCAAGCCACACGACCTTTGAGCCATGCCCCACTTTAGAATACCTAACATCCAAGGATTGCTACACGGTTTGTTAAGTTTGGATGCTGGGTATTTCCCTAGCGAGTTTTACCGTTTTTGTCAAACTCAAACTCGAACTCGAACCTTGCTAAAGAATTAAATGTAATAAGTTAATAGAACGATCGAAACACTGCACAAAAAAAGTCAATCTGCAAAATATTTTTTTTTGAAATGAGGGGAGAGGGGAAGATGTAGAACACAAACCGTTGGCTGAGGTAGCTGTTGCTAAGCGGAAGGTCTGTATCTGTGTATTGAGGAGTAATAACAGCAGGTTGTTGCTGAGCGATCTGAGCGCTTGCCAGCTGAGGGAACTTTTCATACCCACCGGTCAGCGTGTAGCTGGGTAGTCTGCACACACATCAATATTATTAGTGTTCCATGCTTTCAAGGGTCAATACTGAATCTGCTAAAAATTCTGCAGAAACAGAGCAGCGTTATTATAAAACTAGAGGCTCATTTTGCAAGTATTTAAGTTCAAATCTTTTAAGTCCTTGACCGAATTTCATTATTTAAGGCCTTTCCTCCCTTTAATTTTGGAAATTACCATTGATTACTAATCAACCTTTCTATGTCCAATTAATGATCTATCATCCTTTTCATTCCAGTTTTCAAACAAAAATTATATATTTTCAAAAACTAACATTAAAATTCCTTAAATACCACAAAAAATTAAAACACCATTATTTAAAAAAAATCACATTAAACATATTGTTTGTTCCTATTCATAGTATTCTTGAGCTGTGAATTCTCCAGCTGTGAACTACGGTTCAGATTAATACTCTAAAATAAAAAATATTTCATTATTACTTCACTTATCATTCTTTAAGGACACACCTTTTTCAGAAATTGTAAAAATAAAACAGAACAAAAAATTTAAAATAAAAAATATCAATATCAATATCAATATCAATATCAATATCAATATCAATATCAATATCAATATCAATATCAATATCAATATCAATATCAATATCAATATTGTTTTTTGTTAAACTAAACACCTGTGATTGGGTTGAATAGTTGGATCTGAGTAAGCTCACGTTTAGACTAGTTTCACCAAGAAAACTTCCTCCTAATCCCTGAACAGTTAATATTTCGAGTACTGTACTTTTATGAGGTTTCTACACAAACTTTTCATCTAGTACTTCCCCTTTATGTATGTTTATTGTCTTCTTCTAATCCATATATCTTAGCAACCTGATGGTGTAAATCTGATATTTCAAACTGGGGACTATTTAATCTAGTAGAGTTCATAGTTTGAAATATTATAGGTCTATGACATCCGGTTGCAAAGATGTAGGGGAAAAAATAGTTTGTTTCGAAAAATTAAATTAAAAATTTACATTCTTACCTTGTTTGGCATCAGTACAGAGGTTGCAATTTCTTCTATAAGCCTGGGACGAGCCTACAGCAGGTTATTGTTAAAACCAACGATGTTGAATGATTATAGGTTTAGAGGTTGAAATATATACCTGGAGTAGGTTTGATGTAGGATTTCTTTGTTGGAGGATTTTAGGTTTAGATGTTTGAATATACCTGGAGTAGGTTTGATGTAGGATATTTCTGTTGAAGAATATAGGTTTGGAAGTTAAAAATACCTGGAGGTAGGTTTGATGTAGGATTTCTATGTTGAAGGATTTTAAGTTTAGAGGTTTGAATAAACCTGGAGTACGGTGGATGTAGGATTTCTCTGTTGAAGGATATTAGGTCTAGAATTTAAATATACCTGGGATAGGTTTGATGTAGGATTTCTCTGTTGCAGGATTATAGGTTTAGGGGTTGGAATATCCAAAGCTTCTCCGTCCTCCAGACATTCAGAAAAAAGTGCAGACCTAATAGGATAAAAAATATATCAGAAAATTGATGATTGAATAATCCGGGATATTAAATTTTTTTGTAAAAATTATTTAGTTTGGCGGTCATAAGCTACCTGAGTAAGGTTCTCCGCGCGTTGATATTTCCGTCAACCTCGTTCATCTCGACATCCTGCTCCTGGTCTGAGGATACTCCGTCAGATTCAGTTATCTCAACAGCACGCTGATTGTCTAAGCAAACAAATATATGACGCCAAAAAAGTAAAATGGGTCCAAATGTGTAAATCTTTAGGTTTCTGTTTAAATGTTTCTCTGAGCTGTCTGAGTCTAGAGTCTGGTAAAAATCTTGCTTTGTCCACAGTCTAGTGTATAAGTGTAGGTTTCTTTGTTTGTGTCCACTGTCGTATGAAGGTTTCTTTGTTTGTGTACACTGTATAGTGTATGTAAATTTCTTTGTTTGTGTCCACTGTATAGTGTATGTAAGTTTCTTTGTTTGTGTCCACTGTATAGTTTATGTGGGTTTCTTTGTTTAAGTCCACTGTCTAGTGTATGTAGGTTTCTTTGTTTGGGTCCCCTGTCTAGTGTATGTAGGTTTCTTTGTTTGGGTCCACTGTCTAGTTTATGTGGGTTTCTTTGTTTGGGTCCACTGTATAGTGTATGTAGGTTTCTTTGTTTGTGTCCACTGTCTAGTTTATGTGGGTTTCTTTGTTTGGGTCCACTGTCTAGTGTATGTAGGTTTCTTTGTTTGGGTCCCCTGTCTAGGGAATGTAGGTTTCATTGTTTGGGTCCCCTGTCTAGTGTATGTAGGTTTCTTTGTTTGGGTCTACTGTCTAGTGTATGTAGGTTTCTTTGTTTGGGTCCCCTGTCTAGTGAATGTAGGTTTCTTTATTTGTGTCCACTGTCTAGTGTATGTTGGTTTTTAACTCAAGTTTACCTAACACTTCTGTATTCAACTTAATTCTGCTTGAATCAGTTTTAACGTCCAAACTAATCGTTCTTTTCTCAAGGTGCAAAGTTTTCATCTTCTTTTTGTTATCTACTCCGGGTACCCCTTGAACCCCTTGTACTCCAACACCATCCTCCTCGTCCGATTCATCCAACCCATACTTAGAGAAATGATCAACTCTGAACACCCATGAACCGGTCTCTGGTCTGTATTCAATGAACCGGGCTCCAAGTCGTGTACTTGCACGAACTAGCTTGTCTTCGTAGTTCATGGCACGTAGTCGTTCGGATGATTTGATGATTGATGAATCAGCCTTGTCCGTCGGCCACACTTTGTCTAGGGTTATCTGAGCCTTCTTGTTCAGACCGTCTCCAAGGTTTGGTTTGTTTTGATCGTCAGGGTAGACGATTACCTCCTTGTGACGAAAGAAAACAATTTCGTCCAGATTTAAACCTAAAGAAGACCAATCAAAATTGATTTAAATGGATGTAATCAATAATCATGTAATCTCATTTTCTTTGTAGAAACCCAACTCATCTCTCATGACGGTTCGGTAAAAATCTCATCTCAATAACATTCTACTCGTATATAGTATAGATAAACTACTAATTATTATAAAAACCTTGTTTTTTAATCAGACATTGAAAATTGTACCGGCTATATTAGTGACTCCAGGATAATGAATATTCCCGTATCCTTCCCGTCCAATAGTAAACCCTTCGACCAGGCAGTTTCCGTCCTTGTCTGGCCGGATCTCCGCCAGCGGCGGAATTGTATAATATCCACTCCGCCGTAGGGTTATCCCGCCAGGATGGGAACAAACCTCTTCATCCTAAAACAGTTTTAATTAAGTAAAGTTTTTATGATCCTTCGCGAAAATTAAGCAAAATTTACTGCCCCCAGTTTCAAAATAAGTTTCAAAATTAGAAGTGAATTGGTTGTCATCTTCGTTTCTCTTTTTTTAAATGTTGCTCAAGAACCTTTATTTATAACTCAATATGTGTATCAATCAGGATGAAGACAAGGGTGCATATAATGTATATTTTCTTGAAAAATCACTCTTTGAAAATTTTTGTTTCCTCCACAAATTAGGTATGTTTGCACGGAGCGAAAAAAAATCATATGGTATTCTTCACGGTATTGGGGGAAAATATTTGATTTTTATTCCTATAACTATAAAAAGGATGAAAAAACTTGCTTTATGATATATCCCCCCCCCCACCCAATTTATCAAATATAATTGTGTGTATTTCTTAAAATTATACAATCTAGGATAAAGAGGAGAAAGTCGACAAATATTCAACTATTTTTAATTGTTATTATAATATTAAATTAATATAAAAGGAGAAGCTGAGGGGGGGATTATCAGGAAAATATCTGATAACTATTACCTTATCTGATTCAGCACTGTTTTGTGAGGTATTTAGTCCTGATTTATCCATCACTTCCTCATCCATCTGCTGAACCAACTTCTTCCTGGTGTTCAGGGCCGCGAAGCTGTCGTCCACCTGGATGGAGAGGTCTGGGTCGGAGCGTGTAGGTATTTCCGTCTTCTTGGGACGTGTCTCATCCAGGGGTACGGTTAGAGATTTCTCCAGGCTTGGATCATCTCCCAGGGAAGACAGGACGGAGTTGTTCACATTATCCGTCCTCTGTTAATAAAAAATATATTAAATCATTTGATTGGTACAGGATCACATGGTAAACATATCTTTCTTTCCTTTACTTCGTCAAATTACATTCTTTTCAATTCATTTTGTCCTTTGTCTTGTGATGCATCTTTTGTCCTGCATGTTGATTGTTGACCTATTCATCAGCATCTGATGCCCTGCATTCTGTCCTATTTCTTGTCATGCATCTGTTCTCTTGCATTATATACCTATTTTCTATCATGGTCTGTTGTCCTGCTACCTGACCTTTATCCTGCATTCGTACCCAACATACAAAAATCTGTTCAATTTCTGCAATCTGTATTGTCCTTCTGTTCTGTCTCATGTTTACCTTTACTTATCAACATAAATTCTACAATTTTACCTTGGGTCTCAGTATTAATTTTTTAACACTGGATCTTGGAGAGAACATTTCTCCCGTTGTCGATAAATCATCTTCGAGTCCGTCGAACATTGAGCTTTTAGTCGAATCAACAGCTTTAGTTCGAACCTGTAATAATTCAAACATTAATATCAAAATAGGGTTAGGCTGAAACTAAATTTTCAAACTATTTACAAATATTGCAATTCAAAATAATGATTTAACGGTTAAGTTTAATAATTTTAATCAGAAGCCATAAAGAAGTCTCGTCTCAGCCAATCAAAATCAAGAAAATTCTAAAGTTTTGTTTATTTACAGAAAAAAGACTTAAAAATCACTTCAAATGAAGAGTTTCCCCACAGTACTGAATTGATTAGCGCTGTTCCCTCCAAAAGTTTAGACCCATTGGAAGCATTTTTACAAAAGTATATGGGAGCCGATGGCGGTCTGGGCTCTCCAAGGAGGGGGGGGGGGGTTTCAGATTTTCCCCTTTTCTTATTTTATCAATAATAATTTTTTTCGTTAAACATTTTCTGGAAGTGATTTAGCTGCGATTTCCCGTGCTAGCTAGACAAGTAAGTCACACACAGCTGGAAAATGTCTAACGACAAATGGCTCCAAAGAATGTAAATTGTGACTGCAAGGAACTAGTTTATCAAAACAATAACAATTGCCGAAACTTTCCTATTGAGAGTAGGAAGACGAAGCTTGCTTACTGCCTGTTGTTTACGTACATTAACCAAATGACCTGGCCTTCCCATCTCAGTAAAATGTTTACCTTGATATTCCTGTGAGGTGAGACCTTGTATTGACCAGCAGCGAGGAGCTTCTGAGCAGCTGGGGCAGTAAGTCCGCCAGGTTTAAGCAGCTCAGCTGCTTTCCCAGTCTCCGCGACTGGTTTAAACAACGGGTTCTCTCCAAAAGGACTGAGTATAAGATGGTTAGTTTGTTAACTTGTTATAAGTAACAGCGATCTTTGGACTTGGATCAACACCCAATTTAACATTAATCTTAATTTTAAGCGAATATTCATGACTTTTTAAACAAGAGTCAAAATAATACTTATATCGGGTACATTTCTAAACCAGTTTGAAAGCAGCATGATCCATCTTTAACCCACCGACCAAAAATGAAAGAACTTCTAATATAAATTTCTAGACTTTTAGCATCCATTAACCTTCCCTGGGGTTATGTGAGGTCCCAATTAAAATGTGTGCATGTTAAGCCGTTTTGACGTTTAATGGATACAAACGGACAGACAAGACAGGTATATATAAAGGAGAAGTATAAGTGTAAATAATAAATATTGTAAACTTTTAATTACCTAGTTGCTAGGGCCATCAGGAGCTGCTGTTGAACCGCCGAGCTTTGTGGCTGAGGGGCAGGAGCTTGGTTGATCGCAGTCTGACCGCCAAAATTTAACCCGCCGCTACCAAAAGCTGAAGTTCCGGTACTTGTTCCGAAACCGGTTGTTCCGGCTCCAAAGCCTGTTGTTCCGGTGCCAAACCCTGTAGTCGGCGCACCGAATAATCCGCCGGGTTTAGCAGCACCACTGAATAAACCACCACCAGTGGCAGTACTTGATCCAAACCCTCCGAATCCAGTACTGGCGCCGGCGGTACTAGTGCCGCCGAAAGAAAAGGCAGGTTTAGCTTGGTTGCTACCGAACAAACCACCACCGCCGGTGCTGGCAGCCCCAAATCCTCCAAACCCTTAAAAGAAATAATCATTATGAAAAGTTGTAACTTTTGCAAAATTTTAACAGTTCTACTACTATCCAAAATATGTGTTCCCCCCCCCCCACAAAAAATCATGTGTTATTTATCTTTAAATCCTCTGATGATGTATTAAGAAATTTTTAATACAAAGGGGAGGGGGTTAATTTTTGAAGCAATAACCTTGTAAAATTGTTAATATTAACCTGTACTAGGTTGAGAAGTTGTTGCCGCTCCAAATCCTCCGAATCCAGGTTTGGCGGCGGTGCTCCCGAATAAACCTCCGCTCTGGGAGGTGGAGGTAGCTCCGAACCCACCAAAGGCTGGCGTGCTCGAGGCGGGGGTTGCTCCAAATCCACCGAAAGCTGGTTTAGCCTGGTTTTGAGCACCAAAGAGTCCAATGCTTGGCTGAGCCGCCGGTTGGGCGGGTTGACCAAAACCAGTAAAGGAAGTACCTGTGCTAGCCCCGAAACCGGTGGTGGGAGCAGCACCAAATAAACCGCCGGCAGGCTGAGGGGCAACCGACCCGAACGGTTTGCTCTGAGCACCGAACAAGCCGCCTGACTGTGCCGGCTGTTGAGCACCAAACCCACCGAAGCCTGTTGTTGAGGTAGTTGTAGCACCAAATGGTTTAGCTCCGAACAATCCACCGGCCTGAGTCGTCTGTTGGCCAAATCCACCGCTGCCGAAAGCTGGTGCAGCGGCGGCCGTCCCGGTACCACCAAATCCTGAAGTACCAAACAACGGTTTCTGCTGTTGACCAAAAAGTCCACCAGAGCTGGAGGCTGGCTGAGAGCCGAATAGTCCACCGCCGGCTGCCGGTTGAGTAGAGCCGAAAAGTCCGCCTGCAGCAGCCCCACCTCCTGCTGTACCTTTACGGCCGGCCATATAATCCTCACATCTTAGCTCTTCCATTGATTTGTTTTCATACTCCTGAACAAATAGATGAAGTCATATAATTGCAAAAGAACTAAAAAAAATTATACATATTTAAAGATACCAATAGCATTTTTAAAATATCATTTTGTAAATTTCTTGTGCAAAAAATTGGTACCGTTGTAAATAGAGCATGCAATTTATTGCAGATGGGTCATTTGAAATTAGGTCGACAGTTCCTTAAAGTAAATTTACCTTCATGCAGGTTATACATTGATGTCTGGTGGCTATACTTGTCTGAACACCAGATTTCATCATCGTATCAGAACCTGAACATTATGAACTTAGTTCAGAGTTTTTGTGACAACTGTAAGATTTCACTTTGTGGCAGATTTGACGGAATTAGCTAATTATGTATAGCAGATTTTTTGTGTCTTAACTCTTAATGTCGTAAGTGGCAGTTTTAGGGTGAAAACCCAGTAGTCCTAGAAGAACCCATGAGTTAGTTATATCGTAAAAATCACTGGATCATTGCTTAATTCAATCAGAGCTCTATCAATTTATAATTTTCAAAGTATAAAGTTTGCGTAAATAAAAGAGAGGACTTATAGCTTTGTGATAGGTGTCGTAAAAGAAAATTTCTTGAGTTAGTTTTACTTTGATTTTAATATTTTCCAATACATTTCTGTTGCTATTTCAATCGTGCTTTTTAATATTGTTCAACTGTAGGGTTTTTATTCGTAATTGTGTTTTACTGATTGACAAAATCGCATTTTTAATTGTTGTAGCATCTTACACTTTAATTGAACCAGTGCTTAGGATCCATTTCATATTAATGCGAATCTGGATCCGAATTCTTGATCCATTTTGAACAAAAATGGATACGGATCCATGTCATGAACATATTATCAAGAATTGCTATTTTTTCAACAAATTAATTGAATTTCCCCCCCAAAAAATCTTAACAAATACATGCTTAAAAAACTTATAACTCTCAAAATACAAACCTCATCTAGAGATTATTAAAAGCTGCCTAATCTTTGAAATGCTGAAGATCTGGACCCGCATCCATTTTATTGCAGTACTAAGCATTGATTTAGATCATAATTTCTTACCTTGCATCGGCGCAAATTTAACGTGGGCGGTTCCCGGCTGTTGGTTTGAATTGGTGTTGGTGCTTCCGAATCCGAAAGTGGAACCGCCTCCGAAACTGGATCCTAAAATAGAATAAGCTTTAATTCTTTAATAAATAAGAAATTTTTCAATTTTTACTTTGAAAGGTTAAGTAAACCGTTCTGAAGCTAACAACAACACCCTTACAACCCTAACCTATATGTATTCTGTAATTAACACTTTACTATGTCCATGTCAAATGGAGGAGCCCTGCCTTTACTGTAGAGTGTAGATAAACCTTATTTTACTGTAGATAACACTTCATTTACTTTATATACACCTTTAATTACTGTACATAACAAATGTTTTTTGACATAAACAAAAACCTTCATTTACCGAACGTGAACCTATTTTGTTTTTAAACTTTGTGAAGAAACAATCTCAAAAGCACGCGAGGGTCAACCCAGACCGAAATATATTTTCAATAAATGTGGAACTAACATCTATTTTTTTACTCTACAGAGGTTTGGTCCATCACCATCACAGAATTTTAAATCTATTTTTAATGTACATTGTATAATGTATGTATAAATAAATAATTAAATAAGAGTTCATTCCGTGGAAATCATAAAGCTACCCATAGTGTAGATGACCCCTACCTGTAGCTCCGAATGTTGTTGATGGTTGTCCTGAGAAGAGACCTCCTGCCTGGGTGGTTGCTGTAGATCCAAACAATCCTCCCGACTGTTGAGCAGGCTGACCAAACCCACCAGCAGTTCCTAGATCATCAAAATATATTCTTTCACCGGAATAATTTTACTTTTATTCTTAATCTTGAAGGACAGGTATTTTTATTTTTTTACAAGAACTAGGGGTTTATTCGCTGTAATGGGGAAAAATAAGGATTTTGAGAACATTAAATAAATTAAAGATAAAACAATGGTGCAAAATTCCCTTCTATTTTTGTTTAACCTTTTTCGTATTTAACCCCCCCCCCCTTCCATACAAACAAGACTAAAAGTTCTTGCAAACATTTTTTATCAACAGTGTTCAGGAACCACTTAATTTTTATGCGCACTGGATCCGCACTAGAAAAAAATGGATCCGGATCCAGGTCATTTCTTCGAGATTTACTGAATTTTTTTAACCAAAAAATAATTTTCAAATTTTTGATTTATTTTTTCGCTTATTTTTATGCTACAACCATTCAGAAATAAGAAATTTTTATAATCTCTCTTTTTTTTCAAAAGTTAAGATTTGGGGTTCAGGAGTAAAAAGTTTTTTTTTGCAGTTTTTGGTTGATATTTTACCCCTTGGATCCGGATTCGGATCCAGGAAGCCAAAATCTTGCGGATCCAACGGATCCGGATCCTAAGCACTGTCATCAATTGTTATCATAACTAAACTAAGATACAAATTAAATTTATTCCGAATAATTACCTCCGAATGCATTGCTCGGTTGACCGAAAGCCCCCGTAGTACTACCGAATGTGGATGTGGCGGTAGTTCCTCCTGAACCAAATAGTCCTCCTCCTGTACCCGCAGCAGGGACACTGCTCGATCCAAACAGTCCTTAAAGAAAGTGTTCGGAAAATATGGCAGAATGAATATAATTGTAAATCTCCTGATTAAAGAAAGTGTTCGGAAAATATGGCAGAATGAATATAATTGTAAATCTCCTGATTAAAGAAAGTGTTCATAAAATATGAAAGAATGAATATAATTGTAAATCTCCTGATTAAAGAAAGTGTTCGGAAAATATGAAAGAATGAATATAATTGTAAATCTCCTGATTAAAGAAAGTGTTCGGAAAATATGAAAGAATGAATATAATTGTAAATCTCCTGATCAAAGAAAGTGTTCGGAAAATATGAAAGAATGAATATAATTGTAAATCTCCTGATTAAAGAAAGTGTTCGGAAAATATGAAAGAATGAACATAATTGTAAATCTCCTGATTAAGGATATGAAAGTAAACCCTTCCACAGTCAGTGAAACGAAAACTAAAAATTATATGATCCGTTGCGGGTATATTTTTGTTTATAATAAAACTACCAAGATGTTAATATTTACATGATAAATCAGTATTTCCCCGCCAAAATCATATTAAATCTCCAATGAGTTAGAGATTAAATTGGTCGAATCAATTAATCAACCAACCCATAGATGAATCAGCCAAACAAATCAATCAATCAACAAATAAATCAATCTGTCAATAGATGAGCAAATATACAGCCAAAAACTAATTAATCAACCAAAAAGCAATCAGTCAACCATGCGATCAATTATTAACCCTAAATCTAATCCAACAATTAGCCAACCAAATCCAATCAAACAGTTTATCAATCGTAAAATTGGCCAATCATAGGATCAATCTACAAATTAACTAACCATTCAACCACTAAATCAATCAATCAATTATATTACCTCCTCCTGTGTTGCCAAAAGCTGACCCTCCAGCTCCAAACGCCGGTTTATTCTGCTGCGCAGCTCCAAAAGTGCTCGGGGTACCTCCAAACATACTGGTATTTGGGGCGGCTCCAAAACTTGTATTAGCTCCAAACCCTCCTCCCGTGTTGGCTCCAAAGGCGCTCTGCCCAAACATTTTATTGATATCACTAGATTTCTGTTAAGATTGTATTTTCTGAAGAAAACAAAGATTAAAGATCTGAACAAGTTTCTAAAAACTTCAAATAAGCTAATGTTGTAATTTTCCGCAATTAAAATAGTTGAATTGAAAATGCAGCTTTTAATGGTTAATATCGTGCACATTAGAGTAATAACTTTAAGGTAAGGAAGATTTCTTTAGGTATTAGAACACCCAAGGAACAGAATCAAAATTAACAGCTTTCCGTGAACAGTGAAATTCCCAAGGTTATAACGCAAGGAAAGTTAATTTCAGTTGCGAATATTCATTGTACATATAGAAACCAGTTCTCTCTGGGCGGAATTGTAAACAAGAATAGATGCATCAGTGTTCGTTTAATATCCGAGGAGGTTAAAACCATTAATTATGATAATTCACATAATAATTCCTATGACCAGAATATTTCATTGAATTTTTATGTGAAAGATGTCAGGCTTCGGCATCCGTCTTAAGTTTACATAACCGTCCAGAGACGGTACACTGCAGTACAAAAGATTGCGTACACCTCTGAAATAACTTTCCTTGCATTATAACCATGGAAATTCACATCTTTTATACAATAGTTACGTTTACAACAAAAATCAAGTTACTGAACAGTCCTTATTCACAAAATACTGTGAATCGTACATTACAGTTTAAATTTCCCTAAAACAAAGATTATATGAAACTAAGAAAACTCTAAAAAAGTCGGAGAATGAAACAATTTCCTCTAGTGACATTGTTTGTTGTTTATATACACAGTACACACTAAAGGTGCTGTGGCGTTTCCATAGCACCCACACTAATCCAATGACGAAATATAAAATGACTCATTAAAACTTAAAAGTAATTTTTTGATAAGAAAATTTAAAATACCCCCAGACATCGAATTTTCAATGGGCGATAGTAAACTTTGATAACTTACAAAAGGAAACGAGAGTGCAGAAATTTTTAAGTATTAAAATTCTTTCTAGGCTCTTTCTTTAGCTTTAGCTTTATCACTATTTAATGCAAACATTTTTTTATCAATAACTAAATAATATATTCTATATTTTGTCAAAATCAGCTTAATAAATAAAGATTGATTGATTGATTAACGTTTATTTCTATGTGCATCCAAAGGCGAGCACCTTAAATGTTTGATAAATAAATAAATCTATTTTATCATTTGAAAAAAATGTTGTTTACAATTTGACCTCGCTGAACATGTGTACTCTCTCCAGTGTACACTTTGCTTTCTACCTGCCATAGTGTAGGGGTGGGGGTGGATAGTGATCTTTCGACCTACGCAAATCCGCTGTACTCCACTATGGACCTACGCCAAATCCGCTGTACTAAACATCCGACCTACTAGCACGTGGACTGCTGCTGCTGGACTTTAGGCCGCAGCGCCTGGCCCCTTAGCCGCAGCGCTCGGCCCAGAAATTGTCTTAACCTAACCTAACCTGAAATAATACAAAAATAAACAGCTGGCGTAGGTCCGATATTGCAGTAGGTCGGAAAGTTAGTAGGTCAGAAGTTCAAGGGGGATATTGAGTATAGACGACGTAACATTACCGTGGGGGTGATGATACATTAGTTCAATGCTAGAAGCGGGGGAGAATGCGAGGGTTTATTAGATTTGATTGATATTTCAAATTCTTTAAAAAATATTTTCTGTACGAAGTGAACGAAGTAAATGTATAAAGCACCGTATTTTCTCAAAAGCTCTCACTAGAAATATCGAAAAGATATTTTTAACTTTATAATACTTTTTTTTGAAAAGTCATATGACAACCAAGCTCAAGCTATATCAGATCTGTACAAATTTTGATTTAATCTAAACAATAGAATTTCTTACAATCCATAACTATGTCACCTTTTACAACAAAACTTTTTTTCACAACTTCCAAGACATTTTATCTGTAATAAAATAAGAAATAGAGTTTGAAAAGGGTGAGTTTATGAACATTTTAAAATCAGGGTTGCGGCTCCTTGTCCACTTTCTTCTGATAGGTTTCAATCTGACATTCTTGAACTGCTGGAACCAACACTCCACACTAAATAGACATTTATTATTATTTAATCTGACACTGCTGGAACCAACAATCCACACAATATAAGACATTTATTATATCTGACATTCTTGAACTCCAGGGACCAACACACTACACTAAATAGACATTTATTATTATATCTGACATTCTTGAACTCCAGGGACCAACACACCACACTAAATAGACATTTATTATTATATCTGACATTCTTGAACTCCAGGGACCAACACACCACAATACATAGACATTTATTATTATATCTGACATTCTTGAACTACGAGACCAATAATACACACTAAATAGACATTTATTATTATTATTCATATCTACTAAAATTCTTACAATTTTTAAATACAGTATAAAAATAAAAATAACTATATTAAAGCTGAATTATCAAATTAAGCTTTAAGATTCACAGAATTAAAGTCTAATCCGTGGTGCAGAAACACTTATAACATTCTTAACTTTTTTAAATAACAAATGGGGGGGTTTTGGAGAATGTTCCTTGGTTCCTATTTCTTGTTTGATAATTCTTTTTATTTGTTTCTTGTTTTATGGTTTGTTTCTTGTTTTATGTTTCTTGGTTTATATTTCTTGGTTTATTTTTCTTGTCTTATGTTTCTTGGTTTATGTTTCTTGGTTTATATTTCTTGGTTTATTTTTCTTGTCTTATGTTTCTTGGTTTATGTTTCTTGGTTTATATTTCTTGTTTATGTTTCTTGGTTTATATTTCTTGGTTTATTTTTCTTGTCTTATGTTTCTTGGTTTATGTTTCTTGGTTTATATTTCTTGGTTTATGTTTCTTGTCTTATGATTCTTGGTTTATGTTTCTTGGTTTATGTTTCCTGGTTTATGTTTCTTGGTTTTTCTTGGTTTATGTTTCCTGTTTTATGTTTCTTGGTTTATGTTTCTTGGTTTATGTTTCTTGGTTTATGTTTCCTGGTTTATATTTCTTGGTTTATGTTTCTTGGTTTTTCTTGGTTTATGTTTCCTGTTTTATGTTTCTTTGTTTATGTTTCTTTGTTTATGTTTCCTGGTTTATGTTTCTTGGTTTATGTTTCCTGTTTTATGTTTCTTGTTTTATGTTTCTTGTTTTATGTTTCTTGGTTTATGTTTCTTGGTTTATGTTTCTTGGTTTATGTTTCTTGGTTTATGTTTACTGGTTTATGTTTCCTGTTTTATGTTTTTTGGTTTATGTTTCTTGTTTTATGTTTCTGATTTTATGTTTTTTGATTTACGTTATGTCTCTTGGTTTATGTTTCTTGTATTATATTTCTTGGTTTATGTTTCTTGGTTTATGTTTCTTGTTTTATGTTTCTTGGTTTATGTTTCTTGGTTTATGTTTCCTGGTTTATTTTTCCTGGTTTATGTTTCCTGTTTTATGTTTCTTGGTTTATGTTTCTTGCTTTATGTTTCTTGGCTTATGTTTCTTGGATTATGTTTCTTGTCCTATGTTTCTTTTTTTAATGTTTCTTGTTTTATGTTTCTTGTCTTATGTTTCTTGTCTTATGCTTCTTGTCTTATGTTTCTTGTCTTATGTTTCTTGTCTTATGTTTCTTGTCTTATGTTTTTCTGATTTTGTTTTTTGATTCACGTTATGTTTCTTGGTTTATGTTTCTTGGTTTATGTTTCTTGGTTTATGTTTCCTGGTTTATTTTTCCTGGTTTATGTTTCCTGTTTTCTGTTTCTTGGTTTATGTTTCTTGTTTTATGTTTCTTGCTTTCTGTTTCCTGTTTTCTGTTTCCTGTTTTCTATATTGGAGCCCCACATCGTGCATGCATAGTTTAAAATTGGAATGCATTATGACATGTCAAGATTTATCATTTTTTAAACAGTGAAGCTAATTTAAATATTTGCACTAGAAAAGAGAAGAAGTTCAACTACGTCTAACTGTTCTATCCATTAAATTTTGTTCGTGTGTAAGTAATATAATTGTTTCCAACCTGGTTTACGGCTAGATCTAGAGCTTTGTTAAACTGCTGCGGATTTAAAACCCCCTGGCTTACAAGGCAAACAACCTAGATATCGAATATTTATTAACCCTAATCCGGCTGGGGGCGGGGGTCCCCCTGTTTATTTGGGATAAAGGAGACGCCAGCCTAAATATTTATTCAAAGTTATGAGTTCTTTCATTCAATATTCATACTTTGAACATACAAACTGTGAAATAGAAAGACGACATTTAAGATATCTTAGGCCAATTTGATGTTGTTATAAAGCAAATAGTAGAAATAAAACTGAAAATTCACTTCATCAGTGAAATAGGTCTATGTACACAGCACATTTTTTTAAAACTATTTTTGAATGCTTCACTTGAATTTCGCAGTTTCTTCCAATTCCACATGTGTATACATAATTTCACTGTAAGCAACAAATAATCATATTATTCATAAATATTTATATTAAAATTTGAAAATGAATTTAATAGAAATGACAGCAAGGCCTACAAATCTTTTATTGGCGAACATTCCGTTTAAAAGTGTTAAGCCCACTTGATCGTGAAAAGTCTCTTTAAAAGTTTTAAGAATACAAAGGAAACTTTTTAGAGAACACCCCTTTTAAAAACCTTAGCTAAATTCATCGTGAACACTTCTTTTTGAAGTTAAAAGCTTGCTTGTTCGTGAACACGCTCTTTAAAAACATTAAGCACACTTTTCGAGAACACTCCCTTTAAAAGTGTTAAGCTCACCTGTTCAGATGAGTTCAGATATCCAACTGTTATATTTCCCTAAATAATAATTGAATTAGTTGAACATATTTTTTATTTATGACTTGAAGCCTCATTTGTCATCTAAGTTGCCTTAGAAAAAAACGGAGTAACCCAACCCACCAGCACCCCCATGATATAATAAAATAGTGAAATTAGAGCAAACAAAAATAAAATACACACAGCTTTAGATTAATTATCAAATGAAAACCATTGATAAGGATGGATCCAACTTTGATGTAAGAGCAGTGCAAAGGGAAATAAAATATATGCGGATATTTAGAGGGACAGTAAGCGTATTTTCAAGGGATCCTCCAGGCAAAGAAGGAAATGTCCGATTTACACCGGTACCCATTTAACATTAATCTTAACAATAATGTTAAGTAAAGTCGGATATTTTTGCCAGAGAAGTGTTGATATCTAAATTATTTCCAACGCAATATTAATGCTTTTGTTGAGAAACCACACATGAAAATGATCAGTTTTCAAACCAAAAACAAGAGAAAATATTCAAGATTGAGGTTTAAGATCCTATCATCCAAGCACTTGGACGAGCTATTCTTTTCTCCATGATGAGTATATGATTACCAACTTAACCCTAGCTCCTGACGGGATATATAAAGGTTTAAAATGTTTCGTGTTATCAGTGTGAACAATTAACGACGAAAATGTGACTATCCCCTTTATCACATGACAAGCTTCATATTAACTCATCTTGATATTTCTAGTTGTGTACAAGAGACAGCTGGTATAGACTATCCAACTCTAGAGCTATTAATTTCTCTGGCCTAATCAACTTTGAAAGTGTTACTTTAATTCAAATATATTGTTATAACGTATTCACATTTGGCACAACTGGAGCAAACTTTCATGTAAACTTGGCTAATTTTATTCACTAAGCTTTACAAGTACATATAAATCATTTAAATAATAATTTTGTATTTATCTAACCCATGACTGATTTAATTGTTTTTCAGTTCAGAGGTCTGAGCTGTGTATTGCAATACCAGAAATAAAGATTAAACAGACCAATGTGTATTACAGAGGTGTGCAATGGAGAAATGATGTTCCCCCATCATGTTAATAGCTGAATAATACCTGTGGATCTAGCTATCCTATTCTGGGAATATGCTAAAATTACCGAAATGGGCAGACCCAGACAGGAAATGGGGCGGGTTGGTGGATGAAGACTCTATATGGTTCCTACCTGCCCTTCTTCTCCTTGATGTGAGGAAAGTTCAGCAAGGGTTGGATCTATCAGTACTTCATCACCATGAATACTGATGAGTCATTTATTCAAAACTTTATTCACATTATTCAAGGATCGTCATTTTTCAACACAGTAAGTCTATTAATGGGACAATGGTCGCATTTATATCAAGAAAAATCGTTTAATTCTATCAGTTTACTTCCTTGCATAATGCATTTCCTGCATAAATTTGTAAGTTACTCTTCTAAAACAACCGCGGCTGCGATTGAAATTTAACAGTTTCCAGATAAAAAAAACGAGTATTTCTACAGTCCAACCAGTACTTCTAAAATAACTACTTAACAGCTTTAAAAAATTGAATTGTTAATTACATGCATTTGTTTCATTAGTGCAAGCAGTAATAATAAGAAGCAAACAAAACTACAATAAAAAATAAACCTTTGAATTTATCCATTTTAATTGGAATTTTAATTTAGTTTTTAGTTTAAAAATTTCCTAACACTAGCTCCAGTGATATTGTCGTAAAGCCCAATCTGAGCATCAGAAAGCGCCAAACCTAAAAAGAAAATAAGAATAGTAACGGAAAAATCGTTTTCAAAGTTTTGTGACATTTAAATCCCACATTTTTTATACAATTTAATCAAGAATCAGATTAACTTTACCTGTGGCAGTTATTGCTGCAGCAAGAACACCTCCATCGTCCTCTAGTACAGTTACAAACACATCAATACAAGATTTAGGATACAGGTTCATCCGTACTGCATAGTGTACACAATCAAACCATTAAAAACGTGAATCGGGATACATTTTGCGGCGAAGAAGATAATTCTGTATCTAGAACAAATTTAGAAAAATTTGACACCTTCCAAGGAGTCCTTACTAAAAAAGTAAGAATTGTCCAAGAAAAGTACGGGTTCCTGTCTTGTCTTCTTTTGCTTCTAATTAACGTAAAATCGTAAAAACGGAAACCGATTAGTCTCAAATTAATGACCCAAGGGAAGATTTATGGACAAATTTTTTTAAAATTCCTAAATAATTTTGATTTAAAAAATTTGGAAAATCTGGAGGAAAAAATGTTCATAAAAAATGTACAAAAAACTTTAGATAGTTTAGCAACATAAAGCTAAGATTACTACCAGAATGTCGAGCGCAGTAGACCTAGTATTATCTATATAGTAAAGCTATATGCTCATGTAGCTGCGAGTTAGCTGACATTTTTAGGGAACCTATGAGTATCCTGAGGGTAACATGAGCTAACAAATATTTATAATTTTTTTTTAATTCAAAATTCCTTTTTAGTTTTCAATGCAACGCCGGGTACTTCAGCTACTAAATCATAAAATACACAATCTCAAGGTGATACTACCAAAGAATGTGAATGTGACGAAGATTATATACATCCCTGCAGATTCCAAGCATTCCTTCAGGAGTAGACTTAGTTCAGTTTCTTCAGCATCAGCCTAAGTAAGCATTGGAAAATGAGTCTTCGAAATTTAGGATTTGCAGGGACTCTGGAAGTAGTTTAATACGAGCTTGGTTCTATCTATTGCGTCTAAAGGAGAAAATTGTTAAAAACGACTTGTAGTGAAGAACGTAGCGTCCATACAAATTCAGACTCGTATCGTAAAATAATCAATTTAATTTTAAACAAATCATTCAGATATTACAACCTAAAGTCATTGATTATATTTCGATGTATTCGTATATAGTTAATATTTCATAATATTTGTTATATACACAATATACGATTTTTTGCCTTCAGATGTCTCTGCCATGTGTAATCATTCAAAGCATTGAGAAAAGGGACATCTGGCGGCCAACTATTTCGGGGTTTTCAGTGCTTAGTATACAAAACTTATAAATAATATTATGAATTATTAACCATAAACGAATGCGTCGAAAAATAATCGATGACTATTGGATGTAATATCTGAATGATTTGTTTGAAATTAAATTGTTTGTTTTTTACGGTATGAGTTGAATATTGCAACTTTCTGAATTTTTATGGACGCTACATTCTTCTGTGTTACAAGTCGTTTTTAACAATTTTCTCCTTAAAGACGCAACAGATAGAAGTAACATTAGTAGCGATCAAAAGCAATTATTTCTCGCAGTAAGCCTATACCCCCTTTCATTTTTCGCGAACACTCTCTTTAAACCTCAATTAACATTTATTCTCACAATTAGCTTCATTGTTTCACAAGAGACTTTTACATAACAACTAAAAAATTTAACCTGAAAAATGGGAATATCGTCATCCTTAATAAGAAAAAAGGTTGTAGGAAATCATTGTGAGATGGATATACCACTAGCAGGGTCACTTAATATTAATTCTGTAGTCCTTTTAATAAAGTTTTAACAAAGATTTGATTTTGACCCCCTAAAGTCTATGACCAATCTTTAAAGACAACTTTTTACGGCTTGATTGGTCCTGTTATATATATTACTAGAAATTCAAGGCGCTTCGCGCCCATCTTCTAAATTAGTTGTGAACATGTTCTCTTTGTGTACATCGTAAAACAAAACAAAAATAATTCGCGGATTTTCAAAATTTTAAAAAATTTAATGACGATCGAATTTTGATGGAGACAAATATTTAAAATTTCAATCATTCATAAACCTTCCCTGGAGTCCCTAGATGTCCCACAAAAAATTTGGGCCCGATCGGTTCAGCCGTTTTGACGTTTATTGGATACAAACAGACAAACAGACAAGCCAAATTTATATATAGATTTTGTAAATTCTTTATAAGTTTGAAACATTGACCAAGTAGATTGAAGAAAATTGAACGATGTTAAAAGTTTAAAATAACATTTAATCCAGATATTTGGGTTTTAAAAGATATTTTAAATGAAACAAAACTTTTAAATATTATAAAAAGAAATTGAGTCTTTGTCACAAACTATGATTTTCAAATCTCTATATCTTTGCAACCCAATGCCTTAGACCTTTAGACTATGAACGAATCTAAGTTTGAAATATCACGCCATGCGGTGAAAAAAGATGGGTAATAGAAAATCAGAGTTTGTTATAACTCAATTTCTTAATTTCTTTACCACTTATTCTCTGCTTTTGTCGAATTCAGGAAATTGCCCTTGTTGAACCTAAAATATGAAATAATGCTTAAAGGGATTGTTTTTCTTTTACAAAATACACATGATAAAATAATATCCAATCAATATTCAATACTTATGCTTCAAATGACTAAATTAGGATTTTTTTGATAACGCGTGAAGTTGATCATTTTTAAAATTAAGCACACACTTTAGCCAATCTTACCGCTCAAAGATGTCCCTAAAGGTTAAGATACGAAACGATTCAAAAATATATTTGAGCGATTAAGGAATGCTGATTTGAGTTATTAATTTGTTCTCAACTTCTTATCATTTACTTGACATAATCTAAACTGCGTAGTATATACTGTAGAGTTACGTGACGCACTACCCGTCCACGTTTTTTACTTGTTACTTACTATGCCAAATCATAATTGCATAGAGTAAGGTTGTGTGACGCACAACCCCAGCTCGTCTTTTTATTTCTTATTTCACGTTATCTACACTACATAGGGTAAAATTGTGGCGCACTACGCAAGCATTGATTAACTTATTCACTGAGTACCGTGACGCACTAATGATATCTTGTTATTTACTTTGCATAGTCTACACTTTGTAGCACGACGCACTAATAGTAATTATATCTTGTCACTTACTTTGCGTAATCTACACTGCGTAGAGTAAAGTTGTGTGGCGCACCCGGACCACTTACTATTGAATTATCCAACTCTGATAAAACTCCTCTGTTAAAACAAGATTGGATAAAAATAAAATAAACAAGTGAACAAATTTAACTGAAAAAAACATGAAAAATAAATTAACAAATTTGAAAAAGGGACTTCAAACTTGTTGTAAAAAAAGGGTCAAATTGATAAAACTGAAATCAATCTTGTTCCTGGCGAGCTTGTTCTTGTTTTGCACCGCAGTTTTAGCATCCTTCTTGTCTCCACGTTTTATACCGTAGCTGTCCCTCCGTTTCTGTCGCAGGGATGCGTTGTTCTAAAAATATATAAAAAATGTTATTTAAAATAACTTAAAAAAAATATACAATTTTGTTTTGATTAAGAGATATCATATTGTTCATTTTGGAGGTAATGATTTTATCGAAGGAATTCAGCTTTTGTAATTATTTGCTTTAGGACACTCAGCTGCCTCTTTTACTTTGAAATTATGGACCATCTTATATGGAATAGTTGAATGGATGTGTTGCCTGGTTTAATTAAAAATACAAAGTTTAAGTTTTCCAGCCCGAACTTTAGATTGTAAAAAAAAAATATTATGCAAATGTTAAGGATACTATAGATCAACTACCGTGCTTAAATAATCAAATTAGTCACGTTTTAAGTAGAAATTGACGATTATATATGGAAGATCTTTCCCGGAAGACTGTTTGGGGGAGCTTCGGAAGCCCTCAGGGGACATGCACAGCCGCAAATAGGTAAAATGAGGTTCGGAAGCTGTGCGGGGAAGGCTGTCTTCCCTACCTCGTTAGAGAAAGTATTTGTCTACTGAGCGTTCATATTTGTCTGCTTTTAGGTCATATTCTGCTACTTGGTGATTTCATGAAGGTCATATTTGTCTCCTTGGAGGTCAATCATTTTACCTTGGAGGTCGGAGTCTCTGACATCCTTGTCCTCGGTGATCTGATCATAGCAAGCCCTGTATTTATTCTTGAGAGAATACGGGACGACCCAGGAGTTTTCTAAACGTCAAGTTTTGAAAATGTCACAAGTTTTCTAAATTAAACTAATTTTCTAAATGGCAGCGTTTCTGCATGTAAACAAGTTTTTTTAGAAGTGGCAAATTTTTAAAAAATGACAAATTTTCTAAATATGAACTAGTTTTCTAAATGTAAAAAGTATGTATGAATAAATTTCGAATTAATTTCCACTGAGTAGTTTACTCAACTTAAAATATTTTTTCTGGGCTATATATTTCATAAACAGATATTTATATCCAGGAGTAGATCTGCTCAAGTTAAGGGATGGAGACTGAATGATTTCTAGATTACAGTTTTCTAGTTCGGAGATTTTTATCTTTATCTTCGAGTATTTCTTGTATTTATCTTTTGTTGCATATAAAAATCTACCTTGATACTATTTGTTTTGTTTCCTGATGTTGATTGCTTCAGCTTAGCTGGAGTAGCAGGTTTAGCTCCAAACCTTGTCTCTTGAAGTATAGTTCTCTTCTTAGCCTAAAAAAGTTAAACATTCAACCCAACCGGTTAAAGGGACTGTAAGCATAATTTCAAATGACCCTTCATGCAATTATGACAATGCCTGATTCAGAACGGTACCCTTAAAACCTATGCCTCATCAAGTGTGAATTCGATATCAATGTTAATTATTTTGAAAACTGGTTATTTTCACTTGCACATTTATATTGCAAGGAAACATAATAATGATCAGAAATTAACATTTCTTTAACAAGAAAAACGACCATATCTTCCACATGATTAATCAGAGAAAGGTTTTAGGGTAACTGATGTAAATCGGGAATTGTCATCTTTGCGCGGAGGGTCACTTGAAATTATGCGTACAGTCCCTTTCTTCAGGTCATGCCGGGTTCAAAGAACAGGCGACTACAGTACAGTAACTGACTCCATATTACAATAATATACGGTACATTTGTATAGATTAAATAAAAGGCGTGTAAACTGCGTATACTCTATTAGTTTAGTGGTTGAGTAAAAAAAACGAATATATACACCATAAAGTGACGGCCAGACGTGTACTGTGGCAAAGTTCAAGATACAATCAGAAAGACCCGGAATTAATTTTCTTTCAATTTCGGAATTAATTGACAGTTTATCAGACCACTTCACAAATATATCTCTGGCAATTTTGAATGTTTAAAAGGGCAGACCACATTTTTGAAATGGCAGGACTAGGGTTATTTGTGATTATCGTTTCGTCAATCATAATTGTAAATTTAGATTGTAAAATCGTCTGATTTATTGTAAATTAATTCCGGGTGTTTCTGATTGTAGAGTGTAGATAAAATGGATTCATTAAAATAACTTTAATTTTTAAATCATAAACATATAAAGATTTCAGGAGGCCTATAGTCTTGTAATTGCCCGTTTTCCAGGATTAATATTAAAACTGCTTTTTCTAAATTCACTATTTTTTTGGCTCTCAAAATAATACCTGTTCCCTTGCAACCTTCTCAGCTTCCAGTTGCTCTAAATGTTCTTCCTTTTGCTTTTCAATAAATGCCTAGAGAAAATTAAAAATAAAACTAAGTTGGAAATGAAGTTGGTTTTTACCCAATGTACAAAACAACGTATTTCTCTCAAATTAACCTACCTACACATTTTATATAGGAATTCTTTTTATACAAATCAAATATTCACTAAAAAACATACAATTAAAAAAACAATCAACTAATTATTCAAAAAATAAAAATGAATCCAAAAACAATCTATCAATTAATCAATTATTTTATCGATCATAAGATCAATATTATCAGTTAAATTATAAATCAATCTATCAATTACCTGGAAATCGACACCGTGGACTAGGAAAGTGCGACCAGTTTCATTCTCCCATTCTAAACAAAGTTTATTGTTATCTTCATTGAGTCTAAAAAAGACAGCTAATATATTTTACTGTTAATAATCTTGGATAATTAAACTAGACTTTGAAAGATTTACTATGTAGATTTGAGGATTTTACGATCCAAGATTTGCGGAGTTTACCTTTGATGAGTTGGTGTAGTTCTTGTTCTACCCTGGGTAGGTTCTTGTTAACCTTGTTCCTCTCCTTCTCCTCCAACAACAAACTGTTCCCTCGAGCGTTCATCAACCTGGAACAAATGTTGCACTAATTACAGGGGTGTATATTTACAGTTTTAATCGTCTTTGCTTAATAAGGTTTAGAAAAATGTGTACCGATTGCTTTAAGGGGAGAGGGGAGCAGGGCAAGGAAGTCATTGGTTTAGATAAACCGGTTTAATTCAATTTAAACCAACCTAACCCAACAAAAACTAACCCAAATCAACGCAACCGAAACAACAATAACCCAAATCAACGCAACCGAAACAACAATAACCCAAATCAACCCAAATGAAAGTATTCTCACCTTGAAGGATCCTTGGCTCTTCTCTCCAGTTCCATGAACTTGTTCCAAACCTCCTGGCGCTTGGACACCTTCAGGAACAGTTCCTTGTGATCCTAAACAAGAGTACTCAGGTCGTAATTGATGAAAAACGAGAACTACTTGAACAGGGTACGGGTAGTTAAACTTATTATCTACTATACAAGCGAACGTGTGAGGGGGTCAGATGATTTTAGGTACGTTCCCGAAGGCATTTTCCCAAGGTTATTTTCTTAAGAGTCAAATGTTCACTTTCCCAAGCAGCAACTTCCTATGTCTGTCCTAGCCGCAGCGCTCGGCCTCATTGCAGCCTGCAGTCAGATAGATGCTCTGGAAGTGTTTACCTCGTAATAAGTTTTGAGCCTGGCCACCTCGGTCTCGTGAGCCTCAAGAAGAGCCTCAGAGAAATCTGTAGAGTGCAGAGGGAGGAACTCATTCCTAGAACACATAAATGTTTATTTTCATGAAAATAATTGAAGAAAATAACAACGGAATGATTAAATATTTTAGAGAGAGAAAAATGCATAATAAAAGAGGTGAAAACATTGATTTCCCCTTTTTTCATTTTATCACCCCCACCCCCCCATTCTTAGCGTATGAAGAACGAGGGGATATTCTAAAATTTTGTTATGTTTTATTTTTGACAGAACATACTTTTTCTGTTTGCTTTGTAACGGAAAAATATTGCTTTGTTTACATACTAATAATCTTAGAACTTCAGATGTTTCAACACATAAGGAAGATAGGGAAGGGTGGAGGAAAGAGATAAAGATAAAGGGAAGGGAGAATAGAGTGAAGGGAAGGGAGAATAGAGTAAAGGGAAGGGAGAATAGAGTGAAGGAAAGGGAGAATAGAGTGAAGGGAAGGGAGAATAGAGTGAAGGGAAGGGAGAATAGAGTGAAGGGAAGGTTTTTGGAAAAAAGAAACATGAAAAGCAAAAAGTAGCGAGTAAAATAAAGAAGTAAGAAGAGGGAAGGAAGTATAAAGATCGTAAGACAGGGAAAGAGAAATAGAAAGAGGTAGAAAGAGTGGTGAGGGAAGGATGGAAATAGTTAGGTAAGAAAAAGGTTATCGAGGGGAGGGGAATGGAAAGAGCTAGAATGAGCTAGGTGAGGGAAAAAAGAGGTTTAAAGAGGGGAAGGGTGGACAGAAGAAGGTAGAAAGGAAGGTGAATAAAAAGAGGGTTGGTCCAACCTCTGTTCTTCTGAGTAGAAACAGTCGTCCCAAAGAACGTTGAGTTCGTCCCTGATGTTGATGATAAACTTCTCAATGTTTGCCCGTTTAATCTCTTCCAGACGGACAATTTCAGCCTTGAGGGAGGCAATAACAGTCACAGAGTGCCCTGAATCACAGATTTGTTTTCTTCTCCAAAGCATGAAAAATCAATCAATAGATTTATAGTAAATATAAGTATTATTCACTACTATATATAGTAGTAGTGTCACTGTAAATCACATTTCTTATTCGAATAAAGATGATGGTAAGTTAAGTTTCAAAGAATCAATCAATATATAATTGCACCTCTGTTATTAGAAAGGAAATGAAACTTCTTATTATCGTCTAGCTGCAGCCTGGCGTATAGGGCGTCAATCTTCTCAATACACTCGCACACCTCCTTCTGGTTCTTCTTCACTTCATCCTCCAGCATACTCTGGATCCTTGGGTGATTGAATATATAATTAGGGGTGTATACAGTGCACAGTGCACATGAGTATGAAAAATACTACTTACAAACATGATTAATATTACCTGCCGACATCCTCGATATTCTTAGCGCTCAAAACAAATCTATCCAAGCTCTCGCAAACCAATTCTCGTTCCATTTCAGTGCTGAACAATCATTCAAGTTTAACGATAGTAAAAGAAAAATTTTAATGTCCAAGTTTAAATATACGCCCCTGCTGATAAGCGATTAACTAACATATTTATAAACTTATCTCTTATCATTTTGCTTGAACTTTTTTGATAAATAGCGTGCTTTTCTTAATAAATTGTGGGGTTACCTCTTATATTTGTTATATTAATAATTGGCTTGTCAGTCAGGTCGGAGAATACTCTATCCTAATTGTTTCCGTACCTTGGTTCCATGTCAAGTTCCTGGTAAAGCCTGGTAATTTCCTCTCTCTGGGTTGTGACCTGTTCTATCCGTAGAGCTAGTTGTTTCTCCAATTGTTTAATATGCTCCTATAACAAGGGATTATATATTTAAGGGACATATTTATGAGAATTACCCCCCCCCCCTTCCGAAGAAGTTGATTTGGAAGCTTCGACGGAAGGAAATACGAGATTTGAAGTCAACTTACCGATATTTTTCGTCGTTGACAAAATATCAGCTACCCCTTAGTTGAGCATAAAAACTCACTTCCAAGGGGGGGGGGGGAAGGGCATGGTAAAAACTTGTCCACGTAAATCTGAAGAGTTTACCAATATTAAACCGGTATAAAGTATAATTTCTAGAATTACACCCCCCCCCCATAAAAATTAGAAGGGTGGGGGGCGGGAATGGAAAAGTAAATGATATAAATAAAAAACTCAGAGAGACATTTAAGATTAATTTTCTAAGATCAGAATGGAATGAAACGTTAACATTAAATTATACCTTCAGTTCGTCGAGTTTTTCTGTGTTAGGCACAGTTGTAGTTGAAATATAAAACGGATCCATACCAAGCCTAAATCAATAAAAAATATAATAATAAAAACGAAAGACCATTTTTTTTAAATGTTTGATATAAGTAAAATTAGGTTTGGGTGCATCTGCATTAGTTAAATATGAATCATTACTCCCGAAAAGATTCATGTGATCAGTCTAATAATCCTTACGCCATGATCAATTTATGATCCCTTTTTATTAATCCATAATCAATTACCTAGAGCAAAGTTCTTCATCGACAAACCGTAGTTCTTTGACCTCCTCCAGACGTGTGTTCTAAACAATACGAAACATAGTGAATAAAATCTGCATTAGATTCCAATGTGAACCCCCGGCCTTGGACGTCAACGTAGTTCAAAGTGACACAAATGTCATTAAATTATAAGAAGTTAACGTTGAATCTTTGTTTAAATATCAAACTGGGAAAGTAATCATGGTTTCCTATCTTAAATCAGACAAATTACGGCCATTTTCTTCCTCACTATAAATAATAATAAAAAACGTATCGAGTTTGATGGGTAACAATGAATCATTTTAGACCCCCTGTAAATCAGTAGTTACATAATCATATTATTTATACATACATAAGAAGGCTAAAATAGTCCAAAAATTTAAACAATTATAACAGGGCGTCAAAATAGTTCAAAGAGAAACACATGTCATGAACAATTAAAAGAAGTTTACACTGAATCTTTGTTTAAATGACAAACTGGGAAAGTAATCAAGGGTGTGTTAACTTAAATCATAAAAATTTCGGCCATTTCCCCCCTCACTAGAACGTTTCTGGGCAACAGTGTGAATAATTTTGGCCCCCAGTAGATCAGAGGTTACATAACCATACATAATGAAGGTTAAAAGAGAACACGAATTTTAGAACATGTGGCCGGTGGGGGGGGGGGGGGACGTTGATTTTAAGTAATTTGAGGAGGAAGTAATGATGGCAGAGGGGGGATTAACACGCCACCAATTTCAAAATAAATATACCTTTACCTTAATATCCTCTAGATTTTTAGCCTCGTGTCTCACAGCTCGTTCATATTGAACCAGAACAAGACTGCTGTCAGGGAACTCGAAACTTAACAGAAGAAAACAATTCTTAAACTTTATCGAAAATATTCATATTAAATCCTCCATCGCTAACACAAAATAATTCTCAACATACGTTTATCATTTAAATGCATTGTTTTACCAACTACATAATAATAAATTCAGAAATTGCTAGAAAAACTTTCCGAGTAAAATCCGAGTAAAAAAGCACACACTTTCTTATAACCTGGGGTGAATATTTTTAAGAATTATCAACAGGAAAGTTTTATTATTCTTATTTATCTTGATGGATACTTTACATCCAAAATTTTATTCATTTTCCCTTAAAATTTTATTTTCCCAATTAAGCGAGAAAATAAGGGGAGTGGTTTGTTGAAGGGAACCCATAAATATGTGTAAAAGAAAGACGACAGTTAGACTCAAGAACAAATCAAATGTGTGGTGAAAACTGACTTATTTCCCATGATTAGTTACTGGTAAATCGGTTTGCTTTTTAATAACATGAAGTAATTCTCAGATTTCTTAAATGTCGTCTTTCGTTCCAATAGTTTTATGGTTTCTACTATACCTGATCCCCAGCTCCTGGCTAAGCTTGGTGGCCTGCTTTGAGTAGTACTCCAGGCTGTCCAGGATCCTCTTCTTGGCTTTCTTATCCTCGTTTACCATCCTAGTCAAGAATTTTTAATTAACAAAACATACCCGTCTGATTTATATTAAGGTATAATTTAAGAATCCCCCCCCCCCATCCCTCAAAAGGAAGACACACACACACATATAGGGGGTTGGTATTTTTCGATTATGTAGGGGGTAAAATAAAAATATGGAGTGGCAAGTTTTCCATCCGCCCCTATCATCCAAGAGATTTTATCAATTTACTTTCCCCAAAAATTGTAATTTTCCTCCCCCCACACTAAAAGAAATCTAGGGGGGTCATTTTTTATAGAGTAGATTGCTAGTTCCGGTGCGATGTTTAGTAATATTTTTCTTTTCACATTATTATTATTATTATTATTAAAATCTACTTATTGTTCAAAATGCTTACAACAAATACAATCATACTGATATCAAGTTGAGCATATTGATTGATTGATTAAATATTCGATTAGCATATAAGGCAGGTAGCATTTCACTCAGTAAAGCCTACTTATACCGTATTTGACATTCACACACACTTTTGGTAATTGTTACTTTACACTCAGTTAACACAATGAGATGTGGAAAAACTTAACGGAATTTCAAACAATAGAAACTTAATTCGATCCGACTCGTGACAAGCTAAGATAAGCAAGATGGAAAACCAGAGAACCAAACCGAAAACAGGACTAAAACGCACTTCACTTTTGATCCAAAAATTGAAATTTTACAGTCATAACCAGAAAGATCCGGATTTTATTGACAGTTAATCATACTTTACATATATATTTCTGGTAACTTAACCCCACAATAAAGGCAGACCACATTTTTGAATTTGCTGTTTTGTTAATATCGTATCATATTTGTAAAATTAGATTGTAAATTCGTCCGATGAATTAAAAATTAATTCCGGGTCTTACTGATTATGACTGTATAGTGTATATTAACTATTTATACTATTATTTTGGTTCGAAATGTTATAAAGTTTTCGGGCAGAAATCTTTATCGAAGCCTTTTTAGATTTAATTTTGTCCTGAGCTTTAGCAAGGGACAAAATATAATATTAAAAGGCGAGAGTACTTGTCTTATTTAAATGGATATTTCTAGATCATATAATCTTTGAAACAAAGCCGAAGTCAAAAACTTAATTTTATTTTAATTTTATTTTCATTTTAATTGAAAAAAATATATATTTTGGAAATATCCTTAAATGTTTTTGAGAAAATCCGAGAACATAAAACTTTATAACACGTTCATTATGAAATTCACGATGAAAGTGAGGAAGAATGATAGAGTACAAAATAGTTCCATAAAAAACCGACTCAATTATCGTAAAAAAATGCAAGAAAATGGAGGATAATATCCGAATAGGAACAAACAAGAAACAAACAAAAAAACCACGCTGGCTCAAGAATTTCTAAAATGATTCAAATACTCAGACCGCGTAAAGAAACAGAAAAAATGAAATAAGACTGAACGCATTTTTCATTTAATCAAGCTCTGAACGTCAATTTTCATCTACAATACAGAGAATTTACGCTTGATGTAAAATAAATCAGTGCTTAGGATCCGGATCCGTTGGATCCGCAAGATTTTGGCTTCCTGGATTCGGATCCGCAAAATATGCGGATCCACGGATCCGGATCCAAGGGGTAAAATATTAACTAAAAAGAAGAGAGTTTAAAAAGAATTCCTCATTTCTGAATGTTTCATCAAGTTTTAGATTAAAAATAAAATTTTAAATTATCTTTAGTTACAGAAATTCAGTAAATATTAAATAAATGACCTGGATCCGGATCCAATAAATATACATTCACTAACATTAAAATAAATGAATGTCACTTCCGAGAGATTAAGTAAAATAGGAAGTAATATAAAATTCTAGATAATATAGATATTATAGATATATATATGTTTGTTTGTATATCCAATCGTAACTCAGAATCACACAGAACGATTTGCCTAAAATTTGTATTAAGAAACTTGTTAGAGCCACGGGAAAAATGTTTGCTAGGCTCAAATTTTTTTAATCTAAAGATAAGCTAGTGTTCAATAGTTTGGTTATACGTACTTGTCTAGTAGTTCAGTTATATGTTTTAGGACGGTTGAACTCCTATCCTCCCGGCCCGCCTCATCTATCCCCAGCTCCTCCCATAAACCTTCAAGGCGGGATACACGGTCATCAACAACATCCTGGACAAATGCAATATTAATAATTACAAAAGAAATAAATAATTATATATATATATTTTATATATATTTATATTTTTTTAAAGAAACTTTTGAACGTGCATAAAATTTTTAACAAAGGCGATAATCACACAGGGTTTTTAATAATAATAATCATTACTCAATGCTTGAAGGTAACTGATAAAATTATTTTGTTGGTGGCTTCCATTCCGCGGGGCGTTTCTAAAGACGGTGAAGTTTATCAAGGCGTGGTTAGTTCTGACATGTCAGACCAACAAAAATGCTTAAATTCAGAAAAAAATTTATGACAAAAATGAAGAGTTACCTTAATCCTCCGACTGAATTCTCCCTCCATGTTTAAAGATTATCAGCGAAAATATAACTGTCAAGTGTCACGGAAACTGACAAGAGCACGTTTTCAATGTTTTCTCTTTAAAGATTAATTTCTTGAATAAATTTCACTATTAATCGATTTCATCTGAAAAAGAGAGTTGTTGATTATATGTTCAAAATTAACTAAAGTGCATTCAATTTAAGATCAAATTAACACGCAACGTAAAAATCATCGGTTTAAAATTAGCGCACTTTTGGCCTAAAATGCCCCGCTTCATTTTATTTTTAAATTTGAGCGGGCGCGCAGATGCTACATCATTTGAACTATGTATCATTAAAATGTCAGTTTTCGTGCTTTTACTCAATGCTCAAAATAAATCAGTTATTCTTTAGTTTGAAAGCATGTGAAAAAAGTCACAAATCACTATTGTAAAATTCTAAAATAAAAAAATAAAGATCGGATTATATTTAGTTCGGATGGGTCAACTTTTACGCGCAACAAGTTATTAATGCCACGTAACTTTTTTATTTTTATTAAAGAAAAGACGACCTGAGTCAAAAAAAATAAAATCTAAACTGAAATTACATAAAGTAATTATGTTTGAAAATTCTTAAAAAGCACATCAATGAAGACTTGTATTTTATCTTTGGAAGTTCGTAGTTTTTATATCATTAGTTTTGTAACAAATTTTTAACATTTTGGGAGTATCACGTCCAAACCAAATCTTATTGCGTCATAATGTTGTGAAGAAATTTCTAGCAAATCTTTAATTTCAAATCTGCGGAAGTCTCTCTCACTCGGTAGTCGGTGCTAAACATTTAACTCAATTGCACCTAGAAACAAATGTTAATCAATCACTCAATCTTGTACTGCTCATTGAAATAAAGATTAGTACTATACTGACTGAAAAAGATATTTTTAATAGCGAATCTTTCATTCTGACTAAATAAATTTTACACTACATTATTAGGATCTGTCCTAGTGAACGATTTTTGGACCCCCCTCCCATAGACATTATAGACACATGTTTACAGCCATTTACCGTTTTCATTAAATAAACTCGAGCAGACCCAATAGTATTATGGTTTTAGAAATTGGGGGTATTACAATGCTAATTCATAACAAAGACGATTTCGAATTCTTCACTGAATTCCCATGTTTATTGGGACACCCTGTACCTTACGGTGTTTTGCAGTAGAGACAGTAAAACTATCTCTTTTCCACAAATATGATTATATATCCTTCAACGTTTCTCAGATGAGATTAAGGGTACCGTTTTATTACTGATTTTTTACGCTGACATGTCAATTCCAAAACCTGTTAAAAAAAGCTTAACATTTTTTTTTCTTTAGAGAGGAAGGAATGTTTTCAAATTTTATTGACCCTCTATTTAAATAGGGGTTTGCCTGATTCACAGCAGTATACTTTAAACCTTTATTGTCGTTTCTCTAGCTGTACAATGTGCATTGTAAACGTTTTTTTTCTGAAAGTTCCTTCATTGTTTCTTCAGTAGAAATGCGCAAGTCCCTTTTCTACAATTGAAATTAATAATTTTTTAAAGAAGAACACATGGATATTTTACTCATGCTTTATTTACTCTGAAACCTACTCAAATTAATGCGACAGTATGGTATGACTTGAAATTACGTTTACAGTCCCTTTAAGACTTGAAACCTGGTTCACACGGCAACAATATATATTTTAATAATATTTAGGAGACTCCACCTCCTTACACCCCTAACGACGAGAACAAGAAAAAGGATTAAACAGAGAAAATAACTAAATTTCGAAATATCTATTATAAATAGTTATTATCGACTAACCCTTCATTTAAATAAGTCATTATCTTGGGTCTGAATTGTCGTACATTTACTGACATTTTAAATGATTAGGACATTTTTAAAACTTAAAATTGTAAAAATATTTTATATTTATGTTAACAAATGGTGATGTTTATTTATACGGTTTGAGATGACTTTTCCAAATTTTTCAAGATTCAACATTTTTATTCTTTATTCAAGTAAATACATCTTAAAGATTTAAGAAAATATATAAATATTTATTATTTGTCAAGATTACAATTGTTATGATTTTCGCTGTGATATTTAATCTATTTCAAAAATAGTGCAATTCATTTATTTCTTAACAGATTACCAGATTTAAAGTTAAAATTTGGTTTCTAGGTTCTGGCATTAATTGCTGTTACTGTATTGAAATACAAAAATTGCACTATATTTCTGTGTTTTATTCTTTTAATATTTCTGTATGTAATTGATCATGTTTAAATATATATTTGGTTAAATTAGACTTTAAATATTTTATTTAGCTTTTGATTAACATAATTAGTAGCATAAAAAATAGCATAGGCATAGGTATTCCCCCCCCCCCTTCGCAGTTGGTAAAAATAAATTAGCCTTTAGAAAAATTACTACTTTGATTGAAGTTATTTTATTTTGCAATAAAGGGGATGGTGGAGTTGGCACATTTGATGTAGGGGGGGGGGGCCCAAAAATCGTATACTAGGACGGACCGCAAATCGGTCAAGGGGTTCATGAGTTATGAGTTATGATCGGACATTCGAACAAACAGACAGACCAACAGAGATCTCCACTCTCTATATATTTTCTAGGGTCTTATGTAGCTTACTGTCATATTAAAATTTATTTTGCTTTTTGTGCTACTTGCGAGGGTCTAAGACAAGACTGAAATATTTATAATTATTATATTTGCTAGGATCTAACCAAGACATATATATTTACAATTATTATATTTGCTAGGATCTAACCAAGACAGATATATTTACAACTAATCTATTTGCTAGGATCCAAGACAGGGAGGATGTATTTAACAACTCATAGAATGATATTTAACAGCAAGAAGCAGCTGGATTCAATGCAGTCATTTTCATTCCCATTCGTTGCACTTAAGGATATATCTAATTACTAATCTATTTGCTATGATCTTAGACAGATAGGATGTATTTAACATCTAATCTATTTGCAAGGACTTAAGACAGATAGGATGTATTTAGCATCTAATCTATTTGCCATGACCTAAGACAGGGGGGATGTATTTAACAACTACTAATATATTTGTTAGGATCTAAGACAGATGGAATGTGTTTAACTTTTAACCTATTTGCTAGGATCTAAGACAGGGAGGATGTATTTAACAACTCATAGAATGATATTTAACAGCAAGAAGCAGCAGGATCCAATGCAGTCATTTTCATTCCCATTCATTGCACTAAAGGTATTTTTTTTGTATATTTATTCCTATATAATATTTAGAGCTAGAGTTTGAAACTTTAGGATGTCACTTAAGCTTACACTTACTTTTTCGTTAACATTGAAACTCAAGTTAAGAAATTCTTATTTTTGTATTAACAATATTAAAATATTAGCTTTTTTGTGCTTCGTGCATTAATTTTGTGCAACACGTCCAAAAAACAATTTGTTTGATAAATATTAATTTGAAACAATATTTGTTCTCTTCTTTAAATGTTTTTTCCCATATTTTACGAATTATTTTCTTGTAAAGGATGTTGAATTGGAGCAGCCGATATTTGGCGCCAACTACATCAAGGGGAAGGTGAGGGCCCAGCCTGGCGGTCAATTTGTTGGTGAGGCTAAGTTCAAACTTCACTTTAAATCTGGCGGAGCCATCGACTTCGGGCAAGCCATGCTAAAGGCGGCCCAGATGGCTTCTAGAAATGTGGGCGTAAATGATGCTCCGCCTCCCTACACGCCACCAACCAGCGCTTGGTATGCTGCCCCGCCCCCGGCCTATTCAGCCAACCCCGCCGGGTATCAGGGCTGGGTCCCGCCCACTCATGTGTTTCCTGATTCGCCCCCAGCCAACTCTGTGTTCATGACGGATGCCCCGCCCCCCTACCCTGGGATTACAGGGTTTAATGGATACAATGGAGGGGCGGGGGGCTGGCAGCCCGCCCCTCCCTCCAACCAGATGTCTAGTGCGGACAGAAAAGCTGCTGAAGCTGCACAGGTTGGTTCGTTGATTGGTGGAATGACAAAATTATTGATTGATTGATTTAAACTGCGATTGATAGATTTAAACTTAAGTTAATCGAGTTATTAATTGTACTTTTTATAGAATTGTGAATATAATTATTGATGTAATGATTGAAACATTCTTACAAACATTGATTAAAGTACCGATTGAAACATTGATTGACAAATTGATTGTAGTAATGATTAAAACACTGATTAAAACGCTGATTGAAATATTGATTGTAACATTGATTGAAATATTGATTGAAACATTTATTAAAAACTTTAATTGAAACATAGATTGAAACTCTGATTGAAACATTGATGGAATTACTGATTGAAATATTGTTTTGAACAATAATTATTTATTTTGAAATATTAACTTTAACGTGGCCATTTCATATTAAACTGAATCATTGATAGTTTTTAAATATTGCATTTATTGAACTCCTTGCTTTTAATAATCAGTCCATAGAATCCGAATCTATTCATCTGGAAAGATTGTGAATATAAATCAAAACATCAGAAACTATATTTTTTCTCTCTAAATACACATTAAAGTGTCAGATTCATTTCTTACAGGGTTAATCCAGTATTCGAATCCGTCATAATTATTATAATGTTTTGTAGGTTCAGGTTGGTTACTATGATCCCAATAACTCCCAATACGCCTACGTTCCTCCCCCAACTTACCAGGTTATGCTTCTTTTTCACTACGATTATAGATTTAAAGGGACAAGCAACATCCATTGAATTATGAGGAAGATACCTTAAGTTTTCTATTTGAAAATTGAAGCCTTTCTGTTTAAGTACAGGGTGTCCCAATAAATATGGGAATTCAGTGACGAATTCGATATCGTCTTTTTAAATAGTTCTTTGATTTAGTATAGGATACCTACTGAGAAAGCGTAATCCGTAAGATTTTCGTCTGCTATGTTTACATTTTGTTTGTTTATGTTTTGACTATATACGGTTGTACTTAGTAAAACAAGAAAACTAAAGTATACAAACAAGGTACTCTTGTATAGTCTCTACTTTTCATCTTACAAAGACATTATAGACACATGTTTACAGCCATTTACCGTTTTCATTAAATAAACTCGAGCAGACCCAATAGTATTATGGTTTTAGAAATTGGGGGTATTACAATGCTAATTCATAACAAAGACGATTTCGAATTCTTCACTGAATTCCCATGTTTATTGGGACACCCTGTACCTTACGGTGTTTTGCAGTAGAGACAGTAAAACTATCTCTTTTCCACAAATATGATTATATATCCTTCAACGTTTCTCAGATGAGATTAAGGGTACCGTTTTATTACTGATTTTTTACGCTGACATGTCAATTCCAAAACCTGTTAAAAAAAGCTTAACATTTTTTTTTCTTTAGAGAGGAAGGAATGTTTTCAAATTTTATTGACCCTCTATTTAAATAGGGGTTTGCCTGATTCACAGCAGTATACTTTAAACCTTTATTGTCGTTTCTCTAGCTGTACAATGTGCATTGTAAACGTTTTTTTTCTGAAAGTTCCTTCATTGTTTCTTCAGTAGAAATGCGCAAGTCCCTTTTCTACAATTGAAATTAATAATTTTTTAAAGAAGAACACATGGATATTTTACTCATGCTTTATTTACTCTGAAACCTACTCAAATTAATGCGACAGTATGGTATGACTTGAAATTACGTTTACAGTCCCTTTAAGACTTGAAACCTGGTTCACACGGCAACAATATATATTTTAATAATATTTAGGAGACTCCACCTCCTTACACCCCTAACGACGAGAACAAGAAAAAGGATTAAACAGAGAAAATAACTAAATTTCGAAATATCTATTATAAATAGTTATTATCGACTAACCCTTCATTTAAATAAGTCATTATCTTGGGTCTGAATTGTCGTACATTTACTGACATTTTAAATGATTAGGACATTTTTAAAACTTAAAATTGTAAAAATATTTTATATTTATGTTAACAAATGGTGATGTTTATTTATACGGTTTGAGATGACTTTTCCAAATTTTTCAAGATTCAACATTTTTATTCTTTATTCAAGTAAATACATCTTAAAGATTTAAGAAAATATATAAATATTTATTATTTGTCAAGATTACAATTGTTATGATTTTCGCTGTGATATTTAATCTATTTCAAAAATAGTGCAATTCATTTATTTCTTAACAGATTACCAGATTTAAAGTTAAAATTTGGTTTCTAGGTTCTGGCATTAATTGCTGTTACTGTATTGAAATACAAAAATTGCACTATATTTCTGTGTTTTATTCTTTTAATATTTCTGTATGTAATTGATCATGTTTAAATATATATTTGGTTAAATTAGACTTTAAATATTTTATTTAGCTTTTGATTAACATAATTAGTAGCATAAAAAATAGCATAGGCATAGGTATTCCCCCCCCCCCTTCGCAGTTGGTAAAAATAAATTAGCCTTTAGAAAAATTACTACTTTGATTGAAGTTATTTTATTTTGCAATAAAGGGGATGGTGGAGTTGGCACATTTGATGTAGGGGGGGGGGGTCCTCTAATAATCTAAAATGACCTCCAAAATAAAAATGTTTTAACTATTTTCATTTTTGGAGGTCATTAGAGGTCGTAAGAGGTCATTAGAAGGTCCCCTGACTGTGTACACTGTACAAATACCATATGGGATATCGGATGAAGATTAGATTAACAGAAGATCTAGATCGATATCCACAAGAATTACCAGTTCTATAGGTTTCAACGTTATTGGTTAACCTTAAATTTCAATGGAAATCGAAATGTACAACGAATCATTTGCTTCTTCATTAGCCCCTGAAAGAGTCCCAAGCCAACTCTAGTTTTGAATCTCTGTAACTCCTGATTATGTTTTCTGTACATGCCTCTCGATACCTAAACATAAACCATGTACAGTTAGGGTTGTTAATCGTTTTTGAAAATGATCGATAAACGATCGTTTTTGTCACGTTTTTCGAGCGTTTTCAAAAACGATCGTTTTTATAAACGATCCACTCGTTTTGACCTTGAAGATAATAAATAACGATTGTTTTTAAAAACAATAGTGTTATAAAAACGATTAGCAACCGTTTATATAAGTTTGTTTTTTAAACAAAGATCGTTATTAAAAAAAATTGTCATTGATAAATATGTTAACGATCATAACAAAGGGTCGTCCTGAACGAAGGGTTGTCGTTAACGATCGTTAACAAAACGACGAAGTAACGGTCGTTTTTGAGAAAAAAATTGACATGCAATATTATCACGAAGCTAAAAAGTTGTGGGGGAGCCAAAACTTCTTGATATTTTCTTTAAAACTACTCAATTATAAGGACCGATGCCCTTCAGGTCGGTCTCCCCTCTTAATTCGTTAACGAAGGGTCGTCGTTAACGAAACGACGATGTATAAAAAGACGATCGTTTCGATTTGTCATCGTTTTCATAACGAAAGATCGTTTTTCAAAAAAATAAAACGTCAACTTTCCACTGTACAGTGGCTCAAAGAAAATTAAGTCGGCAACTTTTTAATGAAAAGTTGATAAGATTGAACTAATGAATTAAGGAGAGATTAGGAGAAAAGAAAAAAGGGTTCGTCAATTACTGTAACGCAACCTAGGAACTAGTTTTATTTTAAAACAATAACGAAAAGGTTCAGTGTCAAGTAAAAGTAAATTTCTCGAAAGATTAAAAGCTTGTGTTTCCAAATTCAGCGAAAGAAACCTTTAAAAAAATATACCACCCCGCGCTATTCTGGAGGAAAAAATGTATTTCAAAAGGGAGGGGGGAGGGGAAGGACTTACCATGGAGGTGCATCATCAAATGTGTACTGATAGTTGACAAATATCTCAGAACCGGTTTTTATCTCCTGTATATAGCATGATTTGTATGAATGTTATGTTGGTTCGTTTTTCCCAAGAAATATATAGACCAGGAACCGCCATATCTGATGCGTCAAATCCGTGTACTGCAGTGGGAGGAGATCAAAACAAAGAATTTAGGGGCAACGCATCATTTTTGATTGAAAAGGGCCCAAGGGGTGGAATAAAAATATATTGCTATTGAATTTTCCAGATTGACCAGAAAGCCAAAAATCATATGTATTCGCTCTATCTTGATATATTAACTTGTTTTTTGTTGGACTGTAATATCACATCAGAGCTTTAGTCCTTTCCCTTCAACTTCTGTGGGGGCACTGGGTTTGTTTACGTTCCTCCCACAGTGTACAGTACACAATTTGCGTATATCTGAGTTGGGCGTTCCTGATATATAGTTCCTTGGTTTTTCCCAGGGAGTAAGGAATAGAAGGGATAATTGACGCGGTTCGCCCTACCATATGATTATGCGTGCTTTGCAGACGGGTACTCCATATGTATAAAAAATATTCTATAATAGGTTATTGTATACGCGGTAATTGCACATCAGACAAATATTTCTTATATAAATGGAGTACCCGTCTGCAAAGCATGTGAAAATCATATGGTAGGGCGAACCGCGTCAGCTATAACTCTCTTCTATTCCTTACGTTCCCTGGTTTTTCCCATTTTATTTCAGGAGTAAAATTTTGCATAGTTTAAAACAAGGAAATGTGTTTTAAATAGTTTATTCTAAACATTTGTTTTCCTATAAATTGAGAATACGAAATTATAAAGAAAAACTCTTGCTATGTATCCATATATCTGGGATTCACTGCATATGTCAAATTTTGGCCCATACATAAAAAATATGCAAAAAACTAATTGTTTTGACCTTTTTCCATTTTTCTAGGATAATAATATTGCAAATTTTAATAAAAACTTAAGAATTCTGAAATATTAGAAGTGTTTTTAAAACCGAGCTAAAACAATTACAACACTACCTGTATACTCTCCACTGCAGGAATTAATCCAAACCTGAAAAATAAAAATTATGATGAACAGTTACCTTATTATCATATCGCTATAGATTTTGTTTTTGTATCTGAATTACAGGGATGCCCGCAAAGGATGATACGATAATGACGACCTGAGAATCTTAAATTTAATTTAGTGTTGCTTTTTATTTTCTCATGGCGCTTCGCGTTCCTTTTTAAGTAATGATTTTAGCTGGTAACCATTGCACTTCAAGCATGGCCAGTTATTTATGTTAATAGTTTGCGCAGATTTTCTGTTTAAATTGCACATTTTCTAAATAATTATTGTCAAGATATAAATCTTCCCTGGGATATGAGTTGCCCGATCGGTTCAAGCCTTTTAGACGTTTATTGGATACAAAAAAAATTCCATTAATGAAAAAATAAATTTTGAAAAGTCGTCTCTGAAGTCTTTTCCTTTGTGGGTAACCCTGTATCTGTAATTGTTTTCTGAAAAATCAACTATTCATAAATACAGGGTTACCCACAAAGGATGAGACTGTAGAGACGACCCAACAATCCAGAAATTAACGATTTGAAGTTTCATTTGTTGTTTCCGCATTTAATTGAGTATTTTAATAGTTTACCAAATTATTAAGCACAGACATAAGCCAGTTTTGGCCTATAATTTATACCCTGAAGGCAAGGAAAGGGAATAAATAATTTCCGTACAATCGTCTCTGAAGTCTCATCTTTTTTTTGGGTAATCCCGTATATCATTTATAGCAATTACAAACAAAAAAGTTTAAAAGAATAAGAAAGAACGGAAACGACAATCATTCAACTTTTTTCTGTTAATCATGTTTAGTATAGGTTAAGTATAGGATTAAGTAACAACTAACCAATAATAAGGCTATAATTGTAGTCTGTACATGTTTTCAAACGCTAAGAATTTTGTAATTAATTTTTGACTGCATGTTTGATTTTCCTAATATTCCTAATATTCAGTATTTTATGTACAGGGTGTCCCAAAAAACATGGGAATTCAGTGACGCATTCGATATCGTCTTTGTTATGAATTAGGTAATACCTAATTTCAAAAGCCATAATATAGTTATGTCTGCTAGAGTTTAATTTATGATTGAAAACGGTAAATGGCTGTAAAGATGTGTCTATAATGTCTACCCAAGATGAACAGGGAAGACTGACAAGTTTACTACTGTGTGCATACTGAAATTTTCTTGTTTTACTAAGTACAACCATATGAACTATGCAGTCAAAAAATAAACAAACAAAATGTGAACATAGCAGACGAAACTTTTACAGATGATAGCTTTCTCAGTAGGTATCACTATACTAAATCAAATAATTATTTGAAAAGACGATTTCAAATTCGTCACTGAATTTCCATGTTTATTGGGACACCATGTATGTTCTCGGCAATTGCAAATGCTGTATCAAGTGTACCTCTTAAACTTAAGATAAAAGAAAATTTCTTTTTCTCTTGGATAAAGAGGTGTAAGGAAGAATTTATGCTGACATAAGTGTAATATGAATTATTGCAACCAAGCATTTGGAATATGATATTAAGAAACATATTTTTCTTCTACACTATTTATCTTTATACTTTTAGGGAAATATAAAAACAATTCTTTTAAATAAATTCGCCTATATACAACATTTAAACTTATTTATTTCAATATATGTGCAAGGGAACCCACAAAGGAACAAACAAATCTAAAATCGATTTAAACTTTTATCTAACATTCTATAGTTCCCTAAAGTTGGGCACTTTTGGCATCTTTCAAATTCACAATCATACATTAATTGTCATGTTGATCGTGGGACACCCTGTATTTACAGACGTAACTAAACCATTAACAATACAAACTGCTGCTGAATTCAACTACAAACATATATGGGTTACCTTATATGTAATTGATTTTAATTACGAACCATGAAATTTTTGGGTACGATTTTTTCACAACAAAGTCATATTTTTTCTTTTTAATTGGAGTCAAACTATTTATATTAACGTACGACGTATAGAAACCGCCAGGTACAGGGTTACCATGCACACAGGATGAGACTGTAAAGACGACCCAAAACTCTATTAATATGACGATTTAAAGCTTAATTTTTGTTTCTGCATTCTGTTGAGTATTTTGATGGTTTGTTAACTGATTAAGTACAGAAATAAGCCAGTTTGGGGCTTGGGCATACACAGAACCTTGAATGCAAGAAAACTGACTAAAGAAATTCTGTACAATCGTCTCTGAAGTCTCATCCTTGTGAGTAACCCTGTATATCAACATGGCGAGGTTTGTGTTTAAAGGGACCGTTCACTTATTTGGGTAATTTCAGGGTAAACTAAACAGCCTATCAGCTATTCATTGGTAATAGTCTTACTTTTTAAAGACATCTGTGGCCGGAGAAAAAGCCGATTTTTCGTTCAGAATTTGAGCGCAAAGGGACGGTCCCTTTCTATACACACTATTTGATGTTTTTTTCAGTATGTTGTGGATCAAAATAAATTTCGAATATAAAATTAAACGGTAGTATCTAATGGTTAATTGTAAATGTTATAATTTTTTTATTTTTTTTGTTTTTTATATTTCTATTTCTAAAATAAGACTATTTTATTGCATTAAAGATTTTCTATTGCCTGTGTAAA